GAAATTTTCTTAAAAAATATAAATATTTAATTTAATTTAGAGTCATTTTTACATGATACATTTTCTATATTTGGATCAAAATAATAATGAATATATAGAAGTAAAATAATTTAAAGTTTAAACATTAGAGGGATTCTTTTAATTTTTAAATAAAATGTTGGTTAAATATTAAATAAATTAATACACAGAGTTATCAAATAAAATCAAAATCTATAGTTATCTATAGGCAATTTTTAAGAATTTCTACTCAATAATTGTCTTTCCATCATATTTATGACTCTATGACTAAGATTTTCATTTTAAAATCTTTATCTTTTTTTAATGTATTTGCTCACCCAAGGCAACTAGTACTTTTCTAGTCTAACATCTTCAGGGATAATTGTAATTGGAATATAATTAAAGCAATTTGGAATTTCATAAGTTAATTATAGATCTGGTAATAAAATGGAAGTATCTTTTAATGTTCTTGATTATATAAAATATAATAGTACTTTATTACAGGTGTTTTAGGGATAATATTTTAGTTATTCAAATCATCATTTGTAAGTAGCCTTTTTCGTTTTAAATCAAACATAATATTTTTGAATTAAAATAATAAATTTACGTTTATTATAAATTTGCTTCTTAAATTCAACCAAAAATATCTAAAAGTTCGTATTTAAATCATACTTTAATTTTCATCTAATTTTAATTTCTTCTATTAATATATGTTTTATTATTATATATAATAGTATATGAATATTTTTATATAATCCTTACAAAGTTGAAGAATAATATTTAAGAAATAAATCTAAAATTTATTATATATTATAAAATTTGAAAATGAGTATGCCTTATCATTAAACTGGGAATCAATTAGATTATTAAGAAATAAAGTAAACTAAAGCTGATTTAAAGGCAGAAGTACACTTAATAGGATAGATTGTGGGTGGAATTGATTTTCAAACAGATGATGGATTATTTTGTGAATTAGCTATAGATTGTGGAGATGGATGGGATTTATTATAACCTGGAAATAATAAAGGAATTCAAACTCAAACAAGTTATGCAAATGTAAAAATATCAAATATATATAATTAATTAGCCAGGATAACTTTTCTCATGGGGACATCCATTTGATTTGCACTTTTCTGTATCAAATATAATTGGATGGCCTAAAGCTTTATTAAAAATTTGGAGATTAGACTCATCAAATAAAATTGATGCTTGTTCTTATGGTACTGCAAGTTTTCCTAGAAGTGCTGGTTATCATTAGATGACATGGTATAAATAATAATATCTATTTAGTGAAACATGGACACCTACTGGAGAGAACTTAGATCTTGAAATAAGAAAACCAAATGAAGATTTAGCAACAAATACAGATTAATTCTCAAAATTTGATAGATCCTTAGATTGGAGATTTCAAGCTTTATCATTTTATATGGAAAACCCACCTAGATTAACAACATTGGCACCATTAACAACTGATAAAGGAGATTTTGCAAGGAGGAAAATTTTGAATAGTATTTCAAATGGGAAAGTTATAATTGAAGTTGAAGTGCTTTTAAAAAATTTTAAAAGACTTAGTTTTTCAGGATAATGAATTTTATTACGATTTTGAGTATTCTTATATGTTAATTTTTATTTTACTTATAAATTATATGGACTCAGCTTTTTTATTTTGGGAAAAGTATTTCAATAATCAAATAGAAGTGAGTTGGGATGAATTTAGTGATTCTTTTTCTAAATTTATACAATAATTTGGATCAATAATTTTGGATGAAGAATAATTACTATTCATCAAATAGATTATAGATCCTGATTACAGAAATGTAATTAAAATAGGAGACTATATTATATTCTATGAGATAGTATTTCTATAATTTTTATGCTTAGTATTGGAAAATATAGTCTAAAAGATAAGCATTATTCAAACATCAATTTACTCTTCAATCTTTTTAGATTCCTAAATAAACTTTGAGATGTATTTAATTAAAGGTACTCTACATTACTAATGGATATCCAGATTAATTTAGAGATATATAAATAACAAGAACTACATAAAATAATCTTCCATTAAAATAAGAAGAAGTATTCACTATTGGAAGTGGATAAAATTGTGATCTTTAAATTTTGAATGATTTAAAGGTCAATCCTATTCATACTAAATTAATATGGACTCCAAATAATCTATTTTTAATAAAAGATAATTCAAAGTCATTCAGAACTTGTTTAAGAATTAAATAATAATTAATTTTGGATGCATATATGATTATTAAGTTCAATTAAGAAACCATATTTTAAGTTAAGTATATACAACCAATACCAAAATTTTCAAATTAAATTTCAACTAATTAGGAGAGTCTCAAAAATTCTTTACCTGATCTTCTAAAATAATTAAATTAATATAAATCTGTATAAGAATACAGAGAAAGAAAGGTTAATTTAATATAACACAATGAGGAACCAATTTTAATACTTGAATTTATTGGAGGACCTATGAAAGGAAGAGAATTCACATTAAATCCTAATTAAGAATATACATTAGGTTGTGGTAAAACATGTTCAATAGTTATAAGAGATGCTACATTATAAAAGGAACATTGTTCAATAAAATTTAAAAATAATTAATGGTTAATCTAACCGAAAGAATCTAATCATTTAGATCCAACTCAATTTGGAACATTTGTTATGTTAGCTAATCAATAATAATATGATTTATATTTGCCAAGCAAATGTCATGTCTTACATGAAGGAATGTAAATTGTAATAGGACCTATTCTATTCCAAATTCATTATTTTAGTTGATGTCTTTTTTTGCATTTTTTATATATATATATATAATTAAAAATCGAAATGGATTCAGAAAAACATCATGAGCAAAGTTGTTAAAGACTAAATAGGAAAAGTCATACTTTTGGACCTTGTGCAAGCATAGGATAATTAGAAGCTAAACAATTATAAGATGAATCTAAGAAGAAATTCACTGTTTCTTTTAAATAAAATGATGATATTATTATCGTTGAAAATTGGAAAATATATAATGTTGATGTTAGCAATCCAAATTTTCAAATTTAATCAAACAATAAATCTAATACTGGATGTTGGAATATCTGCACTACTTTTTGATTAAATTATATTATATTTCTAAAATTCTGTTTTTTAGTGAATAATATTATTTTTATTATTGATATCTATTCTTGGATTCAAATTTCTTAAATTTTTATAATCAATTAAGATTTAATGTGAAGTTAATTTAAAATATAATTAAAATCAGATACACTCTATTTTACTATTCAAATTCGATTATAAATTTATTGATATTCAATTATAATCAATTAATTCATAATTTAAATATCAATTAATTTTTTATAATTACTAAGATTAGTCGCAGGAATATTTATATTTATTCATTTCATATATACTTTTTAATATTCTAATAAGAAATTATGAATTATGTATATATATATATATATTATTCAATTCTAATAATTTGATTTATATCTTGGTAAAGTACTTGTAGTTTATTTACAAGAATTTCTAGTCATGTAATCTAAAATAGCATCATTGATTGATCCTGTGACTTTTGGTGGGATAAACAATAATGGTTCCTTCTAATTGATTGTACTATACATTTTACTATTATTATTATCATCAATAGCTGAATATGCCATTTTTAATGGTTAATTATCATAACAACTATTTTAATTATCTTTAACATTAGTTGTTATTTAAATTTAAGAAAACTTTTTCTCAAATTGGCTATTAATTTATTCTATTTCCTCAAGTAATTCCTCACTAATATCTTAAAATAATTTGCCTTATTATTTTGATTCATCATTTGTTATTACTTATTATCTATTGCAAATAATCACATTAGATTCACTAGCAACAAAATATAAAATAGCCATTTTTGGATCATTTTCAGATGGACTTATATAAATAGTGCAATCAAGTTTTACTTTTGAACTGTAATTCAAAATTGGATTATATGTTTTTGTGTAAATAGATTAAATACTTAAATTACCATAAATTTCTTCTACAAAAGAAGAATTATAATATGGTAATGCTCCTGACCAAATATCTACTTATTCTTAATCTACAGATAATGGAGAAAATGATATTTCATCAACATTACATGTTATTCCTATAGGATATGTTTTCATTTGTTAAGTTATAGTTTTGCAATTTTCATAATTTATTGTAATTAATTTATTTTTTAAATTTGGAAGTTCTACATCTCTAGATTAAAGCATAGCTATAGGTTTCATAATAGTAAAGAAACCTTTTTCTGAATAAGCTCCTACAATAAAATGTAACTAAATTGATTTGTTATCATAACCTTTTTCAATTAATAAGTAAGTAAATGACAATTTTAAAATCTTAATATGAGATTATGCTAATGGTTTTAGTGCTTTATATATAATATCAATTGGAATTTAACAACAAACATAGTTCAATTAAGAATTTAATAAACAAACATCTTGTTACATTTTAATATTTAGACAACTTGTTTCTGCAAATTTTAGATGATTTTCTCTAATTTATGATTAATATTCATTAAAGAAATCATTATTTATTTATGCAAAACTAGCAGGTTTATCTGATTTATTGAGTTCATTAAATTTTTAATTCTCCGGTATTTCTGAAAATTGAATTTCTTTTAGTTAAAATCAGTTAAATACTTTCATCATCACATATTATAATAGGATAAGAGAAGATTTTGAGTATTTGTAGAAATTAATCTATTTTGAGTTTTCCCTCTAAAGTGAAATTCATTATAATTTTTATTATTTTATATATTTAAAACTATTCACAATAAACTCAATTGAAAATCCAGAATATATATTTAACTTATTACTATTTCTTCTTTTATTATTACAATATTTATTATAAATTTTGAATTTCATTAATATAGTATTATGATTAAATATGTCATGATTAACAGTTGTTTATATGATTTGTATATAGGTAATTTTAATTTTCAATGTTATTTTTTAATAAATTTATTATTTAATATGACTAATCATATTGCAATAATATCAAGTGCCACATTATCTTTAATTGGTTAGATGATAATAGTAATACTTTTTTTCTATTTTACAAAACTTAGAAATGGACTAATTCCAAGAATAATTCTCTATCTCACAATAGGTGGAATTATTTAGGTACATAAATTAATATTAATTTATTGAATAGACTATAGGAATTCTGGGATCAAGCTTTGATGAGTTAAATTGTACTTTTTTTGGATTGTTTAGACTATATGGAGGTTTAAGTTCAATAATATGGAGTTCAATTTTGATATATTCAATAAAATAAGTAGTTAATTCATTAATGACATAGTTGTTTATGGTATTTAATAATTAGAATTCATCAGAATTTATAGATATTAGAGAGATTCTTAACAAACTAGTTAAATTAGAGAGGAAGTTTTGTTTATATTCTTTTGGACTTCCATTACTGTTAATAACATATCCATTAATGACAGCTTTAATTTATGATTCAAAAAATTCATAACTTTGTTTATTTTATAATTTATAGACAGATCCATTACTGTAAAAGATGTAATTAAATATTTAAAAATTAATTTTATGGATTATTCCAATAAGTTTATACTTAATTTATAGTTTGAGTATTTTAAATAGGATAAAACATGTAATGAAAGATGATGAAGAAAAATAGGAAATCTATATTGAAGTAAAGAAATTGATCAAATAAATTCTCTTATTTCCTATAATTACATTTATTTGTACTCTAAGTTTTACAGTAGAAGATATATAAAGTCTATTTATGTCTTAGATTGGATTGACATAGACATCTGTTTCTTTGGCCTTTTTAAGTTTTTGGGGATTCTTAAATTGTTTAGCTTATTTAAGTTAAGATTCAGTTAGATTAGAAATTAGAAGTAGAAAAATGTCAGAAGAATAATAAGTACATTTAATATACATTTAGGATATGTGAAGGAATGATATAAGAAGAAAGAACAAGAAGATTAAGTATAAGTTAAGAATGTTACTTTTATAATGTTTAAATGGCAAATAAGAATGATAGTTTATGAGAAGTATTCAATACTCAATGTAGATTTAATACTATATATCTATTTTATATTATATTATAATATATATATAATATATTTTAGTATTGTAACTTAATATCTACTCAAAAGTAGGCTTCTTATTATTATTTCCCTATATTTACATGAATCAAATAAAAAATTAGTATTTATAATAATTTATGAAACCATTTTTAATTACAGATGATTAACCTACTATAAGATCAACTAATTTTTAGACCATTACAAAATTAATCAAGATCACATTAGTCTGAATTGTTTTGGGGTGTACTATTGTAATTATTAATTTTTGCAACGTAATTTAAATCATGGGGTACAATGGTAAATTGTTTAGGAGAAGACAAAAGAGAAACACTCATTGAATATCTTTCTTCTGTTTATGGTGATTGGAATTGGATCTACATTTTAACAAAAGTTATGTCAATCCTCTTAAATTTTGGATGTGATTTATGATATTATTTTAAACAACAATAGGAGAGTACTTTGATAAAACTTTGTGGTGTAAATTAGTCATGTTTTTCTTTTTATTTATGATTATTTTTGGATTTTCTTTTGGCAAAGATCTTTAGATGTTTACTCCTATTTTTAAATATGCATTAATATCGGTTTATTTATCATTTGCTTATTTATCAATATTAGCTTTTGTATAAGAAATGGAATTTAGTTGAACCTGATGCTGAGAAAATTATGATGGCTTTTGATATTATGATATTTGCTTATAAAATCATTGGAGTTTTGACAGAAATAATAGTTGAAATGAATGATACAATTTCATTTTAGAAATTTGCTATGATATTAGAAACTATACTCTACCTATTCTTTGGAATTACAAGCTCATTATTGTTTTATTCAAACACTGATCAATCAATTATTACTAATTTTCAAAAAGAATATAAAGGAAATTATCCAATAGAAGTCACTCTTTCAATATTAAAGATTTCATATGTTTATCAACACTTTAATAGTTAATATGCCAGTCTATCTTTTGGTAAAAATAAGTCCAGATAAAATCAAGAAATTCACTTTAAAAATCATTTATGTACTCTGTTAAATGGTATTATTAATCTGATTATTATTTAATTAACTGCATTTTGTATCCTAAATTTGCTATAGTTCTATCTATAGTTGGATGTATTTGTTTTGTATCACTTGGATACAATAATACCATATGGTATGACTTTTCATTATGAATTAAAACCAATATATTAAATCATAAATATAATTGTTGTATTATTTAGAATTTTAGGTGGTATATTTGGAATAATTACATGTTTTGATTGAAAACCTTTATATGTAATTTTTAATTAATATTTTGTTATTCTATTTATATTTATAGTGTAATTAATATTATAATATTGTTTGTAATTGAATTGTGAATTTAAACCTTATAAAATTTAAACTTTATGAAATCATAATTATTTTCATATTTTTGTATTATTTATAATAAGATATTGATAATTATTTCAAACATTAAATTTATATATGATAAAAATACATATTCAAAACACTCTGTCTTTTTTTTAGTTGTTAATATATGATAATTCCTAAATTCTAGGATTAACACTAAACCAATAATGATGGATATTTTTCTTCTTTCTTTCTTGATATTGGAAATATTATCTAGTAAGAATCTTTTTCATTCTATAATATTTTATTTTGAAATTACTCAAATATGAAATATACTGATTATAAGAATAATCCAGTAGCTGTAATCTTAACCAATAAGGGAACTTCACTCTCTGGCCATGTATTCCATACCATATAAGGGACTAAAGAACCTCTGAAGATAATATATAAAGCTAATTATGTTAACTAGATTAATTACCAAAATAGGTCCATTCACATGCTTCATATAATTTAGTATGTCTCAATCCCACTTATCTAAAGATTACTCTCATATGCATAGGGAAATTTGATACTTCAGCTGACATCAATCCCCCTAATATAATTTAAATAAGATTTACATATTGAAGATGGAGCTCCGAACCTTGAAAAGGTTGCCACTGCATATCCACATATGGCTAAAGAATGATGTGAGACTAAAGACATATCTGCAAGATCATAATAGAGACAAGCAAGGAAATCATAGACAAAGTATGACGCACTAATTATCATTGTAAATTGCATGGTCTAAGAATTAGATGCACCAAAACTTGGTTATTCAACTGCAAATGCATATCTCTATTACCCAAAATAATATAAGCTGCAGCCCAAAATGTTAAGGCACCATGAATGATTGACACAATTCTGTTTTTGATATCATCTTAAACTTTTTTGGGATGATTCTTTAAATGGAACTTCTAATTTATAATTGCAAATATTGAAGTCCATATAAAGAATGAATAGCTCATAACTTTCACTTGATCTGAAGTGCTATTGACTAAATCTATGTTTTCAAGATTTAACATATTTTTATTTATTAGTAATATGAATCGTTTTTTATAATAATGAAATTGTTTCTTATTATCGGTTATATTCTGTGGATTTCATGTTCCAAAAGCGTTGATTTTTAAGTGATACTTTCATAAATAGATTAACATCATCTTGGCTAAACATTTTTAAATGCTCTACAAATAGGCTTATCAAGTGGGTCGCCTGTTCATGAGATTCAAAGTTACTTGAATAATATTAGGTATCTAATTTTCATTCTAAATAAGGTTCATGCTTGAATAAGAATAAAAAGAGGCAGATATCTTTATTTAAAGTACATAAGCCAAATGTTAGAGATTATTACATGATTTTTCAACCAATTATGCATATCATAGTAGTTAATTACTAGCAAATCAAAAGATTATGTAGGTACACACTTGGTTTCATTTAAGGAAAACACAGAAAATCTACAAAGAGCATTAAATAAAATAGCGGAAGTTAGTGTGGAAATTGAATAAAATATAATGAAAACTAATGCTGGTTAAAGTGAAAGAGATCTACAATATTCTGAATTCTAAACTACTATTAAAGATCATAATGAAGCTATTTCAGCCATTGATGAAGCTTATGCACTTATTGAACATTTAGCTAATGGATCATCATTTATTTAAGTTAAAGGCCGTTTCAATAAAGTTATAAATCGACTCACTTAACAATCATCAGGAATTACTCATCTCTTTTAACCAATCATAACTATGATGTCCTAATTAGCTAGCAATACAGATGAAGCAAAAAAACTACTACTTTTATTAAGTGGATTGAAAATCTAAATTTTGGAAGACAAAAGTAAAGATGAGGATCTTGAAAAAGTGGCTGTTTTGAATTGGTAACAATTTTCTAATGATTTGATTAATGAATAAAATACTCTTTCTGATCAAAGACAAAATTTAGAATAAGCTATACTTAATTATTAGAGTATCATTGAAGAGTCTAAAGAAAAGTCATAATACCATTAGGTTGAATTTATTAGAAATAAAGTATAATAGTATTTAATTAGGAAAATGTGGAAAATCAAGATATATGGTGTAGACAACAATAAGATCTTTATTCAATCGATTCGTAATCAAGAAATGAAGCATCGTCATTAGTTTCAAAAATAATAGATCATATGTAAGATAAAATTGTGACTTTAAAAGAATATTTAAGAGAGAGACATCAAATTCAGTGATGAATATTATATTAAATATTAAAAATTAATAATAACAATGGCTATATGCTAATTCTGTAGAAAATAAATAGATGAGGATAAGATAATGTTACATGAAATGTATTGTGAAAGAAATTGCATTAAATGTAATAGATGTGGTTTAATGTATGATCAAAATGATCCAGAATCACATGAAGAAGAATTTCATAAATTACATTAATGTCCTCATTGTAAACATGAATTTTAAGGTTTTTCATATATATTTATATTATAGATTTAAATAAGCATTATTGTTAAGAAACACCAATACAATGTTAATATTGTTAATTAGAAATTTCAATCAAATCATTTTCATAACATGAAATACAATGTGGTAGTAGAACTGAAATGTGTAATTCATGTAAGTAATACATTAAAAAGAGTGATCTAAATATTCATTAAGAAATCTGTCTATAAAAAAAATTTGATAAGTTAGGAAGAGGTGAAATACTTAATGACTTTCCATCTCTATAAGAAGTAAAGTAAACCTATGTTTCTCCAAAGTTAGATCAATAAAACAAAGAAAAATAAGTTTAATAGAAATAAAATAATTTGAATATTTAAACTCAATAACCCATCGAATTTAATAATCCTCCTGTCAAATCATAAAAAATAGATTATCCTAATGATTAATAATAAAGAATGTAAGAAAAAAGAGGAGATTATAATAAAGATATCTAACCAAATTATAAAAAAGAAGTGAACTAACCTAATTATAATAATTAAGTTAATTAATTATCAGATAAAATATTAAATAAAGAATTTAATAATGATCCAAAATATAATCAAGGATTAAGATCTACTTAATAAACATAAGAATTTAAATAAAAATCTGATAAAATATAAATACATGAAGTTGAATAACAATATGATAATAGACCAATTAATAATTATAAATACAAGATTGAAGAAAAATATGAAAATAATAATAATAATAAATAATTACAAGATTATAAAGTAAATCAAAGACCACTAATTAATAATACTTAGGAAATAAGTTCTTAAAATGATCAAAGATCTAATTAATATCCTTAATATATTAAATAAACATCAAATCCTTCTTATGATTAATAATTTTAATAGAATTAAATACGTTCTACTCAACCTAAATATTCTAGTACATATTTATAAGATAGAAATATTTAAGGTATATAAGATAATAGATAACTACCTAATAATAATCTATATAATACTGATATATAATCTAAAAATAGATAAGGTTAAAAATATAGTACAAACATAACATAAGATATTACTAAAAGTTATTAACCAAGTAAATAATCTGAATATGGATTACCTTAAAATTACTATTAAAACAATAAAAATACAAACTAATATTAATAAGATAATAAATATTAGAATCCTTAAACTTAATAATAATATCGACCTGAAATTGGTTTAAATGATAGAGATTATAAATAAACAAATAATTATCGAGGAGGACCTGTTGTTTCTAAACCATTAGATAATTAAGAAAGAAAAACAGACAAAATGTAATTTGCTCCTATATAGTCAGAATAACCTAATCAATTTTAACTTTCCAGAAATCCATATGCTTATTAAGAAGTAAAATATAAAAATTTATCTACATCTTAACCATAACATTAGTAATATTAACAAAAATAATAAGAATATTAACCTAAACAATATTAAAATTCAAAACAATCACCTATTGAGACTTAAAAATAATCTTAAAATTAATATTAACCATAAGAATTAAAAAAAAAGTAAGATTTTCAAACAAAATATAATGACTATAATTAATATGAATATAGTAAAAAATTGGATGATAAATAACCATAAAATATACCTCAGAATTTAGAGAGCAACGATAGTGTAATAGCAAGAAAATTATAAGAATAAATATATGCTGATGATTTATAAATGACACCATAATAAATTAAGGAATAATAAGAACTTTATAAAATGTTAGAAGAGAATGCCAAAAAATAATAATCTACTTAAAATAGAACATATCAATATTATGAGGAAACAAGAGAGCCAAATTAATCTAATTTACTTAATGGATTTGAATTTCTATCAGAGGACGAAAAATAATATTAAAAATAGATACTTGAAAGTCTTGAATTATAAAAATAAAAAAGATGGTGAATTTTTATTATTAACAATAATAAATTTAAATTTGTATACATGTACCTTGAATTTGATGAAGACTTTTATCAAATTTAGAATTATGTCAAATAGGTAAATTCTAATCTAGTTGTCCTTCCTTAAGACAATGTCGAAACAGAAATAGAACTTTTTGAAAAGATGGTTCTTCAAATTAAAATATATGGTTCAAAAATCATTGAATTATATTAATCATTAGATGAAATCTGTCCAACTGATAGATAAATATAGGCCTTTATCCCATAAGCAAAGATAGAAGCAATTGATTATGATCAAGTCTGGTTGGCTCTAAATAAAGGATTTGTAAATGATACTTATAAAGCAATGGAATTGATGTAATAATTAGATTATACAATCAAATTAAACCAAAGTTAATAAGGGAAGTTTATAGAATTCTTATAAATTACATGTAGATGCAAAGATAGAGAATTGGAAAAATTAAGTCAATTATTTCCAAATCAATATCCATAATCTTATTTTAAATAGATTGAACATTTAACAGAAATGTTACATCAATATAGTTAAATGGTACCATTATTAGTATAAGAAAATGAAAATTTAAGATAAGATATAGAAAATACAAAAAGTAATGATAATGATGGAAAGAGCAATGAAATAAGTCAATTAAGATTGCATTTACAAAATATTGAAAAACAATTAACTGAAACTTAATCTTAGAATGAATACTATTAATAAATGATAAAAGCTGAAGAATAAGTAAGATAAAATAAAACATAATTATAAATGTTATAAATTGATAATTAAGATCTATTATTTAAAAATAATACACTATAAGAAGAAATCAAAAATTATTAAGATTAGATAAAGACTTAAATTGAAAGTTTTGATCGTATGTAAATGGAATATAAAAAGATTATTTAAAAGAAAAATCAATAAATTTAAGAACTTGAAGAGAGAAATAATTTAGATTTAACATTAAAAAATAATAATTAAGTAGATCTAGATTTAATTCAATCTAAAATTTAATAATTCAAATCATTATATGAATAAAAAATAAAACATTTAACTGGAACAATTACTCATTTAGAATAAGAGAATGTTAAATTAAAAGATTTAGTTAGATCTTCTGCTTTAGAAGTTGATAGTTTAAGATTGTAAATAGAAAAGATAATATCAAGTAATAATAAAAAGACATTAAAATTACCTAAAAAATCATAATAAGAATATGTTTAAGTATTTTATTAATTATAAACTATAGTTATATCAAAAGTATTAAGAGGTTGTAGAAAAGAATGAATAATTAAGTCAACAATTATATAGTCAAATATTAGATGGTAGTGTATTATCACATATTTGAGTTTTTGTTTTTTTTTAATTAATTAAAAAATTATTATTTATTGTAATCCAAATTTTTGAAGTGCAATAAAAATTTATAAAATATTGAGGTAATATTTGATGTTAAGTTATCTTTTTATAATTTTTGCTTAATTTTTATCTAATTACAACCCTAATTATGTAATATAGAATATATTTATTAATCATAAATATCATTTTATAGACAACATCTTATTACTATTTAATACAGTATTAATTAAAATAAAATTAATGGGAAATGGGTAGTGTTGTTAGAAAGTGGATAGAGTAGAAACTTTTTAATATGATGATGAAACATCTCATCCTGAGACATCTAAAAGAGGATCCTTAAAATAAGGAGATTAATAACCATAAATGTTAAGTTAGTCAGATTCAGATGAAGAATATCCAAAAAGAAAATAAAATAAATTTGGAGTCTTGAAGGAACCAAATAAAACATCATAACTCTCAACAATCTAATAATATTCATTTTAAAGTTTTTCATCAGAGCAACAATTTCAAAATTTTGTTACATTTCAAGCATTGCCATCTTAGCATGGAATTTAAGGAAATGTATTTTAAAAGTTTTAAGCAGAAATGAACTAAATTGCCCAATAATAATAAACATAAGCACCTAAAAACTCAAAAAAAGTGTAATTTGCAATTTGATCAAGATTCTTAGCATACTTATATATTTATTTAATATAAATCAAAAATCTTTTTTATTTCTAAATATTTTCCAATATTATTTTATTTTTGTTCATTTAATAAACCTTAATCTCAATTTCATATCCTTATAATTCATCTTCATTTTCATTTTACTCATCTTTCTCTTAAATCCCTTTTCAAAATATTAATATATATCCTAATTGATCTTTTTCAAATTTTGTATTTATTAATCTCAACATAATAATTATATTAATTATTTCTCTATTTACAAAGCTTATCATTATTTTTTGTTTTTTATTTCTTTCTTTTCTATTTACTTGATTATAAAATACATATATTCTAATTTATATTATTTATCATCTTCTATATAATCTAAATATTTGAGACTTTCTATATAATTGAATAATCAACAATAATTATGAATGAAATAATATTTTATGTCTATTCTCTAAAAATCTAGTATTCTATAGTAATTTTACTTTTTATGTTTACTAGACTTAATAACTTCATATATATTATTATATAATAGAATTTACCTAATTATTTCTTAATTATTGGATTCTTTAATCATCACTATTAATTATTCTACCCTATTTATTTATCTACCAACAATTAAGGTTTAATATTAATAAATTAAGACAATTTATCAATCATTACTTCAAATCTAGCTCTAAATATCAATTCAATATTATCTCTAAAGAAATTACAATATCATTATCAAATAGATTTATTTTTAAGCAGAAAGTAAGCAAATCAAAAAAATCTCCATATTATCTATCTAAATTCTCATAAATCGTATTTTATACTTAAACTCTCATCATTTATGAACCAACATCAAAAACACTATTATATTTATTATTTCTTAAAAATTAAAAGATAATTTTCCTAAGATAGTTCCCCATATAATATAAAGCAATAAAACCTTTTATGAGATAATGTTAAGTTAACACCCATATAATCTCAATAATAATTGTTCAAATATTAAATCCATTATTAATCAAATTCATTAATTAAATTTTGTATTATAGGCATTTAGAGTTTGTAGATGATTAAATATTATCTAACATTAGTACATGCCTTAAATTAAACTATTAAGAGTATAATTAGCTTTTACTCACTATTAATTGAGTATTTGTTGACAACTCTTGAACATTAAAACATTAATGACCAATTAATTAATTACTTTTTCATATAATGAGTTGTATATGAATTAAAAGTAAGCTATCAATTCAATTATTTGAATCAGCCATCCTAATCTATATATTGATATATCAATTTATCAATATTATGAAGATGGCAAAATAGAATCGGGGTTTATTAGCAGATATAAATTAAATATTTATTTCTGTCAGTCACTCTTGGACAATTCATTTATAAATAATTTTTGATTCTCTTACCAATCATTACTAGATTGTTGTTGTTAATATTTTTATTTTTTATTTATGTATATTTAACCAATGAATGCGCATCATATTATGTAATTAGTATTAATTATTTATATCTTTATTTAGATAAGATTATAGGAATTATTAATAAATTATTACAAAATGTCATACGCATTAGAAGATTTAGGGAGAGTATTCCCAAAGAAATCAGTTTTACTAAAAACATACATGTTGGGTTGTTTTTACTTGTTTTATCAAACAATAAAGCCTGAAGAATAAAAGAAGGAGAAAAAAAGAATTGCAGAATTAAGACCAAATATTTTAAGAAATCAAAGCCAATAATGTCAATAATACCAACGAAATTTATATTAAATGAATGTTATAAAGGATTAAAAGAAATAATTAAAAGAATAGTAAAACACTTCATATGGTTTGATGGAATTTAGTATTATATTAAATCAATGTAGGAACATCAATATTCTCTGCTCAAGATTTAAAATAATTAAATAATTCAACTTCTTAAGTGGTATGAAAAGTTGAATATATATGTAGCATGTACTTCAAATACATTCAAAAAAATACTAAATATTTTGTTTGGATGATTTATCAACTATTGAAAGTGAATTTATACCTGATCTTAAATTTGATCTTCAGACTCGTTCTCCTGTTGATATGACTCAAAGCTGCATATTTTGAATAATTATTTTTTATACTTCATCTTTTCTANGATAATTTTCCTAAGATAGTTCCCCATATAATATAAAGCAATAAAACCTTTTATGAGATAATGTTAAGTTAACACCCATATAATCTCAATAATAATTGTTCAAATATTAAATCCATTATTAATCAAATTCATTAATTAAATTTTGTATTATAGGCATTTAGAGTTTGTAGATGATTAAATATTATCTAACATTAGTACATGCCTTAAATTAAACTATTAAGAGTATAATTAGCTTTTACTCACTATTAATTGAGTATTTGTTGACAACTCTTGAACATTAAAACATTAATGACCAATTAATTAATTACTTTTTCATATAATGAGTTGTATATGAATTAAAAGTAAGCTATCAATTCAATTATTTGAATCAGCCATCCTAATCTATATATTGATATATCAATTTATCAATATTATGAAGATGGCAAAATAGAATCGGGGTTTATTAGCAGATATAAATTAAATATTTATTTCTGTCAGTCACTCTTGGACAATTCATTTATAAATAATTTTTGATTCTCTTACCAATCATTACTAGATTGTTGTTGTTAATATTTTTATTTTTTATTTATGTATATTTAACCAATGAATGCGCATCATATTATGTAATTAGTATTAATTATTTATATCTTTATTTAGATAAGATTATAGGAATTATTAATAAATTATTACAAAATGTCATACGCATTAGAAGATTTAGGGAGAGTATTCCCAAAGAAATCAGTTTTACTAAAAACATACATGTTGGGTTGTTTTTACTTGTTTTATCAAACAATAAAGCCTGAAGAATAAAAGAAGGAGAAAAAAAGAATTGCAGAATTAAGACCAAATATTTTAAGAAATCAAAGCCAATAATGTCAATAATACCAACGAAATTTATATTAAATGAATGTTATAAAGGATTAAAAGAAATAATTAAAAGAATAGTAAAACACTTCATATGGTTTGATGGAATTTAGTATTATATTAAATCAATGTAGGAACATCAATATTCTCTGCTCAAGATTTAAAATAATTAAATAATTCAACTTCTTAAGTGGTATGAAAAGTTGAATATATATGTAGCATGTACTTCAAATACATTCAAAAAAATACTAAATATTTTGTTTGGATGATTTATCAACTATTGAAAGTGAATTTATACCTGATCTTAAATTTGATCTTCAGACTCGTTCTCCTGTTGATATGACTCAAAGCTGCATATTTTGAATAATTATTTTTTATACTTCATCTTTTCTATATATAGATAAAATAATAATCTAAAATTATTATAAAACTTTTAACCATTCCATTATTTTTTATTTAATATTATATAAACCAAAATCTGTGTTTATCAATATTTGAATATTTATAACTATCACTCTCTTCATAAAAATATTTTAGAAAAATAATAATAAAAATAAAAATTGTTCAATAATTGAATAAAACTTTTAAATTCACAAAAAATAACATAAAATTTTGAATACAATATTTACTTATCTATTATATTAGAATCAATATAAGAGATGTATTAGATTAATTTAATTGATTTGTTATGAATTTAAGAATTAAATTAAATGATAAATAATCCTAATCTAATATAAATATATAAAATTTAAAATATTCAAGATGGCTGATCAAAATTAACGGATTGCATTAGAAGCAAAATACATTAAATTGTTAAAGGAAGTTGAAGAGAAAGAAAGACATGTTAAAGAATGTAAATTTACATTATAATGATTAGTGAGAGCATAAACAAAATAAAAGAAGAATGATTTTGAAAAGTTTGAAGATAATATCAAAAGTTTAAATATAAGAGGATAAGCAGTTGGTGAAATATTAATGAAAATAAATGATGAAAAATGTAATAAGATAATCTTAATTAAGATATTTCAAAATTGAATAGTGGACCTAGATATGTTGTTGGTGCTAAACCCAAACTTGATAGAGAGAAATTGGTAGTAGGAACAAGAATTGCACTTGATTAAGAAACATATACAATAGTTAGAATTTTGCCAAGAGAAGTAGATCCATAAGTGTTTCATATGGCTCATGAAGATCCAGGAAAGGTTTTATTTGATGAAATTGGAGGTTTAAATGATCAACTACGTGTTTTAAGAGAAGTATTTATAAAACTAAAGTATAGACTATTGAATTACCTATAACTAATCCTGAATTATTCAAAAGAGTAGGTGTAAAACCTCCTAAAGGTTGTTTAATGTATGGTCCTCCAGGTACTGGTAAGACCTTAATTGCAAGGTAAAATAATAATATAAAATGAAGAGCTTTAGCTTGCAATGTCTAAGCAAAGTTTTTGAAAATAGTCGCTTCGAGTATAGTTGATAAGTATATTGGAGAGAGTGCTAGAGTGATAAGAGAAATGTTTACATATGCTAAAGAGAATTAGCCTTGCATTATTTTTATGGATGAAATAGATGCTATTGGAGGTAGAAGATTTAGTGATGGAACATCTGCTGATAGAGAAATATAAAGAACTCTTATGGAATTATTAAATCAATTAGATGGTTTTGATGATTTGGGTAAAGTTAAAGTAGTAATGGCTACTAATAGACCAGATATTTTGGATCCAGCTCTTTTAAGACCAGGTAGATTGGATAGAAGTATTAATTTTAATATTTAATATATTAGAGGTTGAAATTCCATTACCTAATGAATAAGCTAGATATGATATTTTAAAGATTCATTCAAGAAATATTACAACTAAAGGAGAAGTAGATTTTGAATAGTTAGCAAAATTATGTGAAGAATTTAATGGAGCTGATTTAAGAAATGTTTGTACTGAAGCAGGTATATTATTATTATAATACTCTTAGGTATGTTTGCCATAAGATCAGATAGAGATTATGTTATTGAAGAGGATTATTTCAAAGCAGGTAGAAAAATAAAAGAAGCCAAAAAATTAGAATCTAAACTAGAGTATTAAAAGGTTTGATTATTAATTATATATATAAAAATTTAAATATGTAAACCTCGCTATTTTAAGAAATCGAAGAGTTCACTTAATGCTCGAATTGGATCGAAAACTAAGACTCTGCTGGTTCTTCTAATAATGATCTTTTCCTATTTGGTTATAGTATTTTATTTTTTAAATTCTATTTCGAAAGAATCAAAGCTTCTATTTTCAACAGAAACTAACTCTTCCTCTGATGAATAATTTGAGGCATTTTCTGCCATATTTAATCAAGCTATTGAGAAATGTTCAAATGAGAATGACAACACTTAAAATTAGTTCAATATTTCACTACAAACTGTAATATGAAATTTAGAAATTAGATTGCTAATGACAAACGAACTACTTTAATGATTAGAAACATTCCAAATAATTATACAGTGAAAAGACTATAAAATGAGATAGATTTCAAATTCTATTCAAAATACGATTATATAAATATTCCTTGTGATTTAGAAGGAGGTTTTGCATTTATTAATCTAAAAAACAAAAGATATCTTCAAGAATTTTATTTGGCATTCAATAATCGACCTTGGAACTTTAACAGAAATTATGTATATTATTTATATTATATAATAGAGTTGTGTATTAAAATATGCAAAAGTATAATATAATGAAAATTAATTAAAATATTAAAAGAAAATAGGTCCAGATATCTATTCACATTAAAAAAAAGTGATTGATTTGATTAAGAATCAAAAGAAAGAATTAAAATAATGAACATCTTCTTTTGATTGATTGATAGATTATGTTAAATATTTTAATTTTGTATTCTTTTCAAGAATATAGCCGTTTGAGTTTTTATGTATTAATTAATTAAGCCAAATCATTCACCTTCAAAATCTATAAGATATTCTTCACTTAAACTTCCATATAATAGAGATAATTTTTAATTTTCTTATGAAAAAGACCCTGGTGAATATTATGTTGATGAAACTTCTTTTGACAATAGATTTAAATATTTATAACAGGCTGCTACAAGTTCAGAAGAAAAAAATGTTCTTGTTTATTATTATTATGGATCTTGAAGCATTGTTGATTTAAATTTGAATAATTTAGCAGGATTAAATGAATATTATTTACCAATATTATCAGTAACAAATTCGTGTATCCTTGATTTAAAATTTTCATCTCTATTAACTTATAATTTTCTATAAATAACTCTAAAATTAAATTATATTTTACTTATGATATAGATAATTCCATTTACATACAATAAATTTATTCCAACGACATAATCCAACTCCATGTAATGGTAATGCTTCAAATAAATACAATTAATTTTCATTTAAACGTATTAAAATTCCAATATGATCAAAATTAGATTGTGTTAAGGTTCTTTAAATATGACAATTTATATCTTTCCCTTAAAATAGTAAAATATCTCCATCTTCAGCATCCTCCATAATTTGTAATGATGAAATACGTTCAAACTCAAATTAACAAAATCATAATACTCTCCAAAAATATTCATATGAACTTAATGATTTCAAAACCTTTAATGACCCAATTGAATCTTAGAGATGTTATTTTATCAATTAAATCCAAGTTTTAGTTTAGTCAACTGTACCTCCTTTGAACTGAAATACTTTTTATGTTTAACCCAAAGGCTTTAAACTATTAGAATATTGATATTTATACATAAATTCCACTGTATTTCCATTTTTATCCTATAATTCTTATAATTAAAATGACTAAACATCAAAATTTAAAACTCCTTAAAGTTTCTTATTTTCGCAATCATAATATCTAAATACTCTATTTTTTAATATACAATTTCTCTATGAATACCCTTAAAACCAATGAGGACTTTTCTTCATTAGGTATCCCTCTATCATTCCTAATTTTTGTCTAATATTAACAATGTTAATAATTTATTCTTCGTTATGCTATATTTCTTCATCCAATTTCAAGGCCTTATAATAATATATTAATGATGTCTAATTTTAATTTTAAACTTCCATTGCTTCAAATTCCTCTATATCATTCATCTGATTTTGCTTTCTAAATAATTTATCCTGTTCACTTCTTTTTGCTGCACTCTGTAAATGTTATTCGTAATCAGGACCTAATATTTTGCCAATGCTTGTTATAGAAGAAGTTTAGACGATGCCTAAAGGGGAAGGCAAATCAATTGAAGTTTGCATTAATTAATTATAGAATTATAAATCATCTCTTAAAAAAGAACAAAATATTCTGGACTCAACTTAACTTCTTCTAATCAATCTAACCGTTTATCTTAAATAAAATCATTTGGATAATATTAGATAGAGAACTTTATTTAATCTAATAAATCAATTTCTATTTAAGCTTTAGAAACTAATTCAGAACAAAAATGATCTTATTTACTCTACTTTTTAATTATTTGATGATGTTTTTATTTTAGATTTAAATCTTAACAATTTTTATAGCTCAAACTGGATATCAATATATATGTTTTTATTTATAAAATAAAGAAATCTGAAATAAACTCCTGGATTATTCTTTTTAGCATAATTTAATATTCTAATTCAATCTTTCTCATAAAATTAATACTATTCTTGTTATTTTAAATAATCTAATTAATTATATAATAAGTTGGATACCTCATCTAAATTTTCCAACTACTGTTTAAACTGCTTCATAATATTAATTTTCTTTATATAAATTAACAAACATGATCAAATTATGAACCAAGAATCATTTCTGAAATTGTTGCAACTTTACATAAATGTGTAATTTATTATTTTTTCCATATTATTAATTCAAGTATTCATGAATAACATTTACACAAATCTATATTTCCTTACAATTTCATCTTAAACATGGATTCATTTTTGTAACTCTTTGGAATCAAATTAAAATTGAAAAATTGTGCCTATACTTTTCAAATCAAAATTTAATGATCCTTCTAATATATTTCGTATATTAGAGTAGTATAATTATTTATTTCATTATAAAATTTGAAGTTATGACTATCTAAAATACTAATTTTTTTGTTGAAACTAAGAATTATAAGAGAACTTTTTCATCATTTAAATAATTTAATTATTATCTATTTCCTTAAAAAATGCTTGGCATAATAACTTATGAAATCAATTTTAATAACCATAAGATGAATCATAAAGGATATTCAAACCCATTTTATTGATTCAACAATAAATTATTTTAATTTAATTTTTGGATATGCATTATGGTTATTTTTCATGATATTTCTGATCTTTGGGAATTCATCATTATTTAATGAACACATTAGTTACCTTGAAACATATAATTTCATTTAGATCCATTCATATTTATTAATAATTAATAATTTAAAATAATTATTCCTATAACTTTCTTACCTAACATTTAGTATTAAGAATTAATCTAAAATTGTTCTAACTACTAAGCTAATAAAAACATGATAGAGATATATGTTCAGGAAAAACTAAAATTGTCATTATTTTTCTTAATTATAGAATTGAATTCCTTTAATTTATCTATCTGTTTAATGGTTCAATTAAATTTCAAAACTTCTACTTAAAATCATAGAAGATATGAGAGTTATATAATAATAAATTTCGTTTGTTTAATTTAAAAAGTAGCGGGTTAGCCGTTCCCCGAGGTCGTGTAAGTCAGGGTCGACTATGCTGGGACCGGAGCAAGCCCCAAGTAAACCCAGCCCCATTTAAAAATTGCAGTGATATCATTCTCCTCGTAGGAGATATCAGATATCACTCTGATAAGAACAGATACTACACTTGATCTTAGCCAAAAGGCCGAGAAGGTATGAAATTTAATAGTCTTTTTTATTTCTTTATATATTATTATTAATATTAATAAATTATGGGTTTTATAAAATAATATTAATTACAAAATCAATATACTATTTAAAATTAATTTTTTATTTTTTTTGAAGGATTTCAAATAACAAAATGATATAAAATTGATAAAATATTGTATATCTAAAAATACTGATATAGAAATAATAGAATGAATTTAAAATTAAGATAATTTCTATAAAAAAGAAATTCTTCTTTAATAAAACAAATAGAATATTTTGATATTTGATAATGAAAATGATTAAGTTTAAATTGTTAAGAATGTAATTTTGAATTCTATAATGATGGATCTATTAAGAATATAAATATTTATTAATCAAAAATGGTAGATATTATTTTTTATTCATAAAAAATTTAATAGTTATACTTGAAAACATAGAATATTTATGAAATAATGTTATTTTTCATTTTATTTACACTAATTGGATTCAATACTTTACTTTAATTCTCCATTTAATGTTAAGGTTATGTTGATCATATTGTTAGGTATCTAAGAATTGAANTATATTTGCTGATTCAATATCCAATATATGATAAACCTTATATTTATATTTATCTATTTTACTTTGTGCACTATTCCACCTTCAGGATAAGACACATTTAATCCTGCAGCTACTGTTAAAACTGTCTTAATTCCTCTTCCATCCAAAAGACTTCTATCATATGCAGCAGTGCAATCTCCCAACCATAATATATTACCATTCTCCTCTAAGATTTAGTTCATTGACTAATACATTGGATCAAACATACGAAACATACTTATTATTTATTATTTAATATCAAAATCTCTCTTTGAACAAATCGTTTTACTTTAACAATTAATTACTAAATCCATTCACCAAAAACTGAATAGTTATTTCTATATTTTACTCAAAGTATCTCTTGGTCACCCTTATCTTAATATATAATAATAATAAATTTCGTTTGTTTAATTTAAAAAGTAGCGGGTTAGCCGTTCCCCGAGGTCGTGTAAGTCAGGGTCGACTATGCTGGGACCGGAGCAAGCCCCAAGTAAACCCAGCCCCATTTAAAAATTGCAGTGATATCATTCTCCTCGTAGGAGATATCAGATATCACTCTGATAAGAACAGATACTACACTTGATCTTAGCCAAAAGGCCGAGAAGGTATGAAATTTAATAGTCTTTTTTATTTCTTTATATATTATTATTAATATTAATAAATTATGGGTTTTATAAAATAATATTAATTACAAAATCAATATACTATTTAAAATTAATTTTTTATTTTTTTTGAAGGATTTCAAATAACAAAATGATATAAAATTGATAAAATATTGTATATCTAAAAATACTGATATAGAAATAATAGAATGAATTTAAAATTAAGATAATTTCTATAAAAAAGAAATTCTTCTTTAATAAAACAAATAGAATATTTTGATATTTGATAATGAAAATGATTAAGTTTAAATTGTTAAGAATGTAATTTTGAATTCTATAATGATGGATCTATTAAGAATATAAATATTTATTAATCAAAAATGGTAGATATTATTTTTTATTCATAAAAAATTTAATAGTTATACTTGAAAACATAGAATATTTATGAAATAATGTTATTTTTCATTTTATTTACACTAATTGGATTCAATACTTTACTTTAATTCTCCATTTAATGTTAAGGTTATGTTGATCATATTGTTAGGTATCTAAGAATTGAAATTTGTTTAAAAATAGTTTTATATAATTTTTCTATGTTTAGTTCTTGGAAGTTGAGTTATAAAATGTATTCAAGATTATGTTAATTTTGATAAAGACATAATAATAATAATTTTATAATCCGTTTTGATGAAACAAGCATTATTGGTATTAGCGATCATTTGCTTAGGTTTTGCTGGTCATAATATTCGTCATCATAAATAGAACACAGCAAACTCATAAAAATCATTGGTTTAGACTTAAGAAATTCAATATATTGATGATGATAAAAGTTATTAAGAACCTGCTCAAACAACATCTAATGAAGCTGAATTAGTATAAGAAACATAAATTTAATAAGAATAAACAGAATAATAATAATTATAAGAGCAATAAGAATCTGAAATAAATTTAACTACCTAAGAGCAAGATTAATTAGATTTAGAAGAATAAAGAAAATATGAAGAAGAAAAACAAAAATAATTATAATCAACCAAAGGATCTGATGATGATTTTTATATGAATGCTTTAAATGTCGAAATTCAAACCTAAGATTAATCTGATTAAATGCCAGTTGATGTTGTAGAAAATCAACTCAATCCAGTGTTTGAAAAGGATCCAATTCCAGATTAAAAGGGAGTTGATTCACCATTTTAACCTGCAGATGGTTCATTAATGATAAATCCTGAAGAACCTGAATATGAAATTAAATAAACCCAATTAATGCCAGATGAAATACCTGCAGAACAATTATAAGAATATATGGAAAAAATAGAGGCATAAGAAGCATAAGAGATGGCTATTCTTGCAGCATAAGGACCAAAATGATAATTATTATAATAATAACATCATATATATACATATTCAGAATGGAAACTTAAATATTTAGTAAAAGTTAATTTAGAAATTAATGATTAATATATATATTATCATTATTTCACATAAATTAAGAAATAGTATTAGTAAATTTAATTTATTAGAGAGAGTAAGTTTTGAATATAAATGTAATATTGATTTGCTAATTAATATATAAAAAATGTGATCTTTTTATCTGTAGTTCTTGTAGAATTATGATTCAATTTGTATTTATATTAAAGATATTCAATATAATTAATTAAAAGAAACATAAGAATTTATAGGTATTGTTTTTAAATATACTTATAGGTTATAGATAACAGATTATAAATATATATATATAGTTACTAGATTAGATAACATAACTTAATCATTGTTTTGCTCTTTGTTAATCAATGACTTATTATAAAGCATAATTTTTGATGATATTTGATTCATTAGTTTTTTTTCTACATTAAGGGCATTCCTAAGATTTTTACAACCATTATAATAAGGGAGCCTTATCAAAAGTATGACCACATGTACTAAGTTAGGCTGCATCGACAATCAATTCTAATTTAAAGATAATAATCATAAATAACCTCCAGATATTGGACAACAAAGACTTTCAATTAATTATTCACCATCATTTGTTATTTATGAAGGCTATTATTTTGATTGTATTTAACTCTAGATCTAAGACTATTCATTACTAGCAACAGCCTTCATTCCAAATATTGTTCCTATCACTCCAATAGCTAAACCACCTAAGGCATACAACCATGCACTGCTATTTTAATTTGTTCCCTATTTTTGTTATTAAGGTTTATTCATAAAGGAATTAATTTTTTTTTAGTTTAAATAAATAATAATTTTATTATGCAATATAATCTCAATTAAACATTCTAAATATAGAATATATAGAACATCTCTATAATTATTTAAATGTTTTGTATATATTGATATTTATAACATATGGTAATATGGAACAAAAATCTAAGTTTTTATGTAAATAGAAAGAAGATTAATTATAAAATTTTAGAATTTATATTTTGGTAAAGATTAATAAGGTGCAATTGATAAGTAAGTAGATAAAAATTTTTATAGAGTGATAACTTAAATAAGGGAATAAATAAATTAAATATATTAGGAAATCAAAAAGGAATTTGCAAAAAAATATGCTAATCCTTTTGTAATTTATACAAATTAATATGAAACAGTAAAGAAAAAATCATTGCAGAAAAGGCATCAACATAGGAATCTGTGTAATTAGTATTGAGAGACAATTTTTCAAAGAATGCCAATTAATAAATGAGATAAGCTAACATGCCTTAAATAAAACCTAGATTATGGGCTAGTATAATGCTTGATAAATGTGATATAATACCTAATTAATTTCAAATATTTGATTATAATTAATAGATCCAAGATTTATATTTTTTGATTGAAATTTAACTAAAGAATAAAGTGATATATATATGGATAATAATATGATTAAAATTAATTGTTAATGCATTAGCACTATCTCCCCCGTCCCCAAGATTGGAAAAGTCTGATATTTAGATAATTTTTATATATTACAAAAAATATGGAGCAAAAGATATTCCAGGATATTTTAGTATAATAATAATTTTTTATAATTTATTTAGATTCCATATAATTTTGATGTTTAAGAAATACAATAATAATTTGGAATATATTAAAAACAGATAAAATAGGAAAGAGAAGAATATGAATAGGAATTGAAGAAGTATTAATAATCATTGTACAATTTAGTTGATCATCATTCCATTACTAATATTTAAAATGAAGTGATATAATATTCTATTTATTATTAAATTATTAAAAAATACAGAAGTAATAAAGATATTAAATTTAAGTTTACTAATATTATAAAAATAATTAAATGAAGTAAATACTGAGAGATAGAATAATTTTAAGAATGAAATAATGGATATTGACAGATAGTGTTAGTAAGACAATAGATAGTTTAGATCATTTCTATATACCAATTCCATTTGGTGGAACTATTTGAATGTTTATAATTGAAATATTAATTAAATGAGTGTGTTTTTATATGATATGAATATCATTAACTTAGTCCAGGTCTTTTCTCATTTATAGAGTCAGCCATTTTAGCAGTCTAAAATGCACCATTTGCTAATATTATATAAGATAATATTTACAATCTTTAATACTATCTAAAAGTGTTTTAGGTATACGGCTATCAGGACAAGCACCTTTAGTTTAGACTAAACTTTCACTTTGTTATCTTAATCCTTTTTAAATTTGCATCATTCTAAAAACAAATTTGATTTTGCTTTTCAAAAAAACATCTTTATTTTTATGTTATTAATCTCCTACTAATTCTTTGAATTTAGCAATATCATCTTCATCTACTATCTCATCCATAGCTTCTCCATCTCTAGGTTGTATAATGTGGAACAATACTTCAGTGACTACAATAATTAAATTAAGTATAACCTTTTTCTGCAACAAAAGGAATAGACCAAGTAAAGATATCCATGAAATTAGGTAATAGATATGGATGTTAACTATAATTATATTATTGAATATTGAGATCATTATTCTAAAGAAATATAATAATTATATACTTTGAATTTGATGACAGCACCTTTATTATTGTATACATCACAATAATTAGGAGCTGAAAATATTGTAATTACCATAGGAAAATCTTATCCTCCATCCCATCTATGCATTTTATATCCTTCTAATTATGCTTCATGAGCTCTAATGACAGATATCAACTTATTTCTTTCTAAGAATCTGCTGACTGCTTCCATTCCATAAAAGTAAGAACAGCCTCTGACTTCATTAATTCTAAACTATCCTTCACAAATTCCATCATCATTATCTACTGGATCTGCCCAAAGGATATCACAGAATAGTCCATTTTTAGGTGGTTCCCTAAATCTCTCAACCAAATTAACATCAGTAACCTCGATATAAATTATATTATACATTTCTTAATTCTGGAGAGATCCCTCCATGAAGTGCAATGAATTAATTATTAATAATGCAAGCTAATGGAAGATTGTCAAATGAATCCATAAAAACATCATACAATTCTTAATCATACTTGTATTTGCATTCATCCATAAAGTTAAAAAATGATGTTAATTATCTACATTCATGATTGCCTCTCAACATATAGATAGTTCGTGGATAATTGATTTTTAGTGAATACAACAAAATTAACACCTCTATAGAGAATGGTCCTCTATCTACATAATCACCCAAAAACACATATTTCTAAGACTCAGGATTACCTCCAATATCAAGAATTTTAAGAAAATCATAAAATTGTCTAAACTATTATTTTCAACATACCCATGAATATCTCCTACTACAGTTAAAGGATCTGACAAATGTATCAAACTACCCTCATTCTCTTTACTATAATGAACAATTGCTTACTAAAGATTTTGTTGGCCATTGTTACTAATTTTATTACTTCCTTTTTTGCAATTCTTCCCTCTCTTTCTAAATGTTCCTTAATGAGTTTCCAGTCAGGTTTACCTATGATCAATATGTTTCTATTACCTTAATTCTTGGCTGGAAACATCAGATCATTATCTAAAGGACGATGAGGTGGTAAAGGAACTTACTTGACTACTCTATCCTATGCTGGATCACAAAGTGGTTACATAATAATTTTTATTATCGTTTTTATACGATGAACATATTTCTATACTCCCTTCTGATTGTCTTAGTCTTCTGTGGACAAGAGCAAGGTACCTTCCTATAAGAGCAAAGTACTACTCCACAACAGAATAAACTCTATACAATAAAATTAAAAGAAACCCACACAATTGTATTCAACTTATTAATAATGAAAATAGGTATCTGCTAAAGAAATGTATGACTTTTTAACCACCAAATAAACATATTTCAAATAATAAACACCAATTGATATTTAGGAAATCGAATTTGGTGGATATGTACCAAAACCATAATAAACTACAGAGAGGAGATAAGCAAATCTTAAATTACATAATTTCAAGAATACTTAATTTACTGGTCCTATTACTGTAGGTGATCAAGAATTTTAAGTTATTTTTGATACAGGATCTGCAAATTTCTGGATTGATTCTGTTAAATGCAAAAATGAAGGATGCAAATAACATACACAATATAAACCAGGTTTTAGTTCTAAACATCTTGGTTATGCATTAAATGTATAATTTGGTACAGGGGATTTAAATGGAGAAGTCAATTCAGATATTGTTAAATTAGGAGAAATAGAGGTAGAAGATTAAAATATTGCTGAAATAGTTGAAGAAAACGGGTCTGTATTCTAAAATGTAATTTTATTAAATTATTATCTAAGTCTGGATTTGATGGTATTGTTGGTTTAGCATATCCTTCTATGGCTGCTTATAACTTAAATCCATTATTTGATAACATTATGAAATAAAAGAAATTAGAATCTAACTCATTTTCATTTTACATGAGCAATAAAGTTAATAGTCTTGAATCTTAAATTACTTTTGGTGGTTATGATGTTACTAAACTTGATGGTCCTATTCATTATCATCCTGTTATTGATAAATATTATTGGATGATTAAAGCTGAGAATATTTTAGTCAATGGTCAAGATTAAGGATTCTGTCCAAAAGGTTGCAAAGTTGTTGCTGATACTGGTACTTCTTTAATTACTGGTCCATATGATGATTTAATGAAATTATTAGGTAATTAATATCATATTTATTATAGATCTTACCAATATCAATGATAATTGCTCTAATTCAAAAGAATTACCAACTCTTACATTTAGAATTGATGGAGTCAATTATGATCTTGAAGCTAAAGATTACATTATGGAATTAAAAGATGATGGAACTGAAATTCCTTTGAGTAATGAAGTTTCAGCTTCTGCCTTTATTGAAGGATCTCCTAAATAATGCATTGGAGCATTTATGCCTTTAGACATTCCTGATCCATAAGGTCCAGCTTGGATTCTAGGAGATATCTTCTTAACAAAATACTTGAGTATCTATGATAGAGATATGAATATGGTAGGATTTGGAAAGGCTAAACATTGAAAAATTAATATTACCCTATTATCAAAAATGTAATCATATCATTAAAAATTTCATATATAATTCATCCATATATTATATTGTAACAATAAAATATAAATCAAAATCTCATTTCTATATTGAATTCAAATGATTTTTTATAAAAATAAAAAAAATTGAATCATTGATCTATTTAATAATGTCTAATTAGTTAAAAACATTACTTTAATCTATTTTATAAGCACAATAACTTTAATAGAACAATAAAACTTATTAATGTGCATTTTTAACATTTCGTATTATTTTAATACGTATTATTTTACAATATAAAAATTGGAAGCAAATCTTGTTTTTCTATATTATATTAGTTTGTAATGATAGCAGCTCCTAAGATATTTGAAAATCATTTGGCAGAAAAGAATGAATCCCCTGACTTTTTTATCTAATAGTTTTATGTTGAGTGTCTCTCTACTTTTTCATATTACATTGAATCCAAAGGGGAAGTCGCAGTTATTGATCCTTTGAGAGATATTCATTAATATATGTAAGATTCTTAGTGTTATGATTAGTGAATTATCAAAAAGTAGAAATGCTTAAATCAAATGGATATTTGAAACTCATTTCCATGCAGATTTTGTTAGTGGACATAGAGAATTAGCAAATTTGACTGGAGCAACTATTGTTTATGGACCAACAGCTGTAGCAAGTTACCCAATTAAAGAAGCTAAAGATGGAGAATTGATTCCATTAGGAAATGTATAAATTAGAGTGGATCATACACCAGGACATACAATGGAATCAAGTTGTTTTGTCTTAGTGCATAATGGAAAGGATCATTCTGTCTATACAGGAGATACACTATTTTTGGGTGAAGTTGGAAGGCCAGATTTAGCTGTAAAAGTGGGAGAATTAACAGTTGAAATGTTGGCTTCATATCTTTATGATTCCTTAAGAAATAAAGTTATGACATTGAGTGATGATGTTATTGTTTATCCAGGTCATGGAGCAGGTTCATCTTGTGGAAAATCAATTGGAGCAGGTAAGTGTTGTACAATAGGAATGTAAAAGAAGAACAATTATGCTCTTTAAGATATTACAAAGGAAGAGTTTATCAACTAAGTTCTTAAAGGTATGCCAAAGCCGCCTTAATATTTCTTTCATGATGCAAAATTAGTAATTTTAGATAATTATAAATATAGAATAAAAATGGTGCTAATGATTTTTCTGCTATTTTAAATGAAGTTCAGAAAGCCTTAACATATGAAGAATTCATGAATCATGTAAAGTAAGGAGCTTTGATTTTGGATACTAGACCAAACATTTAAGAAGGTGTAATAAAAGGTGCTATTAATGTTACTTTTATGTCTGGTTTGGTAAATTTTGTAGGAGCTATTATAAAACCAGAAACTAGATTGGTGATAATTGGTAAGGATGGAGAAGCAAAGGATTCAATAATTAGATTATTAAGAATTGGCTATGATAACATATTTGGATATTTGGAAGGAGGATTTGAAGCATATAAAAATAATGGTGGAGAATTAGCAACATAAGTTTAATTAGTTGGACTTGAAGAATTCTGTAACATCAATGATAATCCTAGTAAATAATTAATAATAATAGATTTAGATGATCATGTTTTTGTTGATGTTAGAGGAGTAGCAGAATTAAGAGAGACTGGATTTGTTAAAGGGGCTATTTGGATTGCTTTACCTGAGATAGAAGGAAACATTGATAAAATACCAAAGGATAAGAAGTTGCATGTATATTGCAAGTCAGGATGGAGAGCAAAGATTGCTATGAGTATACTAGTGAGAAATGGATTTGAAAGGATTATGATTACTTAAGATGGGGGATTTGAAGATATGTTGGGAAAAAATTTGATTGAAAAAGATAACATGTGATGATGAATTATGATTTCACATATTAAATATTATATATTATTGTGTTAAATACACAACAATAGTTAGATAATTATTCTAAATTTTTAATTAAGATATGAGATAGTTCGCAATCTCTTTGTTCAAAGTATCGTAGACACAATTTACACAAATACCAAAATTCTATTTCTCAAGTAAATAGTTTGTATAAAGTAATTAGAAAAGTTAGTGAATGTGCCAACAATGGGTGATTCAATTACAGAAGGAGATGTAAAAGAATTGTAGAAGAGTATGCTTGTTAAATTTGATAATTAGAGGTTGGAGATTATGTGAATTAAGATGATGTGATTGCATTGATTGAAACAGATAAAGTTACTATAGACATCAGATGTGCAGATTCTGGAGTGATTACATAAATGTTTGCTGCTGATGGTGCTAAAGTTGAAGTTGGCAAACCCTTTTATGAAATTGATACTTCAGCTGCTAAACCAGCTGGTACAACAGGAACTCCAGAAACAAAAAAGGAATAAAAGCAAGAAGTGAAACAAGAATAAAAATAAGAATAAAAACAAGAAGCACCTGCAGCTTAAAAGAGTACTCCTCCTCCAGCTGCTAAACCTGCTGAAAAGAAACCTGTTGCTCCATCTGTTACAACTCCTACTTAAAGAACAGAAAAAAGAGTAATTAACTATAAATATGAATTTAGGAACCAATGTCAAGAATGAGATAACGTATTGCATAAAGATTAAAAGATGCTTAAAATACTTATGCATTACTTACAACATTTTAAGAATGTGATATGAGTGCTGTTATGGAAGCAAGAGAAGCCATGTAGAAAGATTTCTAAAAAAAGCACAATGTTAAATTGGGTTTCAGTTCTTTCTTCATTAAGGCTGCTGTCAAATAATTATAAGAATAACCTATTGTTAATGCAGTTATTGATGGCACTGATATTGTTTATAGAAATTACATTGATATTTCTATGGCTGTTGCTACACCCACTGGACTTATGGTACCAGTTCTTAGAAATTGTGAACGTCTCAGTTTTGCTGATATTGAAAGAGTACTAAAGATTATTAAATAATTAGACACTTATTGATCTAGCAGAAAAAGGAAGATAAGGAAAAATCTCAGCAGATGATATGGTTGGTGGAACATTTACAATCTCAAATGGTGGAGTATTTGGAAGTTTGATGGGAACACCAATTATAAATGCTCCTCAATCTGCTATTTTAGGAATGCATGCTATTGTTAATAGACCAGTTGTTAGAAATGATTAAATTGTTGCTCGTCCAATGATGTAAACATTATTTATTATATTCATAGGTATCTTGCATTGACATATGATCACAGAATTCTTGATGGAAAAGATGCTGCCACTTTCCTTAAGAGATTATCTACTTCAATTGAAGATCCAAGAAGAATATTATTAGATGTTTGAATTATCAAATTTTATACAAATAAAAATAGGTAAATTAGATTTTCTTAAAAAAATATTTCTAATTTCATAAAATTATGGGTTTGCATTGAAATGTAATGGATTCACAAATCTAAATCTTTTTAAATAAAATATTTTGTTATTCTCAAAATGAATACATGTAATGCCACACCAGCTTACGTCAATGCTCAAAAAGCTTAACTAATTGGAGAGAACTTCTATATACAATAATTTCAAGTTAGCTGTTTGGGTTAATTTTCCTACTACATTGAATCCAACAACGAAGCTGCAGTAATTGACCCTATGAGAGATTATGAAGAATACATGTATTAAAGTCTATCCTATATTTATTAGTAAATTTTCTGAATCAAGAAATTCTGTTATCAAGTATGTTATCTTAACTCACATTCATGCTGATTTTGTTGCAGGACATGTAGATTTAGCTAAAATTACAGGAGCTTAAATTGTATTGGGTCCGTAGGCTGTTACTTAATATTAAGCAAGAATCACATAAGATGAAGGTATATTATTTTATCGCCATCATTAGAATTATTGCCTTTAGGAAATGCATATCTTAGAGTATTACATACACCTGGCCATACTTTAGAATCTAGTTGTTTTGTACTAGTAGTAGATGGTAAAGACTATGCTGTTTTCAGTGGAGACTCACTTTTTCTTGAAGAAGTTGGAAGACCTGATCTCGCATCTAAATCATCAGGTTTGACTACTCAACAACTTGCTTCACTTCTTTATCATTCCCTTAGAAACAAAATCATGAAGCTAAATGATGATGTCATTCTCTATCCTGGACATGGAGCAGGTTCTGCTTGTGGTAAGGCTATTGGAGCAGGTACTGTAAGTACAATTGGGGAATAGAAACTCAAAAATTGGGCATTATAGAATATTACTGAAGAAGAGTTTGTAAAAACATCAACTGATATACCTACACCTCCTCAATATTTCTTTCATGATGTGCAAATAGTAATTTTATTAAATATAAATATCTTAGAATCGATAAGGTGCTAGTGACCTCCAAAGTATAAAATAAAAAGTTACAAAAGCTTTGAATTATTAAGAGTTTACTCAAATTGCAGCTGAAGGTGCCTTAATATTAGATTCCAGAGATATTGTTAATAAAGGAGTGATCAAAGGCTCCATCAACATTACCTAAGTAGCTACTCTTGCTTCTTTTGTTGGCATACTCTTTAAGCCTGATTAAAAAATTGTCATAGTTGCAGATGAAGGCAAAGAAGAATAAACAATCATTAGATTACTTAGAATTGGATATGAAAACATCCTTGGTTATTTGGATGGAGGATTCGATAATTATGTCAGAAATGGAGGAGAAGTTTAACAATTAAATATTGTTGATTTGAAAGATTTCTTAGATACAAAAGATTAACCTCAAAATCATGTGTTCATTGATTGCAGAAACCCAGTTGAATTTAAAACCACAGGAATTGTTCCAGGATCTTTAATGATCCCTCTATTTTAAATAGAGAATTAAGTAAAATATTAATATTATAGTATATAGCTTGATTTGATTCCAAAAGACAAGACATTACATATATACTGTCGTTCAGGAGCCAGAGCTAAAACTGCTGCTACCATACTATTAAGACATGGTTATTCAGATTTTGTTTTAGTTTAGAATGCTGGACTTGAACATATTGTCAAGGAACATCAAATTAAAGTCCAAAAAGTTGAATGATTCCTATTATACATAACAAATTAATTTAAATCATTTTATACATATATATATATTTCAATTTAATGATGATTCAATTCAATTTATCATTCTTATAAGAAAATCTGTTATAAAGAAAGTACATATTTATTCAATTAAACTTTTAGAATGTAAATCATCATTTAGTTACTTAACTAAATTCTAATTGCAAAATATCTTGTGTTTCTAAAAAGAACAATTTGTTTTTGAACAAATTTAAATTGTAAAAACTTAATGTTCTTCTATTATTATTGGATTATTTAACTATAATAAATATTTATTTTATAAAATGGGTCTCTATTTCACTAGTTAATCATGCATAATTTTCATATCTTATTTGTGTATTAATTCATTATTACTATTAAGATAAATTGATAATTTAATCTCTAAATTTCTCTAAAGATTTAATCATATACATACTCGTTATCTCTCTATTGGCAGTAAGTAAGGAATGTAAATACCTAAGAGCTAAAATCTCTTCAAACTTATAGCACTAAACCCGATTGGCTTTTAATTTAAAATAAATGACTAATCAGTAGCTTTTTCTTGGAGTCGATGTATTATTTTTAATTATTAATATTTTATGATGTTTAAACTTTTTGTGTATTATATTAAATTTTCAATATCTTGTAAAGCTTCAGAAAAATTCATTTTTTATACATCATCTAAATAATCAGAAAATTCTTTAACGATTATGGTATGAATTCCTGACTTTTCAAAGTTATAAGAAACATATTTATTGAATTCTTATATAAGTTGTTTAAGTTCTTAGATAAAAAACCTTTTCTTGTTTTGTTTATTAACAAAATTTTATTAGAAGAGTTGTTACAAATGATATTAAGAATCAAATCTATCTTTTAGTTAAGCTAATTGATTTTCCATATTTTCAAAGATTTCTAAAATCTTGAATTTCAAAGTTTTTATACTTTCAAAAGCCTCCTATAAGCAAGCTTATTAATCAATTTTATTTTATTATCTATAGTAGAGATCCGATAAAAAAATATAAGCATTTTCGATTAGTAAATATTCTGAATGTTTGTGAGAAGTCTCTCTTTTGTTAAGACATTAAACACATAACTCTTCAAATTATTTAGGACACTGATCATTTACACAAAAATACACAATATTCTCCTGATGTCCTATTCTAGAACATTATGGCATAGCTCTAATATAAATGATAATGTAATTACTAATAGAAATTAGGTATCTTATACTCCATTAATATTTTTATTTTATTATTTTTGATTGTATTTTATACTTAAAGTTTGGAGTCACACTTTAGAAATAAAAAAATATTAACAAACCAATTTTAGAGAATACTATTTTTTGAATAAAAATACATAATACAAAAGTAATAATTTATATAACTTAGAATTATCAATCTATTATATATTATATGATTAATATATAATTATGGAAGAGAAGAGTTGATAAAAAATGTTAAATTTATTGATCTAATTTGCTATGAAAATAGGGATTATTTTGTTTATTTTGATAATAAATCATTTCTTGTCTCCTTTGGCTTAATATCCTGCAACTGGATCAGTTATAACTAATGGGTTAAGTCATATAATTTACATCTGATATCAGTGACTTTTCCTTGAGTGTATGTTCTGAGCTTGTAATTAATAGATAATCTATTTTAAACAACACTTGGAAGTCCACTAATTGAATATGAAATATTGAGTACTTCTTGACACCTTCAGCTGAATGAAGGAAATTTCTGATAAGTGTAATTCCACCTCTCTTGAAAGCGAATTCGATACACATTTATAAAATTTATATTTAATATTAATATATATTTTCATTTATATCTCTAAAATAAGGGATGGTCTTTATCCTTAAAATCAGCTAAGTAGGTGCATTTCTCCTTAACTGGATAATTTTTCTAGAATTAATATATATAAATACAGGATCATATGCAGTTCCGAAGAATCGATCAATTTTGGCATCACCATAGTTTACTACATAATAGAGATGATGTCTATAGTGATCAGAATGATCATATTTTCTATAAAATAAATTACTAAACATATTACCCTCCATCATGGGCAAAAAGATCATTGAAAGCCATCATTCCTCCATAAATCATAGTTTACATAGGGTGAATTGGCAATATTAATTCAGCAGTATGGAGGAGAAGATTACCTTCTATAAATCCTTCCAAAGGATGAGCAGCACAATAGCAAAAGGCAGTAGGTTCTTTAAATGAGTGATGGACACTATGAATGTATTTATAAAAATATTTCAAGTGGAGCATTCTATGAGTCCAATATCCAACACCTAAATAAGAAATAAATAAAGGAAAGAAAATTACATGTAGTCCATAACCAATGAAATATAATTCCATAGAGGAAGTGAAACACTGTATAATCATGGTTTTCAAAATATTTATAGTAAGGAGTATAGGGATATAAATAATAATAAAAGGACTAATATTTGTTAATACAATATATACCATTGATACAAAACATCCAAATATGAGCTATACTATTCCATATCTGATTTCTCTAAAGATATTCTAAAGACGTAATTTATTCTTTGGCATTGGATTATAGTATTCCACAATCGAACAACAGATCAAATATTGGACAATTCCTCCAATTGATCCAAAGATAATCTTATTAATTGAACAGAAGTACCTTTTCTATATATTACTAGAAAGTGTTAATGTAGATATGCTTTTCTCCAAAACTGATGTCTTCCATTTAACCTCGAACAACAGGAATTACAATTGCAAGAATAATCAAAAAGATTTGTCTGAATTTAATCATTTAACAATATTATTAAAATATAATGTCATTAAAAATTTTATATATGAATGTATTATCATAAATAATAATAAATTTGAATTCAAATGCTTGATAATTGGTACATCTCTTTAGCTATTAAATAGTGATTCCATTCGAAAAGGCTTGTTATACACTCCAACCATGGGAGAACATATAGAAGATGAAGTTGTAGTGTCTTTTGAACAGAAAAGAGGAATCAATTATTAGCATGAATACATGAGACTATACATTGCAAACGTAGTCTTAACTCAATAACTTAAAGAGTTATTATAAGAGAAAGGGGATTTAATTTCCAAGATTAATAGATTCGAAGTATTTAACCATCAATAATAATTAGGAGACAGAAATTGTCAAAACTAATCCAAGAAAGTAAGACTATGAAGAATCAAAGAAAATAGAATAACCAAGTAAAAAATATATAGGTATCTAATTTATAATTATCATTAGTGTAGAGGGTTAAATAAAATATAATGATGAAAATGTTGTACACAATCATCAATATTAAACTCGAAAATTAATTAAGAAAAATTGAAATTTTAAACATATTTATCTATGAAATCACTCATCATCTTTTATTGCTGCTTATTATTTATAAGTTGTTGAGTTTGAGATCATTGATTCTTTATTTGAAAATAACAATACATCTACTTCATTTAATAATTTGGGTAATTTTAATGATTTAATAACTGTCCTTGGACTCATTGAATAATTGGGTATTTCATATTTAGGACGACTTGCACTTGGAAACACCTTAAAGTCAATTTAACTTCATACTTTATTCATTATACTTATAGCTGTCCCTTTATTTGTATCTAATTCAAATAATCCTGTATTAATATTTAAAGGTTCACTATATTTCAAATTTCTTTTTAAAGTATCATAATTCTTCTTAAAATTATAATGTGCTTTATTTATGTGACCTTTTCCTTATAAAAATTCATATCCACTTCTTTTTGGTTCATTTCCTACTCTATCCACAGCATTTTTTGCTTTTTTAATCACAAAATCTGAAATTTTATCATCTTCTTCAAAAAATGGTATTTCTCTATATGGAATTGGAGGGGAAAATGATTTAATTTCCTTTATTAATGAAACACTTTTAGACTTACGAGAATGATTAGTTTAATCAATTTTAATTAATTTTTAGATAGCTCCTCCTTTTTTAAAATATTATAAAAATCTATCCTTATCCAATGAAAATACTTATGCTTTTTAACTCATACAAACAGCTTTATGTTCTCTTACCACATCTTTAATAACTTCTTCATGACCAAATATCAACCCAGATGTGATTATTCCAGTTCTCACTCTTTCATATTTTTTATCATTTTTTTTAAAGAATCTTTAAATTGTTAAATTATTTTCTGTTACCAAAGTTCCAACTTCTATATTTTATGATATCTCTATTTCTCCATTTTTAACAATGTATATTTTGCTAATTACCATATTAATATTATTACTTTGATGGTTAATTTTCTTTATAAATTACATCAAACATTTTATAATCTTCAAAAGTAAAATGATAATAAATTTAATTTAACATTTATTCATTCCATTCAGCAAAAGCAGGTACTTTTTATAAAAATGCAACATTTTGTTATTGTATATACTCATAATATGATGATAATAATTTATTGAATTGTTCTCTAGTTACTGTTGCAAAATTTGTATCTTCTGCTGCTAAAATTGTGGCTGTTCTTGGTACTTATTTTGTTAGAGCAATTTCTCCAAAACTATCCCCTGCTTTCATTTAACCTACTTTTTAAAGTGTAGGAAATTGACATTCAAGAAATTCTGCATCTGTCATCTTTGCATAAACTTCATCTAACAGTACTTAATTCGTTTCAGTGAAAAAAGTTGTTTGCTTTTTAAATCTCTTTGATTTCATCATACTTTGTTAATGTTTCAATGTCGCCTTTCTTGTATTCTATCTCCTTAAAGATTCCTCATGTTTTTTCTCCTCTTCTCCAATCTAATTTCCATCTTAGAGTCCCTTTTTCTATATAAGAACCCAAACACTTCCAGAAAGTATTATATAAAACTTCTTTCCAATATCACCTATATTAAATACAACCTATCTCGCTTTAATTGTTTCATGTGATAGTTATCGATATAAGTTACTAACCATCTCTTGACCCATCTATTGCTCTAAATCTTAGAAAAATTTAAATGAGATAAAAGCTTTTCTTGTTATTTCAACCTCTTGATTGGTTTTAATAGCTTAATCTTTTTAGAGAATGTCAATTATATAATTTAATTGATCTTTATTGCCTAAATCAATGTCTGACTTTTTAGTTGTTAATTACTTTTATTTCATTAATAATTATAACAATTAATATAAAAAAATTTAATTTAATAATATATATAAAATTAATCATTCGAAAGGATTAGTCTTTTAATTATCTTAAAATTGCTAATTGTATGTATATGGATTATCATACATAGCCCTTTTTTAAACCTCATTATTTAAATCTGCAAAGGGATTTGGTTATTGAGCTCTATTATTTTAAGGATCAAATTATTAAAATCCATAATTCTATTATAAACTAGATTTTTGATTTAATGGCTACTAACTCATAAATGGATTATTATTAATAAAATTATTTTACTGAATTATTTAACTCTGACCATATTATTGTTATTATTATTATTACTACCAAGCATTTACTTAGCTAGTTCTTAAATCACTCATCATTTAAAATCCTACATCATCAAACATATCTACTCTATTTTAGTTTGGTGGGAAATTATTAACAAAATTGTTATTAATTCCCTATTATTGCATTGATTACCTTTAGGATATTATTGGATTTATAAATTATTATTATTTAGGTATTGTATTTACTCCGAATCCAGATCCAAAATCAGTTTGAGAATTTATCATAGGATTTATCATTTAAGGATTATTAACCATTGAATTTACAACTTAAGTATTATTAATAATAGAATGAGTTTATGAATTCATTTATTATGATTAACCGAAAGGATTAAATTTATTGTTACCCTCCCATTAAGAATTTTGTTATTGAGGTCCTTATTATTATTATTTATCATCTTTTTCATTTACATTTTTTTCTTTCTCTTTCTCTTTCTCTTTTTATTCTTTTTCTTTTTAAATTTCCTTTTCTTTTAATTATTCTCTTTCTAATAAAGTTGACATCTCTTTTTATTCTCTCAATAAATCAATTATAGGTTCTAATTCTGGATATTTAAATTTATTAAATGCTTTTTAATTTTTTTTCAAAATAGATTTAGCATTCATATATAAATCATAATTGATTGTAATAAACTATAATAAATGAATTTTCTTACAGAATCAAGACTCTAATTTATCATTCGATAGTAATTTCCCAATAATTTATTCATATTATTTAATATTTCAGATAACTTTTATTTATAATTTGATTCTGAACTTGACAATTTACTTTAATTCTAAATATTTTAAAAATTGATACTCTTCTAATTTTTTCTGATAATTTAAAATCTTCAGGTTATCCTTTTGAAAGTGTATTAGATCTATCCTTCTCTAATTCTTCTACTTTTAATTTATAATGATCATAAACTAATCTTATTTCAGAGAAGTTGATTAGCTGAATTTTTAAAGTCTCTATAGTTTAAAACCATTCCCCATAATTTTTATTCAAATCAGATGTAGGTTCAGTCTAAATTGAAAAATAGTAGATACCTTGGAGCGAAAAAGTTCTGAAAGGTTTCCAAACATAGATGTCACTTCTATTCCTATTCTCTTATTTGTATCAGTTTCCTTTTCAAATAGCTTTTAACTAATTTAGCTGATTCTTCCCATATGGCCATGCATTTCTAAATTCAATTATTTGATATACATTAAAACAACGCAGATATATTGCTAAAAGATTATGATAATCCTTTAATATATTAATCTATCTCATTAATTCTTTGTTTTTTTGTTTCTAATTGTGGATCAACAGTTACTTTAGCTCCCCACCATTCTTTAATCTAAAATTTGAGATATTTTTACTTTCTACCCTGTCCTAGATGCAAAACTAGCCATTTAAAAATTATATAATAATTATGTATTAAATATTTATTTATTTTAGTTAACTAATCAACTTGTTCCAAAATTATGAGTTTAATTAAACCTTTAATTAATATACATTAAAAATACCTTGAAGATTAACATTAAATCTATTATAAGTACCATTTTTGATGCTCATTTTATTCAAACAATTTATTATTTTATTCTTCTAACTATGATATTTTTTAAGTGAGATCATTAAATTCATTCATAAATTCATCCAAACTTTATTAATAATTTAGAGATTATTATTCCATTTCCTTGTTAACAGTCTAAATTATTTTACAATAATTACTTCTATTTATTCTTAAATTTGTGTATTCTTTTTAAGAGTCTCAGAAAGAGTGAAACATATGTCTTCCTTTTACTTTTTAAGGTTATTTATAACCTATTATAACTCTTTATTTGAAGGTTGATTTCCACAGAAGGATTGTCCTGGAACCCTTACCAAATTTTCCTTATCTGAAACGTATTTACTTCTTAAATTAGATGCACTTGAATTGATAACTCTCTTTTGCAATTTCTCTTCTACTCTTCCAGTATAATTTTATAAAGATTATTGAGATGGTTCTTAAATAAGAATACTGTGTTCATAGTAACTAATGTTATTGCTTCGAGTTGGAGTACAATCTCCCCTTTATTCGATGCAAATTGGTTTGAAATTTTGAGGAGTTAATGAAGTTCTACTTTTTGGAACTTGCGCTCTAACGAACATTTATTTAATTATTATGTACACTTAGTTCTAAAATTAAGGATAATAAAATTCCAATAAGCTAAGGTATAATTGGAAGATTATTTTCATCTTTTTACCATTTGCTTTAGGCATAGGAATCTATTTTTCCATCACAAGTGGATAACCTAAAAATGACCCTGATTTAACAATAAAAATTCAGCAATCTCATTCTAAAATTCCATATTTCTACATATCTACCTATGAAGAATGCAAGAAAGAACTTACTCTTAGTATAGATAATTACACATCTTCATTTGAATTACCAAGGTAATATCCATTTGCATATACTAAATGCGAAAGATCCGAAAGATAGGACTATTCATATAAATTATAGTAGACATCAGAAACTGTTTTTTAACTTTATAAGTAATATACTCAAATAATTGAAATAATTGAAGCTTCCTATTATTTGTAGTTTTCTGAAGTGCTTTTCAATATGACTGATCAAGTGATTTTAGGTTATGAATAAGCAAATTTAAATAGACCAGCTTATTTTGTAAGAACTAGAAGCAATATATTTTATTCATTTGTAATATATACATCATCAAAAGTTGAATCAATTTATCAAAATTCACTTTTATAAATAAGAGTTTATGGAGGACGAGTAAATATTAAATTCTTTCTTTATGATGAACCTGAACAAATAATTAAAGCATATCATTAGTTTATAGGTGGTTATAAATTGTTTCCATTTTGGACTTTAGGATATCAATATTTTGGATAATGGATTGAAAAGAAAGATTTATAATATCTAGAAGAAAAATAGATACCTCTAGAAACTGTTTGGATAGATGAACAAAAAAATGATTATTTACCTCCAAATTACAAAAAAATTAAGATTACTTATCCTACAATAAAATTAAATACTTAAGATAAAAAATATTTAATAAAAAATTCAAATAGAGAACCATATTTAGGATGTGTTGATGATGAGTATGTTAATTATATAGATTACAATGTTTAAAATACCATTCAAAAGGAAACATAGTTACATCCCATTTCTTAATATTCAGGAGTTATGTTAAAGAATTTTGTAAATAATTAAATTAGTGAAGATGGTTAATGTAAAGGAAAAAATATAGGAATAGATGAGGATGCTTTTCATTTTAGCAATAAAAATCCAGTATTATTAGAAAAAAAAGTTACCGAAAAATATTTTCAGCCATTAAATACATTTGCTTAGTCAAAGTAATATAGTGATCATTCTAATTATGTTAAATTAATTATGAGTGAATCAGCCTTCTATGGTTAAGGTTAATTTAGTGGTTTAATCTTTGATTCTGTAGAACTAGAATAAACTATAGGTCATTTAATCTATAATAATTTTTTTGGATTACCATATACAGGGTCATATGGATGTGATTAAAGTGAATCAACTGTTACATGGTGTGCAAGATGGTTAAGTATTTAAGCATGGATGCCCTTATTTATGAGTAGAAGTACATAATAATTTCATTTTTCTAATCATCCAGATTATTTTTAATAGATTCATTTAGAAGTTACTGCCAGATAATCATTAAATAAATGGATTTTCGCTTAATTTTTAAAGAATTATGATTCAAAAGTAAATGCATTTACTGGAACAATTATTTAACCAATCTGGTGGTTTAATACTTCTGATATAAGGGCATATTAATATGAAAGAAGAGAATTTATTTTTGGTGAAGTTTTTTTAATTGCTCCTATAATTGAAGACCCTGAAGATTAATATTTTACAGAATATGAAATTTATTTTCCATAAGGAGACTAATGGATGGAAACAAAGTAAATAACTTTATTTATGGGAGGAACTCATGTAGCTTTCAAAATTATATCAAGTACATAAACTCCAAGTTTTTAAAAAGCTGGGTAATTATTAATAAATATATTATTTAGGTCTATAGTTTTCAAATAGGAAAATATAAGTTTAAAAATGGAAGAATTAAATAATATTTATTCTTTATATGTTGTTTTTTCAAGATAACAGAATGATGGAGAAGCTGAAGGGATTATGATCACATTGTAAGATTTGAATGATGAAAATGTTAAAAAGAAATGCTATGAGAATAGTAATAATTGTTTGATGAAAGTGAAAATAAGATATGTTTATGATGAAAAATATCATTCAGAACATTATTTTATTAGTTGTAAAGGAATAAATAAAAATACAGTATTTGAAAATGTATAGATTAATACACTTAATTTGTATCATTCAAAATTACATATCTCAAACAAAATTACTTTAAAGAATCCTTTAATTATTAAAGATAGTTTCAAATTTGAATATGATTTATAATAATATATGTATTGAAAATATTATTAATAAAGACTCACTTCATAATCTTACTTTGGGTATATTAAAATTCTATTCATATTTAATATTTTGATCCATATATTTTTGATCTGTTAACTTTTTCTTATTATATAATTATAAAAAATCATTAACAGACACCTTATCTGCTTAACTGATGTTTATATATATTGATTTTATTAAATATATAATAGATTATTCTATTTTATCTCACTCTTCTAATAATTATCTATTTAATTCATCCATTTTACTATAAGAATATTTGAGATGTAATTAATTGCTATTCCAAGAATTGTTTGTAAATATAAGGATGCTTTTTAGGAATGATCAGATCTAATTGTTATAAGTATAATTTCTTTTTCATCATCAAATTGTTTAATTAATTCATATTTATTACTAATAAAATGGAATAACCACCTGAGTCCATATTTGCATCAATTGACAACTGTTTTGATCACTCAATAGTCTATTACTTTCGAATTCTTAAATGGAACTTTTTCTTAATGTTGATTTTCGCTATTCTTCACCTACCATAATTGATATTCTGTATTACAGGAAACAGCATATTCAATTAATTTCAGTTTTAATTAGAAACTTTTACAGTAGCAAATGTTGACATTTCAAATGAGACAGCTTTTCTAATTGGAGTGTTAGGAGATGCTATTGGAACACTTCTTTACTTTTCGTCATTGCTATATTTACGATACAATGCTATAAATAAGGATTCATAATTTAAAGTATCCAGTATTTCACCTTGGAGTGTTGAAGTATGTGGATTTCCATCTGCTACTATAGATCCTGAAGACCTTAGATCTATTATTTAATCTAATACATATGAGATATATTTAGTGCGCAATTTCTAGGGTACTCTTAGTATCATGAAGAATAAGGCATTCAAGGAAAGATAGATCAGATTAGAAAAGAAAAAGTTAGAAGTATTTTCTAAGAGATTATCATAAGCAGATATGTACGTAAGACAAGACTTCATCAGAGTATTGACTGATGAATTAAAAGATATTACAAAAGAATTGTCAGATAAATTCAATATCTTTTTAGCTCCAGATGATTTAGAATCTATAAAGGCTTTCGTTGTTTTTAAAAGTAAAGTAGATCGTGATCTATTTTATGAGAAATATAATTAAGATTGTTTAATTAGGAATGGAATTTACTTATTTTAGAATTAACCATAAGAATTAAAACTTAGAGGTTTATATACTATAAGAGTAACAGAAGCTCCTGATCCAAATGAGATCAAATGGGAAAATATGGATTATTAAGAAAGAAATAATATTTAAATTATTCTTATGCATCTAGCAGTAGCAATAATATTATTAGCACCTTTAATAGTATTTGAAAATATGGCCTTGAAGAATGCAAGAAATAATACAATTAAATGTACTGAATATTGTTTGGATAATGATTTTACAAGAACAGTTTATTATATAATAATAGGATTTTGGATATTTATAGCTGATATATTAGGATGGATCTTTATGGAATTAATAATCAATAAAGAAAAATAAATATATTTAGTATAAGAATAAAAAGTTGTTTTGATTAGAATTATAGTCTATTTGATATGTTATACATTGCTTGTACCAATATTAATTTCATGGGAAACAATAGGAAACATAGTTTTAGTAATTTAAAGTTATACTTCAACAGAAAAATAATTAATTTTTAGTGATGATTTAGATAGAAAATGGATTATTAATCATGGATTAATATTTTTATGGGTAGCTATATTTTATACTCTAAAATTGATAATATTAGGAATTGCATCTGGATGTCGATGTATAACAGGTGGAATTAGAGATTAAGAAGAATTGTAATTAATTGGTTCTTTATTAACAGATGAAAATGAAGAAGAAAGACAAAGATTGACTGGATAATTAAAAACTACATCAAATAATAATAATTAATCTCATTAAACTCTATTTTTATTAAATTTAGATGAAAGTGTTAATTACAATATTTAATCAAGATAAAATTTAGATATCAAAACAGGCAAATAATTTAGACGTGATTCTCCATTAATCAATAGTAATCCCACTTTTAAAACTGGACTTAGATATGCTAAATTATTATTTAGTATATTCTTATCAACAACTATATCAGCAGGTTTACCTTTATTACCTTTATTAGGAGCCATACAAATAGGGATGTAGTATATTTATGATAAAAATATGTTATTGCGATATCATTCTTATAATGAAAAATAATAAACAAAATTATAGGAGTAATTAAAATCAGTAGGGATTGTAACATTAAAATTCATTCATTTCTTTCTAATCCTACATTTAATATTTAGTATATTGATTTATGGATATCCATACATTTACACTTAAAATGGTATGGGGATTTCATCAGATTGGAATGATGCTTCAAATAAGTTATTATATAAAGTAAGCACTGTCATTCCTCTTACTATACTATTAATCATTTTAGTGGTGGCTCTAATCATAGATTTAGTATTTTTTGGAATAAATAATAATTGGAAAATCTAATCTGATTAAATAGGGTAGGATGTATCTTAGAATCTTGAAGATCATGTAAATATTTTGAAAGAATAAGGAAGTGCCATTTCTTACAATTTAAAGCATCATGATGAATTTAGGGATATTTTACTTAGTCAGAAATAAGAGAGCATAAGAGCCACTCTTAATTAATTCAAACATTGATATAAATATATTTTAAATATAGACTTTGATTTAATAATGGTCATAACAGGATCTAATAATCTGAATTTATGAATCAGACTTTATTGGATGATATTAAAGAATTTAAATTATTAAAATAATGCCTAGACATTCTTCCAGCTCAAGTAGAAGCCATAGAAGTAAATACATTTAAATTGAATTTGTATTAGAAAAGCATAGTAAAAAACACAGAAGACAGTCAAGTTCTTCTTCTTCATCGTCTGATTCATCTTCAGAACGCCATCATTAAAAGAGAAAAAGAGTTCATCATAGTCGTCGTTCAAGATCACCTCGCCCACGTTCATCGAGTCCTATCAAGAAGGTGTTTATAAATGTATAAATTTAAATTTTATAGGAGAAACCCATTTAATCCATTTCAAGCGTAGAGACAATCAAAGAATTTAGGGCCTAACATAATATTTTCATTCGATCTCAACATGTAAATGTCCCAGATCCTATCATGAGATTTGAGGATGTTTCATGTTTCCCACAAATGTTGATGGAATTACTACTCAAGGCCGGTTTCAAAGGACCCACTGCCATTTAAGCCCAAGGATGGTCTATTGCACTAAGTGGACATGACCTTATTGGAATAGCGCAGACGGGTTCTGGAAAAACACTAGCCTTCCTTTTACCAGCGATCGTCCACATTTTGGCATAAGCTAGATCCCATGATCCCAAATGCTTGATTTTGGCTCCTACAAGAGAATTGACATTGCAAATATATGATCAATTTTAAAAGTTCTCTGTAGGGTCTTAGCTATTTGCGGCATGCCTTTATGGAGGATAAGATCGTTATATTCAGAAAAGTCAATTACGCAAAGGCCCTTAAGTTTTAATTGCTTGTCCAGGTCGTTTGATTGATCTATTGGATTAGGGTTGTACCACCCTCAAATAGATTAGCTTCCTCGTACTTGATGAAGCTGATCGTATGCTCGACATGGGTTTTGAGCCATAGATTAGAAAGATTGTTGATCAGATTCGTCCCCAAAGATAAACTATGCTTTTTTCTGCAACCTGGCCAAAGGAAGTGCAAAAGTTAGCACTTGACTTTTGTAAATAAGAACCAGTTCAAATTTAAATAGGGAATGTGGAACTAACATCTAACAAGATGATTAAGCAAATAGTCTACGTGATGAAAGCAATAGAGAAAAATTAAAGGTATAATCAAATTATTGATGGTGCAAAAATATTTATACAAGATCATCAATATCTTTGTTATTTCATAATATATTAAGGTTGCTCTATTTGTTAAAGGACATTGCACATAAAAAAATATTAATCTTTTGTTCCACCAAGAAAGGATGTGACTAGCTTCAAAAAACTTTAGATAGAGAAGGAGTTCGATGTCTCGCATTACATGGAGATAAGAAACAGACTGTAAATTAATTATATTAATTTTTAGGAGAGAGATTATGTTATGAGTCATTTCAAAAATGGAAGATCCACAGCTCTTATAGCAACAGATGTAGCATCAAGAGGATTAGATATAAAAGATATAGAAGTTGTTGTGAATTATGACATGCCAAAAGTAATTGAGGATTATGTACATAGAATTGGAAGAACTGGTATTTTCTTTTAATCTATTATTATTAGGTCGTGCTGGAGCTATTGGCTAATCAATTTCTTTCTTTGCTTCAGATGAAGATGTCAGAATGGCTAAAGATTTAGTTGAAATACTTAAAGAATCTTAAAATGAAATCCCTTATGATTTAAGAAGTCTGATTGATCAAAATAGCAAAGGAAATAATTATAATCCTTATAGAAGATGGAATAATTCAGGATAGAGACATATTCAATAACCTTTCATTTAAAATTAACATTAATATCAACATTCAAATTAAAATTAACATCAACATTAAAATCAACCATCTCAATATCCTTCATCATGGTAATTTTAAACATTCAATCCCCAAATACTTTAGTCAATAAATCCATATCAAATTTGATGTTTCATAAATCAATATTTTATAAATTAGTATTTTTATTAGTTAAATATCTTTCTATTTAATATTTTTTAGATTATTTAAATATTATAATAAATATTAAGATTACTTAAATAAGTTAATGATACTCTAATTAAATTGAAATGGCTAAACATAAATAATAAATCATCAAAGTTATAGACAATGTTATTCTTCCACCTTAAAAAACAGATTTGGCATATTAGTTAATTCATTAAAATCCTCGTTTATTATTCCTAAATTTATTATTTATATGTTACCAAATACAAAAGGAGGCTTAATTATTATACCTTCAGCATTATGAATATCCATCATTTTTGGTCTGTATTCTGTACTAAATCTACCAACTCCCATAATGTTTTCATAAATTTAAGCTTTGCAATTCAAAATAAATTGAGGTATATTCAGATTCTAATCTATAGGAACTTACATTCCACATTAAATTAATATTTATTAAACTTTTTACAGATTTAATTCATCCTGATCTTTATAAAATATTTAAAATATATACATTCAAATAAAAATATGCTAGTATTATTTTAATCAGAAGCAATAATATAAACTTTAATATCTCCAGATTCTGAAATAAAAACTTTTGTATGATCAATATTAGATTCTGGTCTAAAACTATTATAGATCAATTTGTTATGATGTGCTAATTTGAATTTTGACCATCTATAACATTCTTTACTAAAACTACTAATAACTTATTAGGGTAATTATTCTATATCATTATTATAAGGATTGATTTCATTCAAATATTCAAATGAATCATAAATATAGTTATGAAATTCCTATCTAGTTTATTCTTACAATTTGATTCCTTTAAATTGAAATGCCTATGCTATAATTAAATTTTTGTTACTGATGAAACAAGAATATCTTTAATTGAATTAATTTGATCATTTTAAAAATCAACTTTTGTATTGAGATTTGTCAAACAACTTAGTGAAAAGAACTAATTCTGATTTTCTGTTTATTTATTTTCTGTTGTAAAAAAAAGATGCTAAAGAAATATTGAATCATATTATTTTGTAATTTTTAATTCTGTAGGTCTTCTGATCGCTAAAATATAATATTTTAATACCCATAACTGTAAATCTAGTTTCTGAATTCAAACTTTAAACAACTTTCCATTTAAAATTCAATTCTTTTAATTTTGTTGTAATTTCCTTATTTGCCTAAAAACAATCATTCTAATTATAATGGTATAAGGACATTCTAATTTCTTAACAAGAATCCATATCCCAAATAAAGGATAATATCATTTTCAAATATTCTTAAAATTATGAATATTCTGCTGTAGAAAAATGACTTAACATTAATTTTCTTTCTTATAAAGATGGATCTAAAAAGCACTATGCTAATCCTAATAATTTATTATTTTAATATATTCCTATGCAGAAGCTTTCTTCTTATTATTCATATTGTGTTAACATTTATGAGATTTCTCCTCTCCATGATTTTTTAAAATCATCACTAATATCTCTTAAATAGTTTTCTACTAAAGTATCACTCAAATGACATTTTAATATTTTAATTGGATTATCATTTTGATTATTAATTTAATTTATAGATTTAGGAGGATTAATTTTGCTGTCTTTATTTTTAGAATCTAAAGTTTATTAATTAGATTGAATTTATTATTATTATTATTATTATTATTATTATTATTATTGTTATTATTATTATTATTATTATTGTTATTATTATTATTATTGTTATTATTATTATTTACCTTAATCTTTTATATTTTAATTATTTTAAATTTTAATCAAATCCTACTTTTATTAATTATCTAATGTTTATTTTGTAGAATGTTTTTATGGAATAATTTTAGAATTAGAACCAGATGTTTAATTTGTAAAGTCTGTTGGATCTAGCTATTTAATTATTACCCTCTAAAATTATATATATAATTAATACATTTTAATTTTAACTTTAGTCAGGTCTTTTAGGAGGTCTAATTCTATTAATTAATAAAGTCTTTTCTGGTGTCATCTTAACTTAATCTCTTGAATTCATTTAATTGTAAAATGATTTATCTTCTTTTTAAATTTAAGAAGCTTCTTCTTATATAAGTATTTCACACTACTTAATCCTTTTAAGTAGAGGTTTTGATATGAATTATACAATTTTTTTAGAATCTGTAGTAGACTTAGTTATGGCAACAAAAAATGGATCTGATTTATTAGAAAATTGATAATAGTTTGAAAGAATTGAATTTTAAATGTATAATACATCTTTTTTCATCTATTTATAAATAATTAAATAACCTTTATTAAATAGTTTTCTTTGTAATAAAAGTAAGGCAACGAAATACTTTCTGTGGTATGAATATTAATCAAAAACTTCATGAGATACTATCTCCAACCCATTATTTACTCTACAACATTTATTGATAGTATTCTTAAATGAGTAATCAACTCTGCACTTTTAGATATTAACTGTTTATCTTCAGGATTGTCATTAATTTATTAAATATAATCTAAGAGAACATTTAGACATTTTTCTCTGGTTTCAACTGCTTGCATACATTACTGATTATAAGGATAGAATTTTACTTAAATATGAGATTTTTTTTATTAGATTTCTTCAATTTCAAATAGAATAGCTTAGTTAATTTTTGGAAGTGTTTTTAGACACATTAAGAACAGTTATCTAAAATTATATGTAATTATATTACCTATGAAATTCTGGAATATCATGATAATTTTAAACCTCTATCAATTTCGCATATAATTATGTTAATTTAGGTTGAAATTTGTCAGCTGATTCGTTTTTAGTTTATTTTTAAACATAAAATCTACTATTCCAATTTTCTTCCTAAAGAATAATTGAATGTATAATACTTTTTTCTTTAATTAATTCATTACTATAAGATGTCTAGATTTAGTTTAAACAATGTTTTCCTATTTAGATTTTTGTTATTCCATGAATTGTTGATCAATCATATACAATTATTTTATTAAATAATTATTTATAAAATTAATTGATTTTATATAACTGTTTAATTTTGTCTCATATTTATATAATTGAATACTCCTTTTTATTATTCTTTCAAGGCTCCCTATAAATTTATTTATAATCTGGTTCATTATCTAAACATGTTAGTATAATGTGTTTAAAAGATTATAGATTTGCCTCGAGATTTATAAAATGATTTAAGAATTAAGATTTAATTACCCAATAATTTAAATAATTGAAATGAAGGCAATGTGTCCATTACTGAGACGTGATAGTTTTAATGAAGAAGAGCAGCTATATTAACACAGTGAGTGTGATTAAGTTGAATTTTAGCTAACCGATCACTGGTGTTAAGCTGAGGCTGACACCGATCCTAATATATTAGCAAACAAAAGTCCCTCTATAAAAAAGAAAAAACAAGGCCGATACAAGAATGTGCCCTATACCTTTGGTAGACATTTTAGAAATTGGATTGAAAGCGAAGTAGGATCCATACAATGTCCAGTGGTTTAAAAATTCATCTCTAAACGTAAATCAAATCCTAGGTATCATGACAGTTTCAAGGATTTTAATGATCTCTTCCAACACTCAGGTATGGGTAGATAACTAGGTTAACTTTTCTTTGGATAGAAGAAATGGATTTAATATCTCTTAAATAATGAAAGAGTTGATGGTTTTTAAATCTATTTAGAAGTAGAAAGATCATACTATGAAGCTGCTACAAATGGAACTAAAATCACTGAACAAAAGGTGAGAAATATTTGATAATATATTTATTTATTATTTTAATAAATGTACTAAATTTATTTGACATTTTTAAGAGACATAGATGTTGAATTAAAAAAAACACTTGAATCATCTACATAAGTTGTGAATGATCATATACTATAAAGAACATGTAAATAATAAGATTTAGAATTTGTTACTAAAGTAAGTCTGTTCAAATTTATAAGAAATTAGAAGATTTCAAATTTCAAGTTGATAAGTATGGAATTTAAGCAATTGAAAAATTTAGAGAAAATCTAAAAGCTAATATTGAAGGACCAATTCAAGCTTAGACACATTTTATTGCAATGAAAAATTAAAGACAAAAAAGTAAATCTTATAAGATTGATGATTTAGAAAGAGTTATTGATAGTAGAATATAAGTAATATAATAATCTAATTAAGGAAGCAAGTGAAAAATAGAAATAATAATTAATTCATTATTTAGACACATTTGAAGAAGAATTCAAATTTTAAAATTAAGAAATGGCAAATGAATATTAATAAATAGAAAAAGAACTTTAAGAATTATAATTAAAAGATTGATTTTATATTTCTTAAAAACATATAGTATCATTAGTTATATAGAGATCTTTTAGTAGTACTTAAAACCATAGAATAAGGATCAGATCTTGCACTAATAGGCATCATTTTTATTGATTTTTATACTACATTGTTTCCATTATTAATTTCTTGATCCTTCAAAATCTATAGTTGTAATCTTCTGCATTAATGATCAGAATTCTATTTTGAATCAGAAACATGATAAAATTCTGTTTTTTAAGTATGTCCAGATATTTATTTACTTTTATAACTTGTTTGTAAATTTTCAACATCTTCTTCATCATAAACATATGGATCAGATGGATTATTGGGAAATGTTTAGAGTTACTCTAATTATAATATTGGTACACATTTCTCTTTAGTATAATTTTTATTAACTATTTCATAAAGAGCCTTTTTAGCTTCAATTGTTTATTAATCACTATTTTTAAATAAAAATTTTACTTTGATATTTTCTCTAATTCTTTTTAAATATCTAAATCAACTTCTAAAATTGTTTAATCTTTTTCTTATGATTATGTGGGAATCTATGAAATACTATTTAATGTTTAAGTAAATAGAATTTCAAATTAACAAAATTAAAGATAAGGAAGAGTTACTCTACTTTAAATAGCATTTATTTAAATAGCCTAAAAAGTCTATTCAGCAAGTAATTTATATGCTTCTAAATCTCCATATTAAGTTTTTACAATCTCTATACATTTTCCTCTGTCAAAAATACCTTAAATCATCTTTAATTCAGCCTATTTAAAATATAATTATATATATATTTACAGATATAAAATAGGTTCCCATTCCATGAAATTTGTTATCCTCAAAACATCCTGTATATATGTCTCCATTTTTCCATATCTATCCAATATTTGATATTTATTAATCATGAAAAATCCCTATTCTCTTATCAAAAGTAAACATTTTTTCTATTCCTAATCCATATGGTTTTCCTCTTTTCATCTTACCCAAATGAGTTTCTGTTATACCTATTGAAGAACATTAATTTCTATCTAATATCTCTTCTAAATCAAGCAATCTATTCTGATATTCATCTTTATTTTTATTTAAATCAAATAATATACCTAATAATAGATCAATAGAATCTAAATTATTCTCAATACAAATTAATTCCCCTCTTCTATAAACAGAAACTGTTTATCCTTTTAAACATTTTCCATTTAATTACCCATATTCAAATCTATAAAATTCACTCTAACTAATAAAATTAACTCTATATTTATACGTATAGTTAACACATAAACCATGAAATTTATTATTCTTAAACTAAGCCCTAATGATATTATCATTAATCATTATTATTCCTTCACCATGAATCATATCCTTATGCCATTCTCCGATATATATAGCACCTTAAGCCCACCAAAATATTCCAATCCCCTCTTTAATCCCATTTTCTAAAGATCCCTAATAGATTCCATTACGATAAGCTATCATTCAACTAATATTGCTGTTAAATTAATTCTAAAATTTATAACTATAATAAATAGTTGTTTTTATTATATATCAAAATAACTATTATAATACTATTGTTAAACAATTAACAAAATAAGATTCTATTGTTATTAAATTAAAAATACAGTTATATTCTAAAGACCTAATATAAAACTAAAATTTTCAAATTATATTTTAAAATAACAAATATTAATTTGTTTCTTTGATAATGATATTTACAATATAGATTTTAATTATTTTTAATGATAAACTATAATATAATTATGTAATTCTAATTACAATACTATTAATAATATTGATTCTAAACTTCTATTTTAAATACATCATCATAAAATATTGTATTTTTAATTGTAGATATTAATAATCTGATAATTTCTGATTTAAAGATAATTCAGAAATTTAATCAGAATAACCTTTTCTTTTATATTTTTGATGATCAAATAGTATCTATTGAACATTGAAAATTAATGAATTGTTAATAATAAAATAAATTATAAATATTATTGTAACATGATGGAACATTATAAAGGGATAATGCTTTGTAATAGACCTCAAGCGTCTATTAATTTAGATTATCATAAGTAACTTGATTTCATCATATTTGTAGACCTTTTGTATCAAGAGTAACACATGCTGAACCTCTCGGTTACAATCCAGTTAAGCAATTACAAATTCATTAACCAATTAAATGTATTTAGCATATTCTATCAATTAAGAAATAAAACCAATATTAAGTCAACATAAAGAATGGCTCTAAAATTTTTAAAAACATGTTAAAGAGAAAAAAACTGCATTGCATTATTCTTAAGTTCAATCTCGCTTACATCCTGATAGATATAGATCAAATAGTGACAAATAAACTTAATAGAATGATTAAAAAACTTAATAAATATCTTAACCTCAATAAACAAAAGTAGAAGAAATATAATAAGAATAAAAAAATTAATAAGAAAATAATAATTTATTAAAAGAAGAAATAATTGATGATTAAGAATTGAATGAATTATTGGATTTTACTAAAAATTTAGATTTTGAATAATATATAAATGATTTAGAAGTATATATATTATTAATTATAGATAAAAACAGTTGTAGAAGCATTAAAAAAGAGAATAGAAGAAATACAAATAGAAAATCCATAATTATCATAAAAAGAAGCTACAAAAAAAGCATTAAAATAAAATAATAATAGTGCTTAAAAACAGAATAAAAAACATGTTACTATTTAAGAGGAAGAATAATAATAAGTAAATACAATAAAATTAATAATTTTAGCTTCAAAAAAATACAGAAAAAAAAGAAGTAAATTTAGAAAATATTGCTAAAAAAATAGCTGAAGAAATTCTTTAAAAAAATAAATACTTAAGAAATATTCATTCAAATATATCAATGTAGAAATTAGTAGAAACTGAAGCTCGTAGATTTCTTTAAAAAGAATGAATAAAAAAAAAAATAATATAAAATTATATTTGTATATTATATTAAAGATCAGAAATCTTCTCTATCCAAGATTCTATTGCATTCAACCAAAACCTTATTTCTCTCTCTACCAAGATAATATGTTTCACCTAAATTACACATATCAAAATATTTCTTATTGTGTTTCAAAAATTTAATTGGTTAAAAGTAGAGATAAGCAATAGGCCAAACAACAAAATATGGTGCCCATGAGAATCTTTTTGTTTAAAACATTCTAACCATAGACACAGCAGCAGCACATGCCCATCCATCGACAAGTGAAGTATATGTAACATCATATCGGTACCTATGATTCTAATTCATAAATGTACTCTCTTCTAACTACATATCCCCAATCTCTTTCTTCTTATGTCTTATAAAAGTTTGTATCAAAATCTGCAATAAATTTTTATACAAATGCTTTTCTCAATTTAGCTGCTTACATTTCTTCTGCAGATAATCCTCTATCGTATTCCATTTCTTCCTTAGAATTCACATATCTACGAATTGCTCTAGACATATTATATTATATATATATTATTTAGAATATAAATTTAACAAATTTATTACCTTAAAGATATATTCTAATATGTATTTCCATACTATTCAGACTACATATAAATAAATATAATTTGATACAAAATAAAATCTATAAATCAATTCTTAATTACTTCTTTAAACTCTTCAAGTGAATGAATAAGATTATATTCAATTAAGTCAAAATTTATTTAGTGACTTATTATTATTTATTTATTCCATCCAATAATTTCTAATATTTTTTTGTTGATTTTTTTTATGTAGCTAGATTAATTTATTATTATTTTATTTATAGGATCGTAAACTTTTTCAATTTTTTCACTTGTGAATAAATATATCTTATAGTTCATCACTTTAGCCTTTTCTTATTATAAAAGTTAAGTCTAGAATAAATATATAATCTACTTGTATTGAAATATTTTTATAAGTTCGATTGCTAAATGAATCTTTGAGTAAATTTAAAATCAATTATAATGTTAAAACATAATTTGATTAACATTATGTATTATCACCTTCAAATGTAATAGCTAATTACTTTATATTACAAAATACACATTTCAATTTATGTAAATCATATATTAACTTTTCTATATTAAATTAAATTATTTCTTAAAATTATTGATGCATTTTATTGAGAATTAAAAAATTATAATATCCATGAATTGATTTAAATAAAATACTCTATGAAAGAGAAATTAAACTAATTGTTTTAGTTTTTTTTAAGAGATTTTAATAGACCTACTCTTTTTAGTCAATTATTTCATTTGTCAAATACTTTAATATTTATAAGGATTTTTTAGCATTTTCAAGGCAAGCAATCAATAATCTTTGATTACGATTTTTCTTTCTTATATCTTTATTTAATTTTAATATCTTTTAGTATTCTGAATCTTCTTAAAGTAGCAAAATTAAATGAACTGAATTTTTTTCTATTATTTTATAAATGCCTATTCTATATGCTATTTTAGTTGTTTCAGAATAAATTTCTGATGATTTTTCTTTATCATCTCCTCCAAGCATATTATAAAGTATTTATTCTAAATTTTATGTTCTATACAAAAATCTTTAGCTATTAGTTAATATTTAGAATGGTTATGAGAGAGATCTAATTTAAACAATTGAATATTGTCTAATAAATTATAGAAATTATTTTTAATCTTAAATTATCTTTTCTGCTTATTTATTTATATCTACTAATAGTAATTAATTCAATTTCTTATCAAATTTACATCTTAAAATTTTTAATGAAAATACATTATCTAATTATTTGTGTAATTGAAAATTTTAATGCTTCAGTAAAAAAAATTATCTTTTCATTTTTTCACTGCTCCAAATTGATTTTAATACTAATACTAATGCCAAAATAAACATTAATTATAATGAATTAAAATAATTCTGAATTATTGAACCTAATATCATCAATCCTATCTAATTTATTAATAAAACCAATATGTTGATAACGATATTTGAGCCCAAAAGCAAACTGTATTGTATCATTGCAACAGTTTATCCTGCTAAAAAAAGAATATCGGAGTGAGAGAAAAAATATAGTAAAATGAAAATTAGACCACCTAATGAAATATTCATCATAGCCAAAACATAATTAAAGTATTAAGGCAATATTTTTATAAGTCTATGACTAAATCCAAAACCTAGTGGAATCATTATTAATGTATATTTCCAAAATCCAAACCCAAATGGAACAACAAATTCCATAGTAAAAACACATATCGCACTTATTGTACCTAAGCAACAAGCCCAAGTATAAAAGTTAAATAACTCTTCGAATTAATCTTAAAAATAGAGGTTTTCCATTTTTGGGTTGTCAAATCTTAGAGAGTATTTATTCATTTTATATTAATTGGAATTAAATTTTAACTTTCAATTTAGAATAAAACAAGCTAGATGTTATCATATATGTATAATGGAACCTTACTCTAAAATAAATTATTTAATAAACATAATAGATTAAAAATCAATCATTTTGATAATCATTCTCTTCTATAATTTCTGTATAATATTTGCATTCTTCCCTTTCTTCCCTTAATTGTTCTGTATCAATCAAATATAGATGTAAATTTTACTTAATTTCATATATAATATTGTAATAATAGCAGATTTTCTTTATTCTTCTCCTCCTATTTCTAATTTAATGCTTAAATAAATTTTAATCCCTATATATTATTTGAGGAAAATTAATTTTAATATTTTTAATGTTATTTTATTGTTCTTCTGCAATTGATTGAATACATACTTGCATATCTTAATGTTATAATACAATTATTCAACAGTTTGATTCTTTATATATTTATTAAGTCGTTCTAAAAATTTAATTATTAATTATATATTAATTATATATACTCTTTCTCATTAAGAATTTACTCAAGATCACTAATGAAATACTTATACTTTCTAAATTTTTTAATTTCTTCATGAAGATGTTAATTAATTTTTGTTAATTTGTAATTTAAATTGTCTAAAAACTATTGAATCTTTTATTTTTCTTCTTTATGTTTTTGCTGTTTAAAATCTTCTAATTTTTAATTAGGTATCTTTTCTAAAATTTCTCTTTACAGATTGAGAAGAAGCTAGAGAAAAGCTTTAATTGTCTTATTATATATTACATTTTAAAAAAGGGTTAATATTCTCAAATAATAATTATAATATAAATTTTATTACTGTATTAAAATTTTTGGTAGTATTTTCATTTTTAAACGTATTTATCTTTCAATTCTAGATTGATAAATATAATTTCACATTAGCCACATTAAAAAAATAGTCAAATATAATGATATTTTAACTTTTTCTCAATCAATAAAATTTCTATTGAATGCTGAAATGCTTTCAAGTTTATTAAATAGTTGCAAAATTACATTACAGAAAATCTAAAAAGATTATTAGATCAATTGCTATAGATCAAGAACACCTTGGTAAAGAATAATTACTCTTATATTTTTGATCCATCTCTCCTGTTCTTAATGAATTTTGAATCACAAGAATAATAGGGAGTATATATTTATCCATATATTTTATAGTATCTGGTTCCACATTTGGCATTTAAGGAAGAGTTATTGATTTTTGAATAGTTTGATTATAGAGTATTAAATAAATTTGAATTAAACTTAGAGACATAAAATGATTGATAATAGAGTACATAGAAATAATATTTGCATTATTTTTTAATAATGTATATAAATCAAGCCCAGACTTGACCTCTAAATTGAATAGCTCTGGAATTCTTCCATCCCTTTTTGAAGTGATTGTAATAGACACCATCTCTTACTGCATACATTTCCCATCTGAAGGATTAAGATGAAAAGATACCTGAGAGAAAGATTATTTCTGTAAAATCCTCTAGTCTTCAAATAAGCGAATGGATAGATTAGTGCAACACCTGTTAAAAACATGTAATATCTAACAGTCTTGTCTGGTCTTTGGAAACCACTTCTTCTTTAAACAAATTAAATGAAATTTGTGACATCGAATGCCATTTATGGAGTTGATGCAGGAGTGCCATCCTCATAATCAACAAGTCCTTAACAAATTAATTGCTAATCTTACCATCATGTAATTATCTGACCATACCAATAATCATATGATCAAAATAAGGATTATAAGCCTTTCCTTTTGGAACATCTAAACCTTAATAAGGTTTATAATGATATCCAGTCAAAATGTTATAAATATAGTTGACACCTCCTGGTCTAAGTCTGATTTTAGAAAAGTCTGTTGGCCATACTCCACCATTAGCATTTTTTGCTTGATCTTAAGAGAAGTAGGGAGGATAGATTCCTAATCATTTTATTAATCTCTTACTATCATGAATATATCTATCTCTTTCATCCCATTCCTAATAGTAGAATTGTTTAAAGTGATGATGAGCAGGATGAATTGTAAAATTACTTACTAATGCAGCCAACTCTAATTGCTTGTAAACTTTATCCAATAAAACATCATATTTTTTATACACAATACCATGACAATTACCACAGTTTCTAGAGAATACAAGAAATCTAAACTATCACTATTTTTCATACCCTCTTCTAACACTAGCAGAATCAAATGTGCCCAAGAATCTATATTATGGCCATGACATATGACCTCTATGTGTACCCACTTCTGTCACTTGCTCTTCATACCCCTTGATACCCCAAAAGGCACCAATATCATCTCTGTATAACCAGGCATGAACAGTATTGTCTTATTAGGTCATCAACATTCCAACTCCTAAACAGAATAGAGCCTTCATTTTTAAAATATTTAATATCTGAATAAATATATTTAACAACATTTATTGCTTATTTATTTAGGTTAACAAATAACATATATCATATATGAACTTTTTTCTATTCATTTTTGGATCTTTAAGATCAACTCTTAACTCTACTAAATTAGTTCTTCTCTAAAAAGATTATTTTGCATACATTGTCCTTGATTTCTCCTTTATTTATATATATATTCGCATGCCAGTTTTTTTATTCAGAATTTTAATCTCTTAATCATCTATAATCTTTACTTTTAATCTCTTTATCCCTTCCATTCTATTGAAATTTGTTAATATTAACTTAGAAAAATTATTGCACTTTTGTTTTTCCTAAACCAAAATATTCTAATCACTTTGTTTAAATTTTCTATCTTAATTCAAATGCTAAAGATTACATTAAACCAAATATCCTAAATTAAATTTGTTTTCACACAGTTTAGCTAGTTCTTTTATCTAAAAAGATTGAATCAATTTTAATAACACCATTTACAAAATTAAAAATTTCAAATATGATTTACTGAATAGACTAATCTATATCTTAAATACTTAAATTTTAGATTCAATTTATAATATATAATAAAACGCAAGATTATACTAATATTAAGCACTTTTCAATATATTTATAATAAATTATTATTTTATGTTTTCTAGAATTTTTAAGTAAAATTACATGACTAAAATTGCCTTATTTTCAACAGCCTCTTTAATTTATTGGGGTAGCAGAAAGAATCAAAGTGAAGAAATCTTTTAGATATTACACAAATAGACATAGAACTCTATTGTTAAATTCTTTCTGAATGGCAGAATAATAGGATAAGGAGCAATTTTGAAAAATGGGTTTGTAGTTACTAGTTCTGAGGTATTTGAGAATTAATAACCATAAATTACAGCATAAATAAATGGCTAACTTTATAATTATGAAGTGTTAAAAGTGGAAGAAGGAATAGCAATTCTAAAAATACAACAATAGAAATCTTAGTTTAATCTATCAAAATATGAAATAGGATAGAATGCATTTGTTTTAGGAACAGATGAATAAGGTTTAAAAGATTTTCAATAATGTCCTATTACAGATAGTAATTTCACATTAGATATTCGATTAGTAGGTGAGGAAGCATTAAATTAAACCTATCCTTTTATTTTGATGAATGGATGTTATTCTAGTCCTGGAAGTATAAGATGATTTAATAAATGTGTAGGTCCTGTTTTAAATAAAAATGGATAATTGATAGGGATCATAAGTGGAAAGTTTAGAAATAAAACTTAAGTGGTGCCATCTACTTATTTTTAGGGTTTAGAAAATAGTAACAATATTGTTAAGCCTTATTTGGGATTAACATTAAAGACATCAGATTAAGGAGGAGCTTTTATTATAAAAATCAATTCTGATAGTCCTGCAGAAAAGGCAGGTTTAAAATTAGGAGAAATTATTAAGTCTATTGATGGAGTTACTATATAACATGGGAAAGATGTGACAAAATTATTGGGAGTAACTGAAAATGCAGATAGTCATGTAATGGTAATTTTAAGAAATGGAAAAGAGAGAACTATACATGTTAATCTAAAATGAGAATAAAATTTGAGAGTATTTTATACTTTTATTTAATATTAATATACAAGTAACAGTATATAATTTGTATTTGAATTTATTATTTAAAATAGATCATCATCATGTTTAATAATAAATCTAAAAAGCCTTCATTATTGTATGTTGAATGTAAATCAAGAGATAATTCAAGAAGAAATTCAAAGATTAGTGATATACTTAATGATACTATGAATAAGGAAAATTCAAATTATTAATCAAACTATATACCAAATACTGCAAAAAAGATAGATAGAACTATTGGAAGTTTGAACAAGATGTATAAATAAGCAATTTAAGATCAATAAAATTTGTAAGAATAAGCATCAATGTTAATGGAAGACTTGAATGGGAAGTTATTGTAAAGAGCTGAATTGATTGGTCAAGTTGAAGAATTAGAGGAATTAATAGAATTTCATAAATTACAAAGCAATTTTGAATTTAATTTTGCTACTAAAATAGAATAGTTAGATATACAAATCTAATAGTTAAAAAAATCAACTTCATTTAAATTATCAGGGAACACAGCAGATTTGATACGAGATAGAGAATAGTAACATAAAGAATTAAAAGAGAAAATCAATTAAGAAACGATGATTGCTATGAAAACTTATTTATAATAATGGGGTAAAGTATTATATTTTAAATATAAGGTCATTAATTTGAGACTATTAAAAACTAATATGGAAATGAAGTATATCAACAAGTTCTAAAAGAATAAGAATAATAAATTAATCAATTAATCTCATAATAATATAATAAAAAGATATAAGGTATTATATAGATACTTAGAAATCAAGAGAAATTAGAAAAAGCTATTCAATTAAATATTGAATATGTTGATAATTCATTAAATGAAGACATTTATATAATTAAATAAACAATGAATTAAAAGAAATAATTAGTATAAAATATTAGAAATAATCTTTTGGAAGAAGATTAATCTAAATTTTAATTGTTAAAAAGAGTAGAAGTTCTTGAACAAGAGAATTAATAATTGGAATAATAATTAAATGAAATTACAATGAAAAAAGATCTTTATTAATTAGAAATATTAAATAAACAAAAAACTGAAGAAATATATAATGAAATATTAACAGGTTTTGATTGTTTATCATAAATAGATAATGATAATGAAGATCAGAAAAGTGATAATAGTAATTCTTAACTTAAAAGTTGTACTAATATTTTAAGCAATATCAATAAATAAACAAAAAAAGTGTTAAGTAATCACTTAAATAAAGATGATTCATTACATTTTAGTTAATTACAATAGTATTTACAAATAAACAGTATAGATGGAGAATCAAACTCTAAATGTTCATCAGCTTGTTAATTATCTGCTGATGATTCATTATTATAACATTTTAATGAATTAAATTTAACATTACTTCAGTCAGAAAAATCTAAAAATAATTTTTGTAATATGCCATTGTAGTAATAATAATAATAATAATAATAATAATAATAATAATAATAATAATAATAATAATACAATTATTATAATTAAAAGAATATATCTATAGAAAACTAAAATTAATAAATTGATTTTATTAGATTATAAACAATTACTGAAGAATAATTAAGTTCAAAAAGAGAAAAATCTAAAATGGAATAATCAACTAAAATCAATACAACTCCTATTCATTAAAATGGTTAAAATTATTTAAACTTGCATAAAGTTTAAGCAGTTGATAATTCATCCTAAAGTATTGGAGCTCCATTATCCGATTAGACAAAACGTTTTACTAATAGATTAGGCTCATCCTAATTGTAAATGTCTAATTATAATGAAGTCACTTAGAAATAAATATAAATACCATCTCCATATATGCCACTATTTTTCAACAATTAAGCATCAAATCCATAGACTTAAAAAAGTTAACAACCTTAAATTTTTAAATTTAAGGAATAAAATTTATTATCTGAATAAATACAAAAACATAAAAAATCTAAATCTTTTGATTCAACTGGAAATAAAGAAATTTAATAAAGATAATTATTTTGTAATGTTTCTACAAATAATGGATAAACATATTATAATTCAAAAGATTCTTAATATTTCTCAAATAAATCTAATCAATTGGTTCCTATAGAATAAGACTTACTCAAAATAACAAAACCTTTACAAAAAGGTGTTATTATTTTCAAAAGGTTTACATCTACTAAACCCAATTTAACAAAGATGGAATTTGATCCTTTTACTTGTTAAAATCCAAATATTTGTGGATATTGTTCTAGAATTATGACATTGTCATAGAATTTAGATAAGATTGAATTTAAAAATTAATTGAGAGTTAATGTAAGATATATTATATTATTTAGCAAGTTGATTCAATTTTATAATTAGATTAAATAATGAGAGTAATTATTCCAAAAACAATTTTATAGAGTATTTAAATAAAGAAATAAATATAAAATAAATTTATTTTAAGTAAAGAAGAAAGAATTGTTTGTGGAATAGTATATTGGCCTATGTCAATCATTACTAAAAATGATGGTAGAATAGAATTATTGTTTGATAGTGAAGAAATAATGGAATAATGGTAAACAAGTCTTATATTTCTCAAAGATAACATAAAAACACTTTAAATCATCAATAAAAAATTAAAAAGATGAATGTGATTTGTTTAATTAATTTTTAATACTCATATTTTTTTAATTCATAATTAAATATATCCTAAATTAATACAGATGCCAATTTATAATGAAGTTTGGGAAGAGGAAGGTAATTCATACATCTTATTAAAAAGATTTCATGTTCAGAAATATGATTAACCTTCAAACATTGACTAAAAATCATGTAAAATTATTGGATAATCTAAAATTTGAGTTTGTCGAATATAAAGTATTCATATCAAATTATCATTTAGGCAAATCAATTACTTGCTTGTCACCTCTATGATAGAATGGCATAACATTGCAAAAATCAATTTGGTTTATTTGAAGACTCCTATGTACCTGAATGTTTGGATGCAAGAAATTATTTCTAATTGTGTGTTAGAATGAATGCTTCTTATGGTTTAGCTAAAAAATATTTCCCAGAGTAGCTTTTTATATTAATATTAGATATTTCTTAACCAACGAATACTCAAGACCAAATCCAAATTTCAAAGAATTAGGACTTTGAAATATTATTCATAAACAATACATTAATTACACAAAACATTTTTTAAAGCAGAATTCTTTATTATATATTTTATTTATATGAATTTTTTTTCCTAATATTCTAAATAAACAAAATAATTAATAAGTATAATAAAAGTTTTAAGAACTATAATTAATAATATGATAAATAATAGAAACATTAAATTGTGTATTAACACTTTCTAATTCTGTGTTTGTTTTATGTTTTAAATAAATATATTAAACAGTATTACAAATTTAAAAATTTTAACATTTAGTTTTATTTGAATTCGAAATAATGTCAGAATCATTTAAAGTAGTCAATTATGAAAGAGAATCTAAATAATCATTTTAAGAGTTTTTATAAATGCATCTTAATGAACCATCAGATCCACAATTAAGATCACCAACTTAAGAAAATAATTATAATTCAATAAAGTAAATAGGAATAAAAAAAACTATTAAAAGAGAAGAATCTGAACCCAGTTTTAGAATTACAGAATAACCTATTGAAAATAATGAAAAAAACCTTACTTCTATGCAATCAAAAATTTAATTACTCATTACTGAAAATTCAAAGTTAATTGAAATAAACTCTGGCTTAATGAGAGAAATAGAGATTATGAAACAAAATAATTAATCTAATAGAACACTTTTAGTACAAGAATCACAATAAAAATTAATGAATTACTAATAAAAAGTAGTTCAACTTACTTAAGCAAATGAATAATTAAGTAGTAGATTGATTGATGAATAATGTAAAAATAAAAAGGAAATAGAATAGAAATTCTAATAAATATTATAAGAAAACAAAAATCTAAATGAAATGCTATAAACACGATTAAATGACATAGATATATTAAATAATTAACTGTTAGAAAAAAATGATTAAATTGCATTAATAAATGAAGAAATTAAAGTTGTTAATGAGTAATATAATATTTATATTATAGAAAATGTATGGTTTTGGAATAATAAAAATAAGTCTTAATAGCTTAATAGTAATAATATGTAGATACAATAAAAGAATTTTAAATAAAGGAGCAATCATTTATGTAATAGCTTTATTAGGAATAAACCTCTTATTAATCTTGTATAGCAAATTTAGAATAAAATTATAATTTACAAATAAGTGAATTAAGAAACTCATTTTTGGTAATTATTATATTTGATAATAGAAAGAAATTGAGTAATAATAAGAAACAATTGCATAATAATACTAACATTATTTTAGTTAACAAATCATTGCATTTTAATAACAAATCAAAACGATTTAATTAGAGAATACATAAATTAAGGATGAATTAACAGAAAGATCTAAAATTTGGTCTTAAGAAAAAGAAAGACTTGAAAATTTCATTAAAAATATTCAATAATAGCAATTATAAAAATAACATTCCTAGGAATCTATTTAACAATTAGTAAATATCAATTAAGTACAACAAAATATAAATCAAAATTAAAAACCTTAATAATAACTTAATTAGCAAGCTCAAATCTTAGATTAATAATAGCTCTCTTAACCTTAAAATTAATAGTAAGTTAATTAAAATTAATAATAACTAACTTAAGAATAGATACTTTAATAAAAACAAGAATTAAAAAAATAATAATATTATTAAGAGATATTATAAATTTAGTAATAATAATCTTAATTACAATAATAATAATAATAATAAAAGATATAATAATAATAATAATAATAATAATAATAAAATTAAACTCATCATTAATCAAGTAACTATACTTTTAGATAAAATACTTAAGAGGATTCAAGAGAAGTAAGTCCTGAAAAAGATGATATATTTGTAAATTTCGATTAAAAAGTAAGATTGCATACTGAAAGTTATGGAGATAGATATGAAAAAACAATACCACAAAGAGTTCCTTTGCATGCTAAAAATTATCGAGTTCCCTAATTACATACAATTACAAGATATGATCAAAAGCAATACAATTTTGGAGTAAACTAGCCTTAGTACTATTAAAATTCTCAATAAAGATTTATGATTAATAGGGATCCTTAATATTAGAGATCTCATTCTCAATATTAAGAAAGAGAAGATAAACCTAAGAGTTAGCAATATCAAAATTAAAATGAAGGGTATTTAATACCAAAAAGATATTGAATGAATTAATTTATACGATATAATATTTAATGGAATTTATAACACAGACTTTGAAACAAATGAACAAATCATTATTTTCTTTTTTTTTATTTTTCAGTAATAGTTAATTTAACTTTGACTATAGGATGATCAGATTCAGAAATGTGTTCCTGATTAGGATCCACAATTTTATTAGTTTTTTTTTTTATAACTTTTGATTTTTTATTAATAGAATCCTTTTAATCAACTTTCATCTCTTGAGCTTATAATAATTAATTAAGACTGTCTTTTTTTTGGTTTTCTTATTTTTATAATTAATCATTTGAATCTTCTTGAGATTGAACTTTATTTAAACAATTTTCACATTTGCAAAGATCTGTACATCTTTGATTAATACTATAACATTCACAATATTTCTTTTTGCATTCTGATTTCTTACAATTGCATCCTTTTCTTGTTGTAATATCTTTTTAAGATTCTTTCTATGATTTTTCCTCTAAAAATAGAATGAAAGTTACCTTAAATTATTTGTGGCTGTTATCCATTGTTAGTTAAAATTGCTGAAAATGCATCTGGATTTCTCAGTAGAGCTTCCTCAATAGCCTTTGATCTTTCATTAGGGTTATCAATCCTATTTTTGCATTCGCAGCAATTACAATTTTATGAGCATACCTATATAGTTTGAAATCATACCCAATTATTTGCAAAACATTCACAGTATAATTTGAGACATTTACTTTTTTTGCAATTGCATGCAAAAGGTGATACTTTTTAGTATTACACCAATTGACTAACTTTTGATTAAAGTTCTTTAGATAATGTATTTTAATAATGCTATCCATCATATTAAGGATAATATATAGGTGGTCTATACCAATAAGGAATAGGATGTGGATATTAATGCATAAAAATTTGGGATGGATGGGGAGGATATTTCATCGGGTAAGGTTAATAGAAAGGTGGGTAATATGGATAGTTTTATTTCGGCTCTTCTTCATTAACATCTTGTTGAGGATCATGAGCAGAATATTTTCGAAAGGGATTTTTCTTACCTTATTTGTCTTAGCCATCATCATAACCTTGATATAAGGGAACTATGAACTTTTTTCTAAATTTAAAGGAGGCAGGTGTTAATGAGGAGCATTAAAGAATTACGAGGGAGTGAAATGAGGAGAAGGATTATTTGCATAATTTGCCCATTCTTAATCAAAATGGTGTAATTTTTTATCAGGACATGGTTTTAGGTTTTCATTTGAAATTTCACTAGCAAAACCTTAAAAATATTCATTACTTTTAATCATCTGCATTATTATTCATAACTTAATTAATATTATTTATAAATATAAAATTTAACTTACCTTTAGAATCTATTAAATAATTAAAGATAACATAAATTTAAATGGTCAAAATTATAATTACCTTGATCTTGAGGATGACGTAGTATTATCATATAATATTTAGATTTTATATTTGTATTGATTAATGAAATTAAGAAGGAAGATACAATAATGAAAGTATTTAAATCTTAACATTGACCTAAAAATTGATAAAATTAAATTGTAATAAAAGTTATTGTTATAATAATCTATTAAAAGTTATTGAGAATTTTAAGAGGATGTATACTAATTAGCTATACATATATAAATATTTTTGGCTAGCAAAAAGTAAGTAAAATAAATACTTTGAATAAATTTTTAATTAGAAGCTGATAAACAAATAAAAATATATATTTAATGCTCTTTAATTTATGAGTACGATTATAAAATATAATAATAAATTTAATAAATATATTTAATATTATTTATAAATTAAGGTTAATTTTTATGATTATTGATTAAGGAGTGATTGAAGCTATTAAACAAAAATTCAAGCCTGAAGATTTATCAAAAGCAATTGCCCTAATTCATTATGTAAAGAAATGGTCTAATTTGGAACAATAATATGCTGATAATGTTAATAAAGTAACAACAAATCACTTAAAAAATTGTCTTCCTGAATTATCAGAAGTAAATGCATTAGCTAATGGAATAAGACAACCTACTGAAGAAGAAATGAAGGATTCAACAATAAAAGAAGCTGAACCAATCTCTGATTATTGGTCAAAAGTATTATAACATGCAGGTATCACAGGATCTAGAATCACATAAAAAGATGTAGATGTATTAGCATCTTTAAAAAGTATTACTGCTAGTTTTGGAGATAATGACAAAGATTTTAAATTAAGATTTGAATTTAATCCAAACTAATATTTTGAAAATAAGGTATTAGAAAAAGAATTTATTTATAATAATGAAGATAGCGAATTACCTTATAAATGTAATGGAACATAGATAAATTGGAAGGAAGGAAAGAATGTTACAAAGACAATCAAAAAGAAGAAGTAAAGAAACAAGAAAACAAATTAAACTAGAATAATTGAGACAGAAGTGAAATTAAAATCTTTCTTTAAATTTTTTGATGAAATTGCTCCTGCATAAACAGATGAAGAAGAATTATAAAAGTAAGAAAAAATCTCTGCTGATCTTGAAATAGGAGAGGCAATAATTGAAGAAATAATTCCATAATCTTTGTCTTATTATTTAGATTTGAAGGATGATGAAGATATAGATGATATTGATGAAGAAGAGGATTAAGATGATGATGATGATGATGAAGATGATGATTGATATATATTGTATACAATTTAATGATAATTTTTATTATTTATAATTATTATACTACTTTAATTCAATCATAATATAAATAGATATTATTCATTAGTCTGAATTATGTTATATATTCTAAAATTAATTTTAACAAATAAATTCATTATTTTATATCTATTTCATGTTTTTGATGTTAATTTTTATGGGCCCCAACATTATTTTAAAATTAAATTAATATATATATATTAATGGATATGTAAATTTCTCCTAAAGATAATCCTCCTATTGGTATTATAATGATTTATAATAATTTAGATGCAGGAAACATTGTTTAGGAAATTTATAGGGAGGAATACATTCCAGTTTAATAGATTTAAAGAAGAGAGGAAGATGCAGTATTTATTGATGAAAACCCTTAAATTGTTTTGGAGAAACTCATGAAGTTGAAGGATTGCAATTATAAAGAGAGGTAAATTAAATAGTAAAAATAGACTTGCTTTTACGAAAAGATTAGGAGAACTGTTAACATGGATAGGAGATTCTTCAATTGAAAATTTAAATATAATCATTTAATAGATAGTAAAAATAAGGTTTTAATTGGTAGTTAGAAGATGCTGATGAAATTAAGAAAAATTTTATAGCCCAATTAGAGTAAATCTGTGTACTTTTGAAAACAAAATAAAATAGTTAAGAGCTCATAAAATAACATGTAGTAAAGGCTTTGTAGGAATTATTAAAATCAAATAATTTTGATGTAACTAATTGATTCAAAATAAGATCAAAGAATAAGCTGGTAACTCTATAAGTATTGTGGCAAAAGAACTAAATGAAAGAGATCGAGGAAATCTCATACTAACTTAAGTTATTCAAATGGCACATGATGATAATAATGATGAGAATGTTATAATTGCTGTTAAAGTTAATACCATAATATATTTAATAGCTATTTGGGTAATTGGCTGCAGATTTTGGATCTGAATTATCAGAGTCATTTATAGCATTAGAAATCTTATCCAAGGGAGATGATGCTAAGTAACCAATACGTAAAGAGGCTATTCTTTAATTGGCCAACATTGCTAAAGTTCTCTCTAAAGATTTTATCAAACATAGATTAATCCCATTTTTTTCTAAGTAAATTTTAGATTGAATAATAAAGAAAAACTGAAGAGAGAACTTGGCAAACAAGAAAGGCCTGTCTTGATATTATAGTTCAATTAGCTGAATAGACAGACACAGAAAATTTTGATTTGATTACAGGAAGATTACTTGCATTGTTAGAGTAAAATTTAATTAAATATAAATAGTGATTAAAATAAATGGGTCAAATAACATGCATATAAATAATTAGGAAAATATATATCAATTATTACAAGATCAGAAAATATTAATGATAAACTCTTAGAATTTTATTTGAAAATGAATGATTCTGATATTAGGGAATTAGGAATTGATAATGAAGTAAAAAACAATTATATATTAAAGATTGTTATTGAATGTGCATTATATTTCCCAGCAGTACTATAAGTATACACTGATAAAAAATGGCCTCAACTAAGCAAATTATTTATGAAATTGATTAATCATAAGGATAAGGTATATATACATAATATTTCTTTGAGAGTCAAAAAACCTTTAGCTTGTAGTATTCATGTTCTAGCTAAATTTTTGGGACCTTAATAGGCTTATTCAGAATTGCTTAAAGTCTTAGAACAATTACTTTAAGATCCAAATGATGAAATTAAACATGGTGCAGTTGAAAATTTAGGATTATTTTTTGATGCTATCGAAGAATCTAAAAGAGCATCTCTAATTGATATTTTATTGATTATATAGAAGGATTAAAAGAAATGGAGAATTAGAGAATTAATTGCTAAATAAATTTCCCACTTAGCTCAAGTGTTTGATGTTGAAACTGTTTTTTCTATTATACTTCCAGTTTCAACTAAATTGTGCAATGATAATGTTTTTGCTGTTAGAAAAGCAGTAAATATTTTAATAAGAAATAGGCTGCAAAATAAATTTATGAACTTTATGATAAATTTTCAAAAAGTTAAAATGAACTATATTTCAATGTATTGAAATAAAACATTTTAGGTTTTGCAAATAGTAATATGTTTAATTAAAGATAAAGGTATTTGATTAATTGAATATTAGTTTTGTTATTATGTGTGAGAAACTTATGAAATTTGAACAATTTTAAGTTGATTTTCTTGAAGCTTTCATTCATTTGGGTTAAGATCCTATAAAGAATGTTCGAATTTCAGTTGCAAAAGTTCTTCAAAAACACTTATTTAAACCAAATTAATAAGCCAATGAAGGATTTTTTAGAGACCAAACTTCAATTTAAACACTTTGGAGTTTGTTAATTAAAGACAAAATAGTTTTTAATTCTTTAAATAAAAAGAAATATCCAATTGTAAAGTAAAATAATTTAAAATATTTAGTTTGTAAAAGGTTCAATAAACATAATTAACTTAAAGTTAAGTTAAATTACAACAAAATGAATAATAATAATAATAATAATAATAATAATAATAATAATAATAAATTATATCTGATGATGAATAATAAAAAATAAATAATGCTACAGTTCCTGATGAAAATTCAAATAAAGAAATAATGATTTTAGAAGAATAATTTGAAAAGAGCAATCATATTGATCAAAACAATAACAATGTTGAATTAATAAATTAAGAGGAAGAAATCACATAAACTATTGATAACAATGAGATTGATATTTAGTAAAATAAATAAGAAGAGAATTTAGAAACTAAAATTCAATTAGAGTCAGATATTAATGAGAAATAATAAGAAGATTAGATTCAATAATAATAATAAGATGAGCAAAAGGAAGTTTAAAATGATTCCTAAAACATTCAAGACGATGATGAAAAAGAAATAGAGTAAGAGTGATTATTTTAGTATGAATTAGAAATAATTCTAAATCATTTTTAATTATTTGTGATATTTAAAGTTTTTAAATATAATTATTCTAATTATTGCTCTAATCTTTATTTAAAGTCATTATTATTTATAGATATCAATAACTTAAAAGTAATTTAATTAGAATATATTTTAATTAATAAAATAAATACTTTTATAAATTGAATTTATTATAAAAATAATAATAAATTATAACTTCTTTAGTTTTTTATTCATTTATTGAAATCAGTCATTTTATGCTATTCTATTTTAAACTATCTTAAGTGGTTAACAAATTAAATTCTATTTAATTACCTTAGTAATTTATAGTTTTGATTAATCACAACCTTATCAGATTGATATATATGATGATCATTCTTTACAGTATATATTATAGGATACATTGACTTTAAATTCTTAATTATTGAATTAGGACTTATAATTTTTATATTTTAATTATATAAAATAAATATATTAGTATTAGCAATTGTAAGAAATTAATATTTCTTTTATAATTTTTTATATAAAAATTGGAAATCTGAAATGAGAATAGATAATAAAAGAAAATAATGAGAGAAATAATACAATTACAAATAGGATAATGTGGAAATCAAATAGGAACGAAATTTTGGGAAGAAATAGCTTAAGAACATAGAATTGATGAAAATGGTCAATTAATTGAATAAGAACATGAATTTTAATAATATTTGGATGTTTATTTTAATGAAGTAAATGGAAATAGATACATTCCAAGAAATGTATTGATAGATTTAGAACCAGGAACATTAGATAGTATTAGGGCAAGCAGATATGGAAAATTATTCAGACCTGATAATTTTATATTTAGTTAAGGTGGAGCAGGTAATAACTTTGCTATTGGACATTATACAAATGGAACTGAAATATTAAATGAGGTTTTAGATGTAATAAGACATCAAGTTGAAAGTTCTGATTGTTTATAAGGATTTCAGATGACCCATTCTTTAGGAGGTGGAACAGGATCAGGATTTGGTACTTTGTTACTATCAAAATTATAAGAAGATTACTGTGATAGAATATTTTAAGCTTATTCTGTATTTCCTTCTGTAAAAGTAAGTGATGCAGTAGTAGAATATTATAATACTGCTGTTGCTGTAAATCATTTAATTGAAAATTGTTCATAATGTATGTCAATAGATAATGAAGCCTTGTACAACATATGTACAAATACTTTAAAATTAAAGAATACTTGTTATGGGGATTTAAATCATATAATTTCAGCTTCAATGTCAGGAACAACTTGTTCACTTAGATTTCCAGGATAATTAAATAGTAGTTTAAGAAAATTAAGTGTGAATTTGGTACCATTTCCAAGATTGCATTTCTTCACAACTTCATTTGCTCCTTTAATTTCTAGACATAGTTAATAATATAGATCTCTTAAAATATCTGAAGTAAGTGATTAAATGTTTGATCCTTAAAATTAAATGTGCGCAATCAATTGCAAATAAGGAAGATATTTAACTGGAGCTTGTTTATTTAGAGGATAATTTTCAAGTTCAGAAGTTGAAAAATAAATAATACAATTTTAAAAGAAGAATCATTAGAATTAAGTTTAATGGTTACCTAATAATATGAAGGTTTCATAATGCAATGTATCTTAGAAGGGAGTAGTAAATTCAGGAACATTTATTGGAAATACAACTGCAATAAATGAAATGTTTAGAAGAATTTACAATAATTTTTAGGCCATGTTTAAAAGAAAAGCATTTCTTCATTGGTATACTAATGAAGGAATGGATGAATTGGAATTCACTGAAGCTGGTGCAAATGTATAAGATCTTATATCAGAATACTTACAATATTCAGAAATTAATGATGATGATGAGGAGTAGTAAGAATGATTAATTAAATTTGTTGTATATACTTTTTTAACAACTTAGATCATTTAAATATTTTCATTTATTTTAATATAGCTGATTATTATTTCACAAAATGAATAATCAGAAAATTATCAACAATGTTTACATTACAAAAAAAAGAGTTTCTGCTGGGTCATTTGGAGTTGTGTATTAAGGGTAAGATATTAATACAAGAAATTTTGTTGCTATAAAGATTGACAAAGAAAATAAAGAAGATTCCAGCTTATTAAGAGAAGTATTATGATTTTCTATTTTAGGCAGAAATTTTAAGAAGACTCTAACATTTATAACATATACCAAAATTATATTGGGCTGGAAAAGAACAGGAATCCTATGTTCTAGTCATACAATATTTAGGAAGAGATTTAACTCATTATATGAAGACTTTTAGAAAATTTTCTCTTAAATGTGTCCTTAATGTAGCTGAATAGATGATCAACATATTAGAAAGCTTACATAAAAAGTATATTGAATATCTAGTTTAGCAAAGTCTTACATAGAGACATAAAACCAGAAAATGTTTTAGTTGGAAAAGATGATGATGATAATCAACTTTATATGGTAGATTTTGGCATCAGTAAGTTTTATAAAGATGAAAATGAATCACATATGTATCATCTCAATTAAATTAAACTTAGTTCATTCAGAGAAAATTAACCATTTATAGGAACATCTAGATATGCTAGCATCAATGCCCATAGAGGTTACTCATTAAGTAGGAGAGATGATATGGAATCACTTGGTTATATGTTGATATTTCTACTTAAAGGTATATAGATTTATTGATATAACAACAAGGTTAATTGCCATGGTAAAATTTATAGTTCACCTCAGAAGAAAATAAAATTAAGTAAGTAGGTTAGATGAAAATGAAGATGGAAGTAAGTGAATTATGTAAAGGACTACCTATTGAATTTGGAAGATATTTAGATTATGTTAGAGGCTTACCTTTTAAATCAGAACCAAATTATAAATACTGTTAATCCTTATTTAAAAAAATATAAAACGAACACAATTATGTACCAAAAGAATTAGTTTTTGATTGGAACATCACTTAAAGGGGAGAAAAGGAAGGTTAGAGTACTAGCAGTAATTTATTCAATAGTAAACCATCAATGTAATAAAAAGATACATAATAATAATTTTAGATTTAGAAAAACCAAAGAAGATTTATCATCCAATAACATTTTAGGATCTTAATTAAATTAATCAATAGAATAAGAGATGAATTCTTTATTAAAAACACCAGAATAAAAAAAATCTACTCTAACTCCTGAAATTCATCGAAAAAAGAGTAGAATTTAATCAATAAGCAGTTATAATGACACAATATCAGATCTTGATTTCAATAATAGTGTTATGTTGGGAATCTAACCTAGTATTTTAAGTAGGTTAAGCAAGATTTCTTTTAATTCAAATTCAAGAGTAAAAAATAGTAAGTCTAATATTTCTATGACTCCTGAAATTAAAGCATAAAATAAAATTTAATAAATTTAACATGATCCATATTTAGAAAAATTAACAGGAGCAAAGAAACGTAAATCTTAGCTTAGTTATTCTTCTTGTCTTGGCAAGAGAGATGATGAAACTATTTTAGAATGTTCAAAAATGAATGAAACTGAAGAAGGAATAGAAAGAAAATACATTGAACTAAAGCTTCTTTTTGTAAATGCGTATGTAAATTTAAGTTATTAAATAGTCGTTTCAAATTTTAGCCAAATAAAAGTCTAAAGTGAATTTTTTAAGAGTAATTTTTTTTCACATTCTCTGCCATATTTATTATACATATAAAATATCAAATTCATGACTTAGAAATTCTGAGCACATTGTCTGTTTATTTAAAAGCTAATAAAATAAATTCACAATTATTACTTTTCACTTTGTTTCTAGCTAAATCAAAATGGACACTCTTATTATGTGTACAATGAGTTCCTTTTTCTTTTTATAAAGCATCTTAAAATTTCATATTGATTGATTTAAAGTATTTGCGTTTTTCAGCTGGATTCATAAATAAATACACTGGAACAGAATTCATAATCTCTTTTAAAGTTTTTAATTTATTTGGATTCTTTCTAACTTCACTATAATCATCACCTTCAATAGTATCTTCATCTTGAATTGAACTATCTTACTAATACTAAGAATTGATTTATTCTTCTTATTTTTTATGTAATTTCAAAATTGCTTTCTCTTCCTTTTATTTAATTTTAGTGTTGTTTTATTACTATTATTATAACTCCTTTTCTTTTATTACTTTTTCTTTTTCTTTTCCACTCTTTTTTTATACTTTTTAAGGTACTTATTATACCACTTGTTCCTCTTATTCATCTTACTAATTAAATTATTCTTCTTCATTTTATTATTATTATACATAATTTTCTTCAAATTATTATATTTCTTATGGTTTATGTATTTATTGAATTTCTTAATTATTATTTTTTGTTTTTTTCTTTTTTGGAGCTTCTTCTACTTAAATTTATGGTGATTCTTCCTATTCTCCCTTAAAATTAAAAATCTCTGCAACTCTATAAAGAGACTTCCTATTTTATGGATTAACATTTCTAAATATAATAAATATTGTATTACTCTGAAGAAGCTAATTTAAAGACATAATTCCCATATTTTTTAGAATCAAAAGCTGGTAAATAAGATTCATTAGCTTATCTTTCTTCTAAGTATTCATATACATATTAAATTGTTTTATCTCTTAATGTCTTATTTGGACTGTGCTTAAGAATATCTAAGAAACCTTCAAGAAGATCTTTAACTTGAACATATGTAACAGTAGAATCACTCATATGTTTAGCCATACACTAAACAAATATTTGGATGAAGTGCAATGATGCTCCTTATACTAAAAAAAGAGTTAAGATATGGAATCATACCTGTTTGAAATTCTGTAAGATTCAAAACAGTCTCATTATATAAGGCTATTAGTTAGGGAACTGTCTTCCAATTAAAATGTTTGCATATTTTAATTTACTCTTCTATGATTTCTCTAAATAAAAGCATAAATTTATTAATTCGCCAGTAATCAATCTTCTCCCATTCTAGCATAAATACATGGAACATAGCTCTAGAGAATTAGATGAATGCAGTGAAATTAGAGTAGAACATTCTTGTTAGCTATGATATTTCAGTTGCAAGGATCTATTGATTTTGAAACTTGTCTGAGCTCCACATTGCTTACAATTAAAAAGTTCAATACCATAATAGAGAGCCTTCCAAATTTTTTTATAATCTGAAATTAACAATGGCTTGGTGAGGACCTTCTTTAACTCTATGATAGTTTGTTTCCTATTCGTTGGATCTATTGAAATTAATAAAAATTGCTTACCTAGAAGAGTAATTTGTTGTAAAAAATCCACAGACACTGTAGTCATATATTAATTTTTATTTAAATAATTCAATTCCATTCATTTTTATATTTTAGAAACAATTTCATATATTAGACATATATCTAAATGTAAATGTATTACAAAATTAAGTGATTTTCATAATTATAACACTTCTTATATAGTGTATTTTGAATTACTATGATTTCTTAGTTTATTTTAGATATATGTATGAAATTAGGAGATATTTTGACAAGAGTAGATCAAAAAAATTAATTGAGAAGAATATTAAGATGATCTTGAGATAATGAGTATGCCTTAATTGTATTGAGTTTAATTAAATTATATTATCAAATGAATCGGGCATCTCATAAATGATTGAATGGAATACTAAATAACCGAGCCGGTTTAGCTCAGTGGTTAGAGCTTTTGCCTTGTAAGCAAAGGGTCGAGAGTTCAATTCTCTCAATCGGCTGTTCTTTTTTTTTTAATTTTTTATAATATAAAATAAAATATTAAATAGCTTATTATGACTTAATTAATTAAATTTATCAATTCATATTTTCATAAATTAAATATAAAGGATATATTTAACATTTTAGAACAAATAAAATCAAATTTTTACATTAAATACATTATTTTTTTATTAATTTACTTGATCATATGGAATTTATAAATAAATTATTAACAAAATGTTAAGTTAATAATAATTTGGATGAAAAATAAAAAATTAATTCTTCATTAATGTCAAATGAATTTTAATTTTTTTATTAACCACATTAGGAATCGATAAACCATTTGATATTACTCTGTTGTCTAGATCATTAAATGTCTCTATTCTCTTATTCTTCTTGCAATACTAAATATGGATATTTTTGCTCTATTATTAATTAATAATTATTTTAATTGACAGATGGCTATAAATGTACCTGTTCTTCCAATTCCTGCACTACAATGAATTACTGGTCTTTTATTTTAAATAGCAGCTGTATTTGCAATTTCAGCTAGCATATCAATAATTTTGAATTAATCGTCTTCTACAACTCCAAAATCATCCCAATCTGTCCATTAATAATGAATAACCTCTCGTTCTTACTCCTAACATTTAATGATTATTTTATTTTTTAAAAGTGATTATGGATTCTCCTCTAATAAAATTGAATTCACTTCATAAGGACCATATTGAGCCTTCTAACCTACTTTTGGCCAATATTTTTCACATTAAAACTTAGTAAAATAATTAATTATACACTCCCTCTACCATACAAAGTACACAACATGATAATAACTCCAACATTATTAGTCCAAATCATATGCCAAAAATCATTTATTGATTCTGGAATAGGTCCCTGAGTAGCTATATAATACTTTTCAGAATTATTAATTCCCTTTATATAATTTGCATTAATGTAGAATTTTTCTTTTGGAGTACAAAATTGATTTGTTGTTTAAAACTCTGCTTTTACCATTGTATGTGAAACTAAAAATACATTTATACATCATCATACATGGCAAAATATTAGAGAATCTATTCAAATTTTAAACTTGTACATTTGTAAAGAATTATTTATCATGTTATTAAGTTTCAGTAATTTATCTAAGATAATTAAATTCATATTAAAAATCTCGTTTTCTATAGATTTTACAAATTCTTCAATAGTTTAAGCTTTTTCTAATTGCATAAAATTTTGGTCATCTGCACAATATGATAAATCTTATGGTTTAAGTGGACCATCCTCTTAAGGTTTTTACATCATAATAAATTAATTTTATTAATAAACTCATTTAATTTCATTGATTAATGCTTATGATTGTCTCCTCTCTCTCTAACATCAACTGTATTTGACTCTTACTCTTTAACTCCTATAGTTAGAATATAATTGAAATGTAACATCTCTCCCTTTCTTATTCTTTTTCCTAATGTCTGCTCAGTGTCTTCCAATTCCACTTCAAATCCTAATTTATACAATTAATCATAAATTTCTTTTGCATATGACTTTGAAATTTCACTTACAGGAATTATCATTACTTATCTTGGAGATAACCAAAATGGCCATTTACCATTATATTACTCAGTAAGAATAGCCATCATTCTTTCTATAGAACCAAGAATAGCTCTATGAATCATTACTGGTCTTGAAAATTTATCATTTTCATGATGATATGTAAGATCAAATCTTTCTGGTAAATTGAAATCTAATTGAATTGTACCACATTGATGTTATTTTTAATTATGATCTCTTATTAAAACATCTATCTTAGGACCATAAAATGCTCCATCTCCAGGATTTTCTGTATATGGTGTATCAGATAATGCAATTCTTAATTATCTTTCAGCTTCATCCCATATTTGTAAATCACCTATATATTTATCAGGTCTAGTTGATAAAGTTAATTCCCAAGTAAATCCAAAACGACCATATACTTTACTTAAAAAGTCTAATGTATTTTTAATTTCTTATTGTATTTGTTCAATTGTACAAAATATATGAGCATCATCTTATGTAAATTTACGTACTCTTGTTAATCCAGTTAATGTTCCATGTACTTCATTTCTATGTAATACACCAAAATCAGCAAATCTAATTGGTAATTCTTTATAACTATGTTATAATGTTTTATATAATAAACAATGACCAGGACAATTCATAGGTTTCAATCCCATTTAATTATCATGAGTCATATAAATATTTTCTGCATATTTATCCAAATGACCAGATTATTTCCATAAATCTTTATGAAATAATTATGGTGTTATAACCTCTTAATATCCACGTTCTCTATATTCTTTACGAATCATTTCTATTAATTTATTATAAATTTTAGTTCCATGAGGTAAAAAGAAAGCACTTCCTGGAGCTAATTTATTAAATACAAATAAATGTTGATGTTTTCCTATATGTCTATGATCACATTCTTATTATTTCTAATATTCTAAATATGATTTTGAATTTGGAAATGCAATACCTTAATACCTAAAACTATTTTAATAAGGTTATGAGTGATTAATTATTAATTTATATATTCGATTTGTATGATCAATATGAGGACCTTTACATAAATCAATGAAATCATCTAATTTATAAATCTGATAATTTTGCAAAGCAGTCTATTTTATTTTACTTAATTTATATGAATTTTTATTAAATAATTTTAATGCTTCATCATATGAAATGTTCTGTATTTCAAATAGATGTTTTTTCTATTTTAAATATTATTCAATTTCTTAATTTAATTAATCTAATTCAATTTCCTTATCTAATTTACATTGATAATAGAATCTAAGAAATGTGATTTATAATTATACCCATTTTCAGTAGATGGTCCAAATTCTAATTCAGCTCCAAATTTACTTAGAATGGCACCTAAAACATGAGCACTTGAATGCCAAAAAACTCTTCTGGCATCTTAATTAGAGAAATCTAAAAATTCAATTGTGCAATCCTATTTAATTTCTCTATTGAGATCATGTAAAGATGTACTACCATCTTTATTAATTACTTTAGCAATAAATGCTTCTTTAGGTACAGATAATTATGATGGTTTAAGTATTGTGTACTGTTTATTCTGATAAAGAACTTATTGAGTAAATTTATATATAATTTTCATAAATAATTATTTTATAAGGGTGTTTAAATTTGATTAGAGAAATGAGTTAATTATAATAAATTTTAAATGACTACAAATTCATATTAAATTGATGCTCCATACTTAGGTCTTTAAAATATAGGTGCAACTTGTTATATGAATTCTGTGTTATAGACTTTATTCATGACCCCAGAATTTCGTAGAGGATTATATTTATGGAAGTATGAACATTCAATACATGGGGAAGAGATTGATTCAATACCATTTTAACTTTAAAAGCTTTATGCAAGACTTCAAACTAAAATATTTGAGTATATTGATACAAGAGATCTTACAAAATCATTTTAATGGGATATTCATTAAGCATTTTAATAACATGATATATAAGAATTTATTCGTATACTATTTGATGCAATAGAATAGAGTGATTAGAATTGTAATTTTGTAAAGGAATTGTATGAAGGTATAATTATTATATAAAATAAGGCGCATATCTACATTACACAAAATGCTTGAAATGCAATTATGAAAGTCAAAGACAAGAAGTCTTTATGGATTATACAGTTATTTTGAAAGATAAATGGAGTAAAGTGTATAATAACAGTTTGGAATTAGCAATATAAAGAAGTCTTAAACCAGAGAAATTGGAGGGGAATAATTAATATTTTTGTGAATCATGTTAAGCTAAACAAGATGCTCATAGAGGATAATTAATTTATAAATTGCCATCAATATTGAATGTTCATATCAATCGTTTTGCATTTGATTATATAATGATGAGAAGGGAAAAGTTGGATGATAAAATGGTATTTCCATTTGTTCTTAATATGAATAATTACATTAAAACTTATGATGAGATTCCTAATAAAATATCAGAAGATACAGATCCATCTTATTTTGAAGAATTGGTTTAACCAAAAAAATAATAATTTAAAACAACTACTACTTAAAATAAAGTATAACCAACATCACATACTACAAAAACAACTAAAGTGACTAGACCTAATTAAGGATTAAAAGATTTTATTAAACAATAAAAGAAAGTAGCAAAATAATAATAAGGTAATGTAATTGATACATTTGGTACTATGTAAGAAGATGAATAGATTTAATAAATCATTCATTAATAAATCTAAGAAGATATAAAATAATCTTAATAATAAACAAATATTAATGAAAATAAAACTAATATTCCTCCACCACCTCCATTACCAGTCTTTGATCATGATTTAGAATATTAAGATGCTCCTAAAATTTAATCTAATAATGTTAATTAAGAATCTTAAATTTAAAATGATTAATAAAAAAAGAGTAAGAATGAAGAATAAGACAAATAATAATAATAATAACCAATATTAGATACTACAGAAGAGAGAAAGAAATATATTGAATTAGTTAAGTAGAAATGTTAGGAATCAATTTTAGAATAAGATAATTAAATTAGATAATATTTAAAAGATGGTCCAAATGTATATTAATTATATTCTATTCTTAATCATTCAGGTGGTGCTATGGGTGGTCATTACTTTGCTTATATACGTTCTCATGAAGATGGATAATGGTATTGTTTTAATGATAGTTCAGTTACTTATATTAATCCAGATGATATTCCTGTAAAAACTTTTGGAGGTCATTCTGGTGGAAGTGCTTATATGTTATTTTATAGGAAGGTTGAACCAAATTAAGAATCATGGGGAACTTGGGGTGGATAATTTTAAGAAAATGAATTACCTGAATATGTTTAATTAAAATTATAAGAAGAAAGACTTAAATTAGAAGAATTCAGATAATAAGGAGGTTAAAATGAAGATTTATTAGCACTTTAAAAACCTATAACTATTAAAGCTCATTATAAATTAGAAGTTAAGACTTTTACTCTTGAAAATAGTACAAGTTTTCATAATTTTAAATAATTAGTACTTGATCATTTTTAAATTAAAGATAGAGATAATTGTAGAATAAGAATTTATAATCCATATACTGATTAATTTTAAGATACTTTTGAAGGTAAAGAAATGAGATCATTGGCAGCACTTAAATTATAAAATAAATGTGTATCTATTGAATTTAAATAATAAAATGAAGAATGGAAACCATATAATGAATAATCTATTATATTTAGAATTGCTTTATATAGAGAAAATCTAGAAGCATTAGATGAAAAGACTTTATAACCTAAAAAAATAACAGTTAATAAAAATGATTTTATACATGAATTAATTGAAACATCAAAGAAAGAATATAAATTAGAAGGAGAATATTAATTATTAAAAAGAAATGGTGAATTTGGAGAAATCTTAAATCCTGATAAACCAATTGAAGGTTATTATGAAAATAGTCTCTTTTATCTTGAACCTAAAACTGAAAATAGTAATTGGCTTAAAGAATTTGAAATAGATGAACATAGAATTACTATAAAATTCAATGACCCTACTAAAACAATTTAACTTACAACATAAGAAGGTTAACCTGAAGATTTATATCCACTAATTTGCACAATTGATAATAGAGCTACAATGATGGAATTAAAAGAGAAAATCTGTAAATAAATAGGAATTTCTCCTAAAAAATTGATTTTGAGAAGAGGTGGAAGAGCTGGATTAGAATTAAAAGATATGACTATTGAAGTTGGACTTAATCATTTTGTAAGAGGATCATCAATACATTTAGATTTAGGTACTCCCTTAAATTTAGGAGAATACAGATGTATAATCTCAATAGCATCTGCTCCTAATCTTTTAGAAGATAGAAATTTTTATTAATTTTAAGAATTAGGTGAGTACTCTATTCCAGGAGATAAACCTATAAGTCAATTTATAAATGATTTGGCTATTTGGGCATCTGAGAAGAGTGGAATATAATTAGATTCTAAACATATTAGACTTAGAGAAAGGATAGCTGATCGTTTAAATAAAGTGTATAGAGATAAACCATTAAAAGAATAAGGAATTGTAGAAATGAGAATGATAGCAATAGAATAATTATAAGATGAATGGTAACATTTAACATCTAAAGATGTATTTATTCATGCTAGATTTTGGGATTAAGAAAAATGGGATCTATCAGAAAGATATGAATTTGTTGTTAGTAAAAATTAGAGTGGTGCAGATTTAGCAGATCAATTTAGTTAAGTATTTGGAATTAAAGCTGAAAATATTGAAGTATGTAGAATAGTTGCTGTTCATAGATTCAATAGATATGAATTATTAAATGAAGAAGTATATATATATATAAATATTATTTAGTGGATTCCATTAAAGAATGATGATTATTTATTAGGATCATAACCATTATTCATAACAAATGATGGATAAATGATTATACTTAGAGATTCAACATAATAACCTAGAGAATTAACAAATGAAGAAATTAAATAATTTGGAATTATATAATCTAATTATACTAAATCAATAAAAACTGGAGTTTCAAGAGGTCCAGTAAAGACAAGATTTTTCAATGAAGAGAAGGCTTTAGTGATAACTGTTAAAAAGTAATATTATTATATATTTATTTTAGAAAAGCAGAAGAAATTAAACCAGAATGATAATTTATTGCAATTAATAATTTTAAAATAATCTATATATATATATATATATATTAATAATTATATCATCCAGACTTTCTTTCTTCAAATATCAAACAATTATCTGGTTCAACACAATACAAGAATTTCATTCCAAAAGTAATTTATTTGACTTCAGGATTCAATTAAATTTTATATTATCTTACTAATCTAGCAATAATCATCTTTATTTCCATAATTGCCATATGTTATCCTAAACAATTTCTAGGTCCAGCTGCAAATGGTATATGTATAAATCCATTATCATTTTTAATTACATTTCCCTTATTCAACCATCTCTTATAATCAAATTATTATGCATTTTCAAAATGTTTATCAAGTAATCCTGGACCAATATGATATTAAAGTGTAAACCATCCTTTTTTCATTTTTACATCTAATAATTATTTATCTTATCTAACAGTTCTAAATATTGGACAAAATGCAGGATTTCTTAATCTTAATACTTCTTAAATCAATGCATTTATTTTCACTAACTTATTCAAATGTTCTTCCTTTATATCTCCTTATTCACCTACTATTTCAATAACCTCTTTTAATATTTCATTTTACATTTCTGGATATTCAGCTAAATAATATAAACAAGTTCCTGAAGTAGTTGCAGTTGTATCAGTACCTGCAAAAAATAATGTTATAAATTAATGGATTATTTCCTCAATATCAATTTCTTATTTTTTATCTTATTATTATTTTAAATATTCAGTAACATATAAATCTAAGAATACCATTTTATCCTAATTTTCTAATTATTAATTTTTAAGTTATTCAATTCTTTTCTCTATCATTGCCTAAATTACTTATTTAAAATTTTATATTCTTCTTAGTAGATCCTTCTCCTTTTATGTTGGGAATATTGACCATGATTTATACTCAAATAACATTTGTTTTAATTGAATAAATGGATTATTCATTGGCAATAAGAATATTTCACTTAGAATTTCAACTATAGATACCTAAGCATCTTTTCCTTCTATTTAAAATCCATTTGTCAACTCACCAAAGAAGCTGTGAATCACTACTTCTCCAGTAATTCTTGAAGTAAATTCATTTAGATTTGTTTTTTTATCATCTTTTGATACTTTCTCTATTACCTAATTGATCATAGGTAAACGAGAAGTTAGTTTCTCAAATGTGAATGCAGTTCCTAAAAGTTTTCTTTATCTCTTCCAACGATCCCCTTCACTTAAAACTAAACCTTTTTATCCTACAGATTCAACCATGAAAGGATCAATTTTAACATAACTTGTGTGATCCAAATACATATCCTTTATATACTCTGGTCCTGTCCAAATCAATACTGGTTTGTGTAAAAAATTTGATAAAATTACAACAACATTTGGATTCTTTATCAATTGTTAATTTATTGTCTTTAGTAAGTCTTTTTCTTTTGTAATTGAATCGTTCCAAATCTTACTCAATCCAGCAAAAGGATAATACATCAATACTGCCTTTTATCCAAGTTATAGTTTTATCTTTAGCAATGGAACCAATGGTAGGAGAACTACAAAGTAAAATACACTCATTATGAATGAAGCTACAGCTATATATATACTTATCATATTTATTATTTGTAGATTAAATTCAATAATTTGAGTTTATAAACTTCAGAAATTCTAAATGGGATATTTTGAAATTCCTATTTTTAAGTATTTCGAGATAAATTGTAATTCTTAAATAAAATCAAAATTTATTTATTAAATATATATATATATATTGAATTTCTATTATATTATAAATTTTTTTTAAATGTTTATAATTTTTTATTTTATAAATGAGTAAACTGTTATTTTCTGGCTGTTGATTTTACTCAATTATTATTGTCTATATACTTTAAAATACTTTAGAATAAACTATCGATTAGATCAGAGCTTATTGAATTTAGACTAAAAACTGTTTGTCTTACTTAATGCATTATCAATAATGATTTAATTTAAATTATATTATTAAATAATGTAATAACAAATGCTATTTATTTTATAAATTGAATTATTAACAAAGAGGATATAGTCATTATAAGTAATAAAAAAAGTTAATTGATTTTTCAATAAAAGTATAGCAATTAATTATAATCATTAATTTAATATGAAAAAACTTACAAACTTTGAAGAATTCAAAAAAACATTATAGATTAAAAGGATAAAATAAAAGTATTCAAGTATTTTTACTAATAAAATAATTATTTTGGTTTGATTTCTCAAGATGACATATAAGATTGCTAACAAGCTGAATTTTTATAATAAGCACTTACATATAGTGCTTTTTAAAGTATGAATTGCTTAATGCTGAAATTGGATAAAACCTTATTTAAAAGAACTTCATTCAACCCTATGAAATTCTTATTGTAATATGGAGTTCTATCGATGATGTCATATTAAATAACTAAAAAATATTTCTGTAGAGATGTAAAATAGACTTTTCATGACATGAATGAGAATATATAATTTGTTGTAGAATAATATCATTGGGGAATGGAATTGATGACTCATGACAATAAAGCTAATTGTTTAGGTGAATTCTTAGAAAAATGAGTTGATTTTGATTGGAGCACAGTTGAGAATAAGTGATTATTATTTTATATATTACTCTCAATAATTATGACAACTTAAAATTAATGGTCTGAATTGAACCTAGAACCAATAATTCAAAAAGTGATGAGAGATGAGTTTAAATTCTAGTACTTGATGCCTGTATAGAAAGCAGCTATTCCACACTTCATAAAAAATTATGATGTGGCTGTAGAAGCCTAAACAGGATCTGGAAAAACATTAACATTTTTAGTTCCATTATTTAATCAATTTTCAAAATAGAAATACTCTGATCATTAACTATTTGGTTTAGTATTATCACCTGCAAGAGAATTGGCATAATAAATTTATGATGTAGCAAAGAAATTCTAAAGTGTAAATTAAGCAAAGATAGCCTTTGCTATAGGTGGAACTTCTAATGAACATGATGTTAAATTTTTAAATGAAAAAGGATGTAATATACTTATAGCTACACCTGGTAAGTTAAGATAATTGTTAGATATGTCTGAGTTATAAATTAATGTGAAAACTTTGGAATATTTGATATTTGATGAAGCAGATAGACTAATGAGTAATGAATACTAAGATGACATTAGATTCATATTATCTAAATTACCAAAATAGAGAAGAACTGGTTTATTTTCAGCAACATTGTCATCTGCTAAAATACATGATCTTATGAAATTAGGTTTAAGAAATCCAGTATAAGTAAAGGTTAATGTTAATGAGATGATGCCAGCCAAATTAAAAAATTATTATCATATATTTGAAAATAGAATGGATAAAATTGCTGGATTAGTTGATTTAATTGAAAAGAAATGTTAAAATAACAAGAGTATTATATTTTTTAATACTTGTTGTTCTGTTGTCTATTATAGTATCATATTTAAATAATTATTTCCTGATTGTAATATTTTAAGTATGAATGGATAAATGGCTTAAAAAAAGAGATAAAAGATAGTTAGTAATTTTAAAATAACAAATAATGTTATTTTATTTACAACAGATGTTTTGGCTAGAGGATTAGATTTTGATGATGTTCCTTTGGTTATTTAATTTGATCCACCTTAAGATCCTAGTTTTTTTATTCATAGATCAGGTAGAACAGCAAGATAAGGAAGAGATGGAGAAGCAATTCTATTACTTGAATAACATGAAAGAGGATTCATATAATTTTTAGGTAGATCAAATATTGAAATGAATTAATTAGAAAATGTTATATTTGATTGTTAATTTTAATAATTGAAAGATAGATGTTTAAATATAGTAATTACAGATAGAGATATTATTGAAAAAGGTAAAGCAGCATTTATTTCATTTATTCGTAGTTACAAAGAACATAAATTACAAATATTGTTTCAATTTAATTAATTAAATATAGGTTAAGTAGCTAATTCATTCTTTCTATTAAGAATTCCAAGAATCAAAGAAATATTAAGTAAGAAAATTCAATTTGAATAAAGTCGTATTGATCCAAATACTATTCCATTTTTAGATAAGAATTAAGAAAAATAATATTTATAGAAAAAAGAAAATAAAGATAAGAAAATAGAAGAAAAGAAAATATAATAATTACCTAAATAATAAGTATCTAAGAAATAAGAAAAAAACATTAAGAATATTAAATCTATTAGAAAGAAGGTTAAATAATAACATGATTAAGAAGATGATGAAGAATTAAGAGCGTAATAAATTTATATTAATCTTAGAGAGTAAAATCTAGTAAGGAAATTGAAGTAAGGCAAAATTACTCTATAGTAATTTAAGGAAGAAATGAAGAATTTTGATCCAGAAGATTTATAAGATGCTGATTATGATAAAGATGATTTGTGATAAATTATTATTGTATATAAAAATGCTGAATAGACAAATAAAATCTAAGAAAGTTAAGAATCTGATTAAGAAATTTGATGCAGAAGATGAAGATGAACATTAAGAGGAACATGAAAGTTAACAAGAAGAGATATAATAATAAACTAAAAAATCATTAAAATAATTGTTATCTGGAGTTATTAAAAGAGATGTTAAAAGTGATAAAGCTATTATGGCAGATAAATAGAAAATATTGAATGAACTTACAAGTGAAAAATAAAAACAAAAAGAAATTGGAATTAAGAAAAGCATTAAAAAGTTAGAAAAATTAAACATACTAGGGCTGTTGTTGAAAAAGGACATATTGATCCAAGAGTATCAACCAATAGAGATTAAGAAAGAGAGTTGAAAGTTATTGCAGCTAAAGGTTTGGTTAAAGTATTCAATGTACTTGCTGAAATGAGATAGAAATAAAATGAATGAGTTTGTGGTGAAAATTTGTTTGTATTTAATTAATTAAAACATATGATTTTTTATTTATAATAAAATTTCTAGCGATACTCATTCAATAATATATTGGAGGATAAATTAATTAAATATATATATATATATTATCTTCATTTATAAAATGTCTTCTTCTTTATATCTGGCATCTTTTCTACAAGTTTATTTCTTTAGTAAGTTACTATCTAAGGACCTTAATAAGTTTAATTAAATGAAGGCTCAAAGATCTTATTTTTCATTTAAGAATTAACTCTATTTGAATTTTAAGTTATTGAACTTTACTTGGGCTCTTAACTTCCAACCTTAGCAGATTGGTACAACATCCTCTACTTCTAGAATTATTTTTATGGTGTTGAATAACCACTATTGAATGTTGGATTACCTGACACAGGTTTTATAAGGATCTTTGCTTTCTATTCCAAATACTAAATGTTGAATTACTCATGCTTATCCATTGCAATTTCTTAAGGCGTTTTCTATGTCTATTTAATGTTAATCTCTGGTTCTTTTGCTTTTATTTATTTGAGATCTTTCTCATAATTTCTTAATTATCTTTAAAACCCATAATTTGGGAATACTACACTTCTACGCTTTCTTACATAATTGAAGGCTTCCTAAAAATTCAATCCTCTAGTCTTCATTATGTATGCTATCACTGCTGAAGCCGATCTTGACACTCCTGCTGCACAATGTACTAATACACCTCCTCTTTTTAACCCATCTCCAATCTAATTACAAGTATCCCCAAATAATCTTGCTATATTTGCTGATTCAATATCCAATATATGATAAACCTTATATTTATATTTATCTATTTTACTTTGTGCACTATTCCACCTTCAGGATAAGACACATTTAATCCTGCAGCTACTGTTAAAACTGTCTTAATTCCTCTTCCATCCAAAAGACTTCTATCATATGCAGCAGTGCAATCTCCCAACCATAATATATTACCATTCTCCTCTAAGATTTAGTTCATTGACTAATACATTGGATCAAACATACGAAACATACTTATTATTTATTATTTAATATCAAAATCTCTCTTTGAACAAATCGTTTTACTTTAACAATTAATTACTAAATCCATTCACCAAAAACTGAATAGTTATTTCTATATTTTACTCAAAGTATCTCTTGGTCACCCTTATCTTAATATATAATAATAATAAATTTCGTTTGTTTAATTTAAAAAGTAGCGGGTTAGCCGTTCCCCGAGGTCGTGTAAGTCAGGGTCGACTATGCTGGGACCGGAGCAAGCCCCAAGTAAACCCAGCCCCATTTAAAAATTGCAGTGATATCATTCTCCTCGTAGGAGATATCAGATATCACTCTGATAAGAACAGATACTACACTTGATCTTAGCCAAAAGGCCGAGAAGGTATGAAATTTAATAGTCTTTTTTATTTCTTTATATATTATTATTAATATTATTATTTTATGGGTTTTATAAAATAATATTAATATTAATGATTTAATTTAAATGTTTATGCAATATTAATATATACTAATTATATAGTTTATTAATTTCTTGTTAATTGTTGTAAAAAAAAAATATATGATAAAGATAAAATAAAGTATGCCTTAATTATTTACTATATATTTTTGATATTTACAAAAATAAATATTAAAATAATAAAATCTCACTTTTCTTTTATATTTCATAAAGACTATCAAATTTAAAATATATGTTTATTTAAATTTAGTAGAACTTCTATTTTATTTAACTTTGATGAAATTTTATTAATAAAATAATTTTGCTGAAATGTTTTATATGGAGTATTGATAGGATTTTTTTATTAATATATTAGATTAAATTTTATTCAATTGAATATAGATATAATTATAAATAGGTATTGAATATAATTAAATAAAATCAAATACTATTTAATAGTATACAATATAATTTAGAATTATCTTTATTGTGAAGATTTTACAATTAAATCATGTATAGTATATTTAGATATTGGAATAATTGAAGATGTTATAGCATAATAAATAATGAATTATTGTATTATTCATTACTTATATTAATAAAATAAATTTTAGTTATGAAGGTAAGTATTATGATTATAATAATTTTAGTTAGCTGCATCTGAAGCATTCAAGAAACTAAAATTGAAACATTATTAATAGGCCAAAGTAACTACAACCAAATTTTATCAAACAAAGCCATTTTTTTCAATGCCAGAATAAGTTGAAAAAGAATCAGGTGTTTTAGCACCAAAAAGAGTTAATTAAGTTGATCTATTTAAAAGATATACTTATGAAGTATTACCTGCACTTGAATAATCAGTAGAATTGGATTTGCTTGAAAAAGTATTTCAAAAAGTAGATCCTGTAGTAAGAGAATCAATTACATAAGTAAAATACTACATAATTTAATTAATTAGGCTTACATTAGAAAGTAAGTGGAATAATTAGCATAACAACCAGATCCAGCATCAATTAAAGATCTTGAAGACAATACTAAAAGTAATATGCCAAGAGAAAAAGCAAAATTATTTTTACAAAATTGGTTGGATTTGAATCCTATTTAAATTGGAAAATGGATTCCCTTAAATTATGAGTTATTTAAGAAAACATTTAAATTCTTATCTCCAGGAGATTTCCAAAAAAACTTAATTGAATTATCAAAAAATTTTTCACTTATGATGACTGATGAAGGATTTAAAACAATTGATTATGTTGATTCAAGTAAAAGAATACCACAAATATTCAATTATAAAAAGTTATCTAAAGATAATTTCAAAAAAGAAGGATATTTTATTATTATGTTTAATGTATTGAAAGGAGATTTTAATGATGAACTTAAGAAACATAGAAATAATGAATTATTTTAAAGAATATTTGCAACAAGTGTTAATTTTGATGCTTTATTGACTGTTATATTGAATCATTGGGAATTAATATAATAATTAAGAACTCCAGAATAAAGAAAAGAATTCTTTAAATCTCTTGTTGATTAATTATTAGAAAAAATAGATAAATAATAACCTAATGCATCTATGCCTGAACTATTATTTTCAACTGTAAAATCATTACAATTTAAAGATTTTACTTTGGATCTAACATAATATGTAAATAATCCATTTCCTGTTCCAAAAACATTAATTGAAAATAGATTTGGAGTATTAAATCAATTAATAATTTATAGGAATAATATTATGGATATTCAAGTAATTTACTTTTCTATGGAGATCATGGTGCTGGTAAATCAGGTGTATTAATGTAAGCAATTATGTATGCATAATAAACTGGATGGATAGTTGCAGTTGTTCCATCTGGATATAAGTATTAAATAAATTAATAGTATTTTAGTTGGACTTCATTAAAATATGAAGCTAAAAGACATCCTAAAACTGGATTATATATGCAACCAAAAGCAGCTTAAGAATGGTTAGAATAATTTAAAGAAGCTAATCAAGAACATTTAAAAACCTTTTAAGTTGATTTAAGTCTTTATGGTAAATTCAATTTAAGTGGTGTTCATGATAATGATCCTGATCCTTGTCCTAATTTATATGATGAAAGAAGATAATATCACTTCAAAGATTTTGAGAAATTTATAACTAAAGAAGAAAGAGATTTTGAAGAAGCCCAAGATTAAATTATGTCTGCAAGAATTACATTGAAAATTCCAAAACCTTAATACTTATAGGAAATTATTGATTATGGTATTTCAAATGCTCATTATGCAACTAATGCTGTATATGAAGTAATGGAATAATTATATAATACTGAAAAATATAAAGTATTAGTAGCAGTTGATGGTATTAATTGGTTTTATAGACCTTCATAATTACCATCATTTCGTTATGAATCTGATAAAGATTTAAGGGTAATTATATTTTATTTATTATTTTAAGGGACATGTACCACCATATCATATGTCATTACCTAGATTATTTATGCATTTTGATGGTCATAAAATAAAAAATGGTACTAAAATAACTGCTTCATCCATTTATAAATTATTTTAACATGATTTCTAACCTAAACATGTACTCTTACCTTAAAAATATGGTATAAAATTAAATGGAGCACCTTTGGATATGTTTAGATCATTTTGTGAATATGGAATTCAAACAGGAATGTGGAAATGTGATGAGTTTTCTTAAACTACTATTGAATAATTTTGGATGGAAACTTAAGGTAATTATTTTGAAGCAATTAAATGTATGAAAGTTCATTGGAGAGATATATGAAAAAATGTAAAATATTTTAATTATTTAAGAATAATAGATATTTATTTATATAAAAATATATTATTAATCATCATATGTATATAATCTATATTAATCATTTCAAATTTAACGAACTAATTAAGGATCTTTATACTATTGGTTTAATGCTTATATTTAGTTTAGTAAAGATTAAGTCCACTATTAAATTTATAAATCTAAAGGTTGTAATTCTTATTTATTCTCAACTTAAACTTCTTCTGTTTCATGTCTACTCTTTTATGATTATTCAACACAATTTTCCACATTTTTTTATATTTATACTTAAGAAAGTAATGGTTAAAGAGGGTTTAAAATAACATGGTAAGTTGTTATTACTTTATTTAATTTACGAATTCTTGATTCTTTTTTACCGACTCTGCCTTCTTTCATGTAAGTATTAACGATAGACTTACACGTAGATGCCAATAACTAGTATTCTTGAGCAACCTTTTTAAATATTTAAAATTATTGAAATACTTCTAACAAAGGCTTTTTTTGAAAGCAGATTTTATCAATAATCTCTTATCTAATCTCTTTGTTGATTTTACTATATTATTTTTTCTCCTCGTCCATGGGTTAGTATTTGACCTGATTAATTTATTAAAATAAAAATAATTTAAAAAAAATTAAGATATGATCATTGATTTATTTAACGAATATATTGTATTCCCTCTTATTTCAAAAATTTATTAAAAAATTTTTCATTCTAAAAAAATCCAAATAGTTTAAACAGAATTCTATAAAGTTAAATTTAATAAATTATAAATTTATGAGAATAATAAAAATATCAAATATGTTCCAATTTTTCTAATTACTTTTTTATTTGCATAATCATCTTCTAATCATCATTTTCCAATCCTTAAGTTTAGTTCATATTTTTCATCTAATTTTATATTAAAATATATTACTGATTATTATTCTATTAATTGCTTTTTAATTCTCTATTCTTTCAAATAATCCTTTATAACTAATTTTTATTCTGATTAACTTGATTTAGGTGGTTCAGGTGGTCTTGCCAAAGGTGGAATATGTTTTTTATTATAAGTAGCATGTTCCTTTAAATAAAAGTCCCCTATTCGTCTAGGTGATATAGGAGTAGGTATATTCTCTAATGGCTTAAGTTTCACTTTCTTATTTCCTGATTAATCTTTTTATTCAACTCCAAAATAAATATGTTTTTCTTTAACTTTCTCAGATAATTCTCTATATTTTTTAAAATCAGGTTCATATTTAAGTTTTCTTATGTTCTCTTCAATTTCTTATCTCTTTTCTTAAGATACATGAGGTTAATATCTTTATTTCACTTCATTTTCATATGATCTCTGCAAATTAAGTCTTTCCTAAGCTCTAAGTTTGGATTCATCAATTTTTAAGTCTTATTCTTTATAATATTGTTTTGCCCTTTTATAACTTTAAGAATAATATTATGCCTAAAATTTATTCCATTATTTTTCTCTTTCATCCCATTCTTTTTATCTAACAGCTGCTTTTTCTTTTCTAAGTTCTTTAATTTTTTTTTCAAATTACATAATTTCCTATAAATCAAATTCAGGATTCTTCATTTCTTTCAATTTATTTTTTCTAATTTCTTATAATTACATAATATATGCAGCATCTTATTAGGCATACTTTTCTGCAAGTAAATGTTATTTCTTTTTTTCCAAATATCTTTTATTTTATTCTTATAAATCTTATTCTCTTTATTTTTATTTCTACTTTAACTTATTTAATCTTTATTCTATTTCCTCTCTCTTTTCTTTAGTCTTAGCCTCTTAAATTAGTGCTTATTACTTTCTTATTTTCTCTTCTGTCTTTTATATTTTTTCCTTTTGAATTTCTATTTACTTTAATCTTTATTCTTATAATTCATTCCATTCTTTCATTTATTTCTTAATAAATTCTTATCTCTATTATTCCTTTTAAGGATCCACTTCAGGTTTAACAATTGGTTCTCTATACATACTAATCTAACTTAATTCTGCTATACTATTAATAATTGATTATGATGCATGTTTATTCAATTAATCCAATTTTAAATGTCTTTTCAAATGTTCAATTTTTTCTTCAATATACAATAATTTTTATACAAGTTCTTTTCTTAAATTCAAAATCTATTGTTTATGCTCTTACTATTCAAATCTTAAATCCATATCATCTAAATCAAGTATTTATAAATTAACTTCTCTTCTACTTTTCTCATATTTTTGTAGATCTTTTTTAATGAGTTCTTTCTAAAGAGCTTTAATTTTAGTTTATTCAATAACATTCTTTTGATCATAATCATCAAAATGATATTGATTCTCATTAATTTTTAATCCTTTTATAGCTTTTTCTAATGATTCCATTGTTAAATTTTAAGCTGTTTATTTAGATTAATGACTTAATTCATGATTCTCAAATTATTATGTGAAATACTCTTAAATATTTCCATAATTATTTTGAACATCTGCACTTAATGATTCATTCAATCTTTTTATTAAAGATTAAGGTTTTTCTAACTTATTGTTGAGTTTAAGATTCTAAGGTTCTACTTCTTTGTATTCTACTACTAGAACCCCTTCTTTTTTTCCTTGTCCAACAATATCAAGATGATGAATCTATTGTGATTTAGGAACAAGGGATTCTCCAATCAAATGAAATTCTTGATCTTTCTACCATACTTCCACTTTTAAATCTACAGTTTTCTTCATTTCAAGAGTGAACTTTTGATTCCAATTGTTTCCTACAGAAGTTTAATGAACTTAAGTGCCATACTTGATTTTAACTAAGAAGTTAGAAAGTGGATTATCGTAATTTAAAATTTCGAGATTAAGTTTCATATTTTAATTATAGGTGGTTTAATCATTCTAAATGTATTTCTCCATACATTTGCATTGTCTAATTCTTTTTTAGATATTAAAACACTATCTAATTTTTTAATTGTAGGTAACAATCCAATTATATACAATCTAAAATTTGGTATGGCATCAAAAGGATTTCCATGAACAGTTAAAGTTCTTAATTCTGTCAAACATTGTAATTTATCAAATTCCATAATATCTTTTAATTTATTTGCATGTAAGTATAATGCTTTTACATTTGGTAAATCAGCAAAATTCTAGATATATATATAATAATTACATAATCTAGACTTTCAATCATATTATGTGATAAATCAATCCATTACAATTATTTACAATTAATCATAATTTAATCAATTATATTGTAAAAATTATGCAATGATGTTAATTTATTATAACTTAAGATCAATGAACATTGAATTAATTGAACTTAAAATTATTTCTTTGTTTATTTTTTTTCATCAATTGTTGGCTTATATACATTAGTTGATTATTAAACAGGTTATCCTATTGTACGTACAATTACTGGTGTCAATTTTTCTTCCTTTTATCTCTACAACTCCCGTTTTTCTTTTTCTTTCTCATCACCCTCTAATTTATCTTCATCTTCTTATTCCTGTTATTGATTCTGTTACACTTAAATATTTTCATTTTCTTATTATTATTGTTGTTGTTTTTCTTTCTTTTTATCTTCCTTTTATTCATCCATAGGAGCTTGTTTACGTTTTCCTTGTTTTGGTAAAGCATGTTTTAAATCAGCCAATGTTTTGATATTCAAATTGGAGAAATCCAAAGGAGGAGCATCATATGAAGTTTTAGTATCCTACATAATTGATTTAGACATGTTTTATTTCATTAAAATAATAATAAATGAGCAAACATCCAATTTAGAATTATTAAATCTTAAAGACTTTAGGCAAAGTAATAAATTTATATTTATATAAAAGGGTACATTTGCTACTGTCTATTAAGCTCAACATATAAAAAACTAAAGAAATAGTTGCTATTAAATAAATTGATCTCGACATTAAAGAAGGAATTTAAAAGTTAAAATTGTAGAATTACTTGAAACTTAAACAAACATAATGAAATCTATAAAACATAAAAATATTGTAGAATTCAAAGACATTTAATAAAACAGGGATTCAATAAATATGATAATAGAATATGGAGATTTATAAATGTTTATTAAAACAAATTATCCATCTAAAACATTACCTGAATCTAAAACCAAATAAATTGTACTTCAATTACTTGATGCCATGAAATACTTACGTTTAAAAAATATTGTCCATCGTGATCTCAAATTAGCAAATATACTAATAAATGAATAAATGTAAATTAAATTAGCTGATTTTGGTTATTCTAAATCTCTAATAAATAATGAATTGTTATAAATATATTGTGGTACACCTACAACAATGGCTCCAGAAATATTAAAGTAATTATAATTTCTATTAAAAAAAATTAGAAATTCTAAATCCTATAATCATAAATGTGATATATGGTCATTAGGAGTAATATTATATCGAATTCTATATGGTTATCCTCCATTTGTTTCTTCGAAAGGAACAGCTCAAGACTTGCTCTTAACAATTTAAAATAATAATGTATACTTAATTTTTATTACAATAGCATTAATTTACATAACATATCTTTTTATCTGCAGAATGTAAAGATTTATAAAAGAAAATGTTAGTAGTAGATTCAAAAAATAGAATTAATTTTGAAGATCTTTTTAAACATCAATGGTGTTATTAAGATAATATTGATTAAGAGAAATCTTTATTCAAAGTTAATCTTCCATAACATTAAGATTTTCTTAAAAATCTCAATTATTCTATTATTTTATACTAATAACAATTAACTCAGATTGTTTAAAGTATTTCATTTATTGAAAATAAATATTAAGATCTAAAATAATTTTGTTAAAGATTTAAGAATTCTCTAGACAAAGCATTTTCTACTTTTTATCTAAAAATCTACTATTAAAATTAAATTTTTTTAATAAAAGTTCCTTAAATATTAATTATAAATAAGAATTACTTGTTTTTCTTATAAATATCTATGAAAAAGCATTATAAAATAATATCAACATTTAAGAATTTGTTAGCTTGAATATATTTTAATTTCAAATTTGCAATTAATTAGAAGTTAGATATAAAGATTATTCAATCACTCTTTTTGATGAAATTTAGAATTTTAAATAGATGAATGTATAAAATTGTTAGATGTTATATGTTTTTGATAATTAAGAAAATAATAATAAAATTTTAAATTCTGATTTGTAGATTTTAACAGAATATATAATATAAAGATATAAAAATTGATTATATATATATTCTATATATATAATGAATATAAAAATCTATTATAATTTGATATGTAATTCAATATCTGATTCAACAACATGATCCTTACTTATCTTCAGCTTCTGGTTGTGCTTACAATTATTGAGTATTATTAATAAAGGATTTTTTAACACCTTATTCAGTTCCTACTTTAATTCCATGACTTTCATTTTTAGGGTCAATTTGATTGTTATTAATTTTTTCTAAAATTTGTTAGGCAGTCTTAAGGAATACTTCTTCTACATTATTAGCTGTCTTTGCACTCACTTCTACAAAATCTATACCATTATTTTTTGCAAATTCTTATCCTTCTTCAAATGACACTTATCGACTAAATATTAGGAATATTTAAAGTACTCTGCTTCTAAATCACTCTTATTACCAACAAGAGTAAAAGTCAATTTTGGATTTCCATTTTATTTAGCTTCCTCTAACCATCGAGAAATGTTTTCAAAAGTCTCCCTTTTAGTGATATCATAAACTATTATTGCACCAGCAGCAGATCGATAATAAGAACGAGTAATAGATCTAAAAGATTCTTATCCTGCCTATAAAAATATCGAATTTGACAATACCGTATCCCAAATTTGTAATTTGATGTTTTATCCATCAAACTCAATCATTCTTGCACCAAATTCCACACCAATTGTAACTTCATGTTTTTATCTGAATCTCTTATCTATGAATTATAAAAGTAGGCAAGATTTGCCAACACCTTTAAATAGTATTTATAATCTCTATACCTGTATCACCAATCAATATAAATTTAAAGAGGTAGCTATATGACATAATAAATTAAATAATGAAACATAAACCTAAAATTGAAACTAATAATACATTTGATTTATAATCAAACACAATTTAATAGTAAGATCTAATTAATTCAGTTCACACTATCAATTCAAAATCTAATTCTAATATTTCTTATCTCAAACAAAAGTTTTGTTAAGACACTCTTTATTAAAAAGAAGGAATTTTGATAAATTTACAAATAATAAAATTCAATTCAAATGTACAATCAGATTATTTAATAAAAATACGATTGATTGATTGATTTGATTCATTTATGTATAATCTTTCAAAAAGTTAATAAACTTTCTTGTTTAACTTGTTACTACAATAGGTCTGAAACAAAGAAATAAAATATATTCAAATATTCTCAATTTATTTTATACCTTTGTTATTCTAAATCAAATAAATATACTCAATTTATCATTAAAGTTAGATTCTATTCGATATAAAGTTCAAAAATATCAACAGATTTATGATAGAATATTTAAAGAAACCCAAAAAATACCAATATCTAATGGATATATCCAAATCATTCTAAGTAATTACAGTAATCTTAATCAATAATAAATCTAGAATTAAAGTATTATGAAAAGTATTTTATTTAATAAAGAAAATGTTTAATTTCAAGATTACATAAGAAAAATGAAGTAAGCTATTCATTCACCCACTTTTACATAATTATTTAAGTTTTCTCCTTTGAGATCATGTACCATTTCATCTTAGACCAGCTGATCTTAATAATTAAAAAATGATAGCTTTTAAAATCAAATATAAATTATTAATATAAAGGTGTCTAGATATTGTAAATTAGATAATATAATTATGCTCTTTCATTTTGATGAGATATTAGTTCTTTATCATGAATTAATATAATAAAAATCTAAATTCATAGTTTTTACTGCATCACATCAATATTATGGTAAACAAGTTTTGGATTATTTAAATCCTGAAAATAATGTAATCTCACATAGATTTTTATGGAAATAGTATTAGTTTAAGAATAGGAAGTATGTAGATAAAAGATTTGAAAATATTTGGCAGATCATTTAATTAAATTGTTTTAATTGATAATTCATCTTACGTTTATGTTTGGTAATTAGATAATTGAATTTCTAATAGTTATGATAATAAATATGACAGAGAACTTTAGAATTTATAAACTTATTGATATTTTAAATGTTAGAGAGTAAAAATATGTAATATTATTTCTAAAAATAAATTAAAATTAAATTAATTGTTTGATTCTTAGGGTTCTATCAGTGTTTTCTGAATAGCTTTTTGAATAAAAAATTAAATTATTATTTTAGTACATTTCTTATTGTAATTTTTATAATCTAATGCAATAAACAACAGATTATGATGAAATGCAGCATTATCTTAAACTAGCTTAGGATGGTGATACTGATGCATAATTCAAAGTAGGTTTAATGTATGAAGATGGAAAAGGGGCTCAATAAAATATTTAAGAATGTATTTAATGGTATTTTGAATGTTATGAATTTTAGGTATTAATTAGCTGCAAATAAACATGCTTAAGCTGCATATAATCTGGCATCTATTTATTATTTAGGTAGAGTTGTTGCTCCTGATTATAAAATTGCATATAAATACTTTAGCAAAGCAGCTGAATTATAAAATGAATAAGGAATGTTCTAATTAGGCTTGATGCATTTATTTGGATAAGGAGTAGAATAAGATTTTGAGAAAAGTAGAAGTTGGTTTGAAAGAGCTGCTAAATTAGTACTTATTCATTTTTTATTTCTTTTCAAGGGATCAGTATCAGCTATGAACAATCTTGGTAATATTTATAGATCTGGAATTGGAACTCATATTCAAATTGAAGAGGCCAAGAAATATTATAGAATGGCAGCAGATAAAGGGGATTTATGTGCAATGACAAACTTGGCTACAGTGTTATTGTAATGTAATCCCACTGAAGCTTTTGATTGGTACCTCTAGGCAGCTAAAGGTGGTTTTGAAAATGCTTAATATAATCTGGCTGTGCTTTATGAAGAAGGAACTGGAACTAAATTAAATTTATAATAGGCTCTATACTGGTATAAATAAGCAGCATAAGCTGGTAATATTGAAGCAAAAGAGGCTGTTACTCGTTTAAGTCCTATAGTTCAAAATTAATAATAAAATGACAAACAATAGTAAGGTTAAAATACATAATAATCTTCTGCCAAAAAAGGTGGATGTGGCTGTATTGTATTTTGATATTATAACTATTTATTATATATAAATTAATAATGGATAATGTTGAAGTGGAAGTTAAAAAGCAATTGAATTATTTGAGAAGTATATAGAGTTACCTTTCAGAATCATCAGCAAATCCTAAAGATTTTGCAAAAATAATAGATATTTACAAAAACCCAATTCATAGAATATTAAAATTAAATTGTTATCCATTACTCAAGACTTTCCCCTCATCTGAACTTGTTTGTTTAGAATTAGAGAAAGATTTTAGTAATAAAGATTATGAAATTCAATTATTATCACTTAAGTTAGCATATTCCTTACCCATCAGCAATTTAATGTAAATTGTTAAATCATACGATACAGCATTTTATTAAATAATTGAATAGTATAATTCAACCATTTAATAGGTCCTCTGATTTCCATTACGAAAGATTATGTGCAGTCAATTCTATATTGTAATTATTATTAACAAAAGAAACAGAAGTTGATTCAATAGATATGCCAAAATAAACAATAACTAATATTTACTTGAGAATAGCTGAAAATTGTTTTTCTAATAATAGAGATATCTCAGCTAATTGTATAATATGTTTATCAGAATTTCTATAAAGTAAATTATAGAATCCTAATAATCTTACATAAGTCAATTATGATAATCAATAAATTAAATAATATTTATTGTGTCGAATTCAACTTTTATATGAAAAAATTTGCAGTTATGAAATTCGTATTAGATCTAAAATGTTATTTTTATTATCTTAAATTTTGCTTGATTCTCCTAAATAGATATAATAATAAAATACTATTTAATAAAATTAGAATACACAAATATATAAATTAAATGTCATGGATTTCAATAATAAAATTATTAAAGCTGGATTATATGATATACTATAATATAATTTTGAAATTGATATTATAGTCTAAATTTCTAATTTCCTTATTAATATTATTTCATAATGCAAATCATATGAATATTTTAATACAGGTTAGATTGTTTGGTAATTATTTGATTGTATAGATAAATATATTAAGAAAGTCAATTATAAAAAAGAATTAAACCAAATATTACTTTAAATCCTATAATTAGAAATGGATTTGAATACAAATATTGCTATATCAATAAGAATTTTAGAGATTTCTTTCCTTATTTAAAACTAATTGACTAGACTTTTATTTCTTCTTTATTGTTTCAGTAATTTAATCTAAAAATCTATTGAATTACTTTATTAAAAAAAGACTAGTGCAATATTAGGATTATACAATTAGACTTGGTTCCTAACTAAAATAAAAGATGAACCTGAAGAATTAATCTGTTGTTTAATTATTGCAGCTATACATTAAGAAACTAATAAATCTATATTATTAGAAATAATGGAAATCTGTAATGCTTTTATTTGGGATGGTTGTAATATTGAAGCTATTATTATGTATTTATTATTAATTGAAGAATGCATAAATGTAATACCATCAGATGAAATAAGATTAGATGATTTAATAAATAGAATGAATACAAATTAAATAAGTTTCAATTAGAAAGTTTAAACTCTATTAATAATTACAAGAAAATTCAATGAAAATAGTTTGAATTGTAAATTAGATTATATCAATATATTGGCAGAATTTAGAACTTTTATGATATAACCTGTATAAACTTAAATTTGTTAACTTAATCTCTTATAAAATGTCTATAAGATACTATATTATTTATCAATCAATTTTCATACACCTGAAAATCATATCAAATAATAGATTTTAGAATTACTTTCAGATTATAATGATAATTTATAATAAAGGAAAAATGATCATATAGCTGAATAATTGATAGAATACAATCGTAATTTTGTTAAATCTCTTTAATATAAAGAATTCCTTTAATAAGATCAATTATAAATCAAAATTAATAATTAAATTGATTCTATCAATTAAAATTTATAAAATTTAACTACTTATCAAATAGCTTACAATATATTTCAATAAAAACAATTTTCATCTGAACAAAATACTCTTATTATGAATTTAAGATCATTATAATTACCTTCAAAAAATATTTTTACTGAATTATAATTGAATTCTAAATTAATTACTGGAGTTAGTGATTTTGTTTAAATATATTGTTCTCATACATTAGATTTATAAAAGTCTTGTATCTGTTTAGGAATTAGAGTTATTAATAATTGCCCTTTTAAATTAGATAATTTAGGAATCAAAATATTATTAGATAGAAATTCTTATATATAAAATAATTACAAATTAATAGAAGAGTTACCATCATATTAAGAAAAACAATTATTTTATGTTGTTAAAGTAAATCCAAAATTATCTATGCATTTTGCTTTTGACATAATTTTATAAGACATTAAGAATGAATCTTCATTATCTTTTGCTATAAGAACATAAAATTATAGAATTAGTATGCTTGAATTTCTAATACCAAATACTTTTTTATATTTATCATAGAATTGTTTTTAATACATAACATATGATACTTCATTAATAATAAAATGCTATTTAGAAGGAAATTATTTGTAGCTTTATAAGAAATTGTTATCATAACCATTTGCAACTGTTATCTTAGATAATACAAATCAAGTATTTTAATATTCAATTAAATAAAACTTAAACCTTGATTTGATTACTTAAAATGTATCAAAAACAATAAATATTGGATTATTGTCTTATCTAATTAATGGTTAAAACTTAGCAATCATAATATCAAATATTTCAACATAATAAAATTCAACAGAAGTCTTATTAGAAGTATTAATAATTATATTATTTAGATTAAATCTGATAAAAGTTGTATTGAAAGCTTTTAGACTGAAATTGATAAATTTTTATTTGAATTATCAGATGGATTATTATCGGTAGTATTATGATGTATATTTATATAGATTTTACATATATATTAATATATTCTAAATTTAAATAATTTATTATTATTTTTAAATAATATCATCTATCTGCTCCTTTTTATTTGAATAATTACAGCATTGATTTTTCGTGTTATTTGATTTATGAATTTGTTATTTTGCATTTATTGGCTAATAATAAAGATTATCTGGAAAATGATTTATAACAAATTAATTTGAATTCTTTATTCACATTTTCAATTACTTATATTTAATTCTTTTCTTAATTATCACCATTTTATTTGATATTTTAAACATTAATTATTTATTCCACTGAATATAAATTTATAGATCCATCATAAACTGCTGCTGAAAAATTAATTCCATTTGGGCTGAATGCTAAATAGGTTATTTAATCATTTTAATTTTCTACAATTTAATTTGCTTTAGGGTTATTCATATTGTTAGAATTAGTTAAATCCCAGAAGTAAATTGATCCAAATACGTTACCAACAATTATCCAAGTTCCTAAAGGATTAATACCAAAAGAAATAATAATATCATTTTATATTTCGAACATAATCTTCCTAATCAATGTTAATTTATTTTTATTAACAATTTAAACTAACCATATGCAATAATCATCTGCAATTGCAAATAATTAATCTACAGAGGTTGATTTTATAAAATCTCCTTTTATTTCTTATAATGTGCCTTCTAATTCAGTTTCTACTTGTTCTAAATTTGAAGTAAATAATTATGGACATCCATCTATTAATGTTATCAAATATTAATAATCTGAGGAATATTAAAGACCCTTCACTGTTTTAAAGATTAATTCTATAGTATTTAATTGCTTAATCCTAATTACATTCAAATTTTATTCTTCATTGTAAACTACAATATCACCAGAAGCTGAAATAATAGGATTCGTTTATCCAGAATATTATGTATCATATATAGCTACTTAATAAGATTATCCATCATTTAAAATTCTCCATACTTTTATTTTATAATCAAATGAACAAACAAAATATTACTATTTTAAAGAAAATGAAAGACTTGTGATTTATTACTCAAAAGTAATAGATTAAATTTCTTAAATATTGTCTAATTTTGAAATATCTAAAATCTTGATTTCTTTATTCCCTCCAATTATTACTGTCTTTAATTCTATGAGCATAACTTTGTTTCCACGCCATTAAGTAGTATTTAATATTTACTTTTCGTTTTTAAAGTCCCATATGATTAAACTTTATTAATTTATTGATGCTATATAATCTCCATAATAAGTGGAGTGAAAATTAATGGGATTATGCTCTTAATCAATTAAATTTTTATTATATGCACAATTCACAAAATAAATCTATGTGATTGTAGAATCAAAAGATTAAAAAAAAATTGATTTATGCTTAGGACAATAAGCACAAAAACGATCTGACTCTTTGTCCCAAATATATTTTAATTTTAATTAAAGATCTTCTTAAATCTCAAATAAAATAATTGATCTATATAAAGAACAAATTAACTCTTTGTCATTATCTGTAAAAGTTAAATTTTCAGTTGTTCGTTTATAAATCAATTTGTTTTCTGTAATAATTTATTTTTCATAATTCCATAAATAGATTTTATCATCTGAAGTGGATATAGCAATTAAATTTTCATTATAAGAAAAGGCCGCAAGTTCTTACTTACCTTCTATAAGAGGTTAATACTCTTATTTATTACTTAAATTTATTAAAGTAAAAGGCTTATAATAATCATCATAAATTAAATAATTGCATAGTCTAGATAAAAAGATACCATAATAATAAGAATACTGCAATTCAAAAATTATTTCTTTAGATCTATTTTTAATGTTACACTTTTTAATTATTTTTTTTTCTGATGCTATATATAATATATTTGAATCATCCCAGCTAAAATCTAAAATGTTAACATTTTCTTCTTAATCAATTACTACTTACTCTTACATTTCAGAGATTTCATAAATCTTAATTTAAGAATAATCACTAATAGCTATAAATCTATCATCATTAGATACTTTAACCTATCGTGTATTGTAACAATTAATAAATGTATTTTTACTTTGTCCAGAAACACTATCTATTAGTATTATTTCATTATCATAATTTACAATTATAAAGAAATTTTAGCTAGTTGATA